CGGGCGGCGGCGGACCACTGCATACTGCGGGTGAGGTCGAGGGAGGGCGAGTTGAGCGCGACGCCGGCGGGCAGCGGCACGGGCACGTGCTTGCCGTGGAAGCGGACCGTGGGCGAGGAGGAGGAGGAGCGGTGCAGGTGGAGGAGGAGCTGGACCAGGGCGGCGGAGAGGTTGCCGCCGGCGGAGTCGCCGGCGACGACGAGCGAGGCGGCGGGCACGGGGTCGTGCCAGGCACCCGGCGGTGGGTGTAGGAGGGATAGGGAGGTAGTTGGCGCCGCCGTGGACGTACAGCACCGTGGCGCCGCCCCGGGCCTCGTTGGTGAGGCGCGCGTACTTTTCGCGCTCGCTCAGGTCCGCGGGCTCCGCGGCCCAGCGGGACACGTCGCGACGGACGCCCACCCACTCGCCGCCGACGTCCTGCAGGGGCGGCCGCGTGTACGGGGCCTCGTCGCCCAGAGCGGCGACGGCCCCGCACAAAGCCGGCAGCACGCCGTCGGGGGATGTGTCGTCCGGCGCGGGCAGGGTGACGCGGCTTACCCAGATGCGACCGCGGGCGCCCCCGTCGCGCATGAAGAGCGCCTGCTGCGCGCTGACGGACGAGGTTGGGGACGAGCCGCCGAAGAAGTCGCGGAGGGTGGTGACGGCGAGCTCGGTGCGCAGGTCCCACTTGCGCGCGGTTGGGCTGAGGGAGAGGAGCCAGAAGAGCACCGTCTTGAGTACCAGGGGAACCTTGGAGAGGACGAGCAGCGCGGTGCTGAATGCTGACGGCATCGTGGTGATTGTGGCGGTGTTGAGGGTGGTGTTGGTGAGAGGAGAAGGAGGAGGAGGAGGAGGTGAGGAGGCGGAAGCCTGATTGCTTGGCGGCTGAGCGAGTGGCGCCGGAGTATTGGTCGAGATGGGCGAGTTTGCTCTCGGATTCCATCTTGACATGACAAGGTTGGATGCGGAAAAATTAAGTGAGTGACAAGATCTGACTTTTGAACGATCATGTTTAATTGGGCTACATTATTCACGGGCGCAATTGTTGATGATGTTGCACCAACGGCACGGGTAGATATATATCTCGACAAGGCGACCTAGAGTGCAAGGTGCAAGGTGCAAGGTGCAAGGCGCAAGGTACACAAGCCGGAGTAATGACCTGTTTAGAGGTAATTGACATTGCTAGCATCATACCTAAGAAGCGCAACTCAGAGAAGCGAGGCAGTGACATTATTCAAGATGGAGATGGCACAGAGCCGCTTAGGCCACTCATGAACCCCGATCGTTGTTCATTCATAAATGCATGCAAGTAGGGAGGTGGGCTGGCCAAGTCGACGAGACGAACAAAGCTCAGAGCATTATTATTAAGATCAAAACACAATCGCACAACGCTGTCACCCAACGCAATCACCACAACGCAATGAACACAACCACCCCCTCTCTCTCTACTCAACCACCACGCCGTCCCGGTCGCGACCCATCCTCGCATACTGCGTCTTGAGCGCCGGCGTGTCCGCGCTCACCAGCGCATTCACCCAGTGCTCCTCACCCGTCTTTTCGTCCCTGGCGTGGCTCGCCGCCGCGCCCAGCAGCGTCGGCTTGCAGTTCAGGTACACGCTCTCGTAGTTCTTGCGCGGCACCAGGAAGGTCTCGTGGAAGACGCCGAGGTGGGGGAACTTTTGCGCCGCGAACCAGTCCCAGGCCTCGCGGTGCATGGGCTCGTGGGCGAAGGCGTTCAGGCTGGCGACGTCGCGGAAGTAGATGATGGTGTTGACGGTGAGGGACCCGTCGAGGACCGTCTTCCACTCGCTGATGGCCAGGACGCCGAGCTCGGCGCGGCGCTGGCGCAGGTCGTCGGCGAGGCGGGCGAAGCGGGCGCCGGTCTCGCGGCCGCCGGGGCACAGCGGGCCGAGCGGGTGGTTGAACTGCGCGCCGATGTGGAAGACGACGAGCTGGTCCTCGGCGGAGGTGGTGCGGAAGGAGCCGGAGGGGAGCGGCAGCTGTGCGGCGGTCCGGCCGGGGATGACGTTGAGGGGGTAGGAGGAGGAAGAGGTGCTGGTGAGATTGAGGAGGGCTGAGACGGCGTAGATGGCGAGGTAGCTCAGGAGCGGCACGTAGGCCCATCGGGCAGGCAGGACTAGAGAGATGAGGGCCTGCAGGACGCTGCCAAGGACGACGATGGCAGGCAGCGGCCTGAACTTGTCGAGTCCGTAGGTGGCCTGTGAGGAAGTCAGTGTTAGTAGAAGAGCGGGTATGGGATAGATGGACAGGGCTGATGAGGTTGACGTGAGACGAGAAAGAAGGTAGATGGTGATGTGATGTGATGGTGCTTACACTAAGGGACGGGACATAGGTCCAAGGTCCCTTGGTTGGAGCGAGCTTGGGCTGGAATTCCTGGCCCATGGTTTGCGAAGAAGAATGGAATTTGGATGGTTTTTTGCAATCTTGTTGTTGGCGATGGAAGGTGGTGTATGCTGTCCAGTCCGGACTGTTGTGGCTATACAGACCAGCTGACTGGGAGAGAGAGAAAGACGGATGAGATGAGATGGAAGAGTGAGATGGAAGAGATGAGATGGAAGAGATGAGATGGAAGAGATGAGATGGAAGAGATGAGATGGAAGAGATGAGAGGGAAGAGAGAATCCAGGGTGAGATAATGAGGAAACAATTCAGGATGCGACAATGAAGAGAGAGGACGGGTATGTAGGTGATTTATACCATCCGATCCCATCCTATTCGATGCAAGCCCTGTTCGCCCAGTGCAAGCCCCGTCCAATGCAAGTTGATCCAAAAATGCTGACGCAGCCACCTGGAAGGTCCTCGCCCCATCGTCACCGCAAACTAGTTAACCCGTCGGGGCCAGTATACATGGATGGCATCTTGATGCTTGACCATCTTCTCTGGCAGGGCTGAAATGGATTGCCTAGTCATTTGCTCGCGCCGTGGCGTCAGAGTTGACGTATCCCTTCGCATTGGTGGAGGGCGTTGCAAGTACAAATGAGCAACGCGACGAAGACATGGACAGATGTGTATTGCGAAAATCTAACAAGCATTCGGCGACAACATACTACCTACCTATCTGTGACTTAAACAACGTAGGAACAAGGCCCCCGAACAGCCCGATTCTCACTCTTGGAACATCACAGCACACAAGGCTGCCCCGCCCGTCGAAGAAATAATGGGCCGTTGAGCGGAATGGACGAATGAAAACGAGGCTAGCCTTAGCGAATGCGAGGTACGTACCTACTAGATACATACAGTGGTTACCGCGTGTCTCGGGCAGATAAGGATGCCTTCAGCAACAACAGGATGCCGTCAACCGGGTCGTTCTTACGTAGACTTGAGACAGACAAGTACCCGGTAGACCCGATAGTCAATCAAGTTCTTACACTCTCATCAATTCTCACGGCGAGTCTCCCGGCACATGGTACTTACGGATAGAGCAAAGGCCGCGGCAATGCCACCACCGAGGCCCCCTACTAAGGCACTTGTATAGCTCCGAGATAGTGCGTCATCTTAGTAGGCAAGAAGCCTGTGTCCTCTACCATGCTTAAACCATTCAATTTTTTTTTTTTTTTTTTTTTTTTTTAAACTCATCTTGTTCATCTTCCATTTTAATCGATCAGCTTACGAATTAGTATGAGTCACTCTACGCGGAGTAATTTCCATGCGTGGGCTACAGTACTGTAAGGTGCTAGGGGCACCTGTAAGCGCTGGAAGCTGTGCAATGACGACTTGTCTCAACCCCATAGAAAGTAAAGCTCCTAGCATTTATTCGCAACCAAACAACAGCAACACCTTGCAGCTCCAGCTCCATCACAACCCGCGGATCCCCCAGCATTCCATCAGCCATGGGAATGCCAGGCTGAGACAAACATACTATACCCCAAGGCTTGCAGCAATCATGGACCCTGCCAGCTTATCGCGCTCGTCGAAGCGTGCTATTCCTGTTGGCTTGCTGGAAGCTGCACTCGACTCCCCGACGTTCCGGTCCACCGCCCTGCACTTTGGCGACCAGATCGACACCATTGAAAAATGGCTCAACAACTATGTGAACTCGACATCCAAGCTCCTCCACGACTTCCTCGCCCTCGAGGATACCATCAACTCGTACCTCGCAAAGACGGCAGCCCCGGTCGGCGATACCCTTCTCGACAATGACTATACTTTGCTTGCACTCAAGAGGGTCGGAGAGGGGTCGCGCGAATGGCTTACGCAGATACAAAGTGGCATGAAGCGTATGGAATCGACCGTTGTTGAGCCCATCAGGGTCTTCCTGAATGGTGATTTGCGCAATTTCAAGGATACGCGGCGGGCTCTCGAGGCAGCACAGCGCACCTACGACTCGACCCTCGCCCGTTATGTCGGGCAGCACAAGACGAAGGAGCCATCTGCCCTGAGAGAAGATGCATTTTCCGTGTTTGAGGGTCGCAAGATCTATCTGCAGGCATCGATAGAATTCTGCCAGGTCGTCCCCCAGCTTCGATCCACCATCGACAGGCTCCTCGTTACCGTCTGCAGCGACATATGGAAGGAGATTAAAGGCTCCCGTGATGCCACCGCCAACGCTATGCGCTGGAACCGTGAGATGGAGCGTGTTCGCGGCTGGTCCAAGGAAATGGAAGCTGCTGATGCCGTCTTCCGCCGCGAGCTCCATGCAGCCAAGAAGGACATATACGACATGGCCATTGAAAATGTCAAACCCTCGCGAGAGCTTGACGACTATAACGTTTCGACCATCCCATTCCTAAGCTCACGTGGCCCCGTGAATCTGCAGCCCAAGGATGACTCCGCTGTCATCTCGGCGAAGCAGGGTTGGCTCTTCTTGCGCGTGCTGTCCAACAAACCCGCCAGATATACTTGGATCCGAAGGTGGCATTACTGCAGAGATGGAGTCTTTGGTTGGCTGATCCCAGGTACACAGGGTGTTCTTCAGGGTGATGAGATCGGAGTCTTGCTGTGCAACGCCAGACCAGCCGTGGGCGAAGAGAGGCGATTTTGCTTCGAAATCAAGACCAAAGATCAATCCTTGGTTCTTCAAGCCGAAAACCAAAAGGAACTGACAGAATGGCTTGAAGTATTTGAAGTTGCAAAGAAAGCGGCCTTTGACACCAGCCGCGGAAGAAGCACCAGCTCCATGTCCCGCCATGACCCTGCCTTTTCTATTAACCCGCCAAGTGCTCCCGAGTTTTCTGCCAACAATGCTGATACACATCCCGCCGCTTCCGAGGACCCTGTAGTTGGTATGGAACGCGCTGCGACCATGCTCCTGCCACCGGAGGCTCACACCATGTCCCGTCATAGTATCGACATAAGCCCTCCTGGCACCGTGCCGCGAAGGTCCTTTACGGCTCTTGGAAAGGAATTCAGCAAGGACTTGGTGACTCGCGAAGATGGCGAGTCTGGCAGAGAGCATGCTGCCCGCATCATTCAGAAATTGGATTTGCATAGAAAATCAACCTTCGGCCCTGGTACCGAAGGCGCAACGGCTGGCCCTGCCGCACCGGCGTCTGGGAGCGGCATTGCTAGCTTAATATCAGCGAGCCATAACGTCCTGCCGGGCTATCCACACCCGCTACTCTCTCCAAGCGTTGCAAAGAGAGGCAGTCCGCTCCCGAAGCTTGATAGTCAGTTGGGTTCCCTAGCGCCATCGACGCTGGAGAAGCCGCCCGTGGTCACGACCCTCAGCCGAGCTGCGGCCATGCATGCAGCTGACAAGTCCCCACTGGGGGAATCGCGAAAGAATCTTCCTGCTTCCCTTGTTGCCAACTACTGGGGAACAAACATGTGGGCAGCTTCAGACACCCCTAACCAACCCGTGCTGCCCAGAAGAGAGGCCGACGATCCTATTGGTGTGCTTCTACCGGAAAGCATGCAGACCACACTCAGCACGCCGACCAAGGAAAAGACACCAAGTGAGCTTCTCCCGAACAATTACCCAGCAGAACTGCGCCTGCAGACTGCACAGTTCAAACTGCTCTTTCCTGATGTACAGGGAGATGAAAAGCTCGTACTCGTTTTCCGAGCCTCTTGGTCCTTCAAGGCGGCCAGAGACTCGCCTCAAGACTCGTTTGCCGGTGATGGAAGAGTATATGTCACGCCGGACTACATGTACTTTTATAGTCAGCGCATGGGGCTCATCACAACCTTTTCGCTTAGCTTGGACATTATCGCGGCAGTGACTGCCTACTCTGGCCGAGATTCGGACTCCATAACCTTGCGCCTCGGCGAAGAGCCTGGCCAGGCTGTTTGGGAAGAGGTCAATCTAAAGGTTTACTTGGATGATCTTCACCTGCTGCACAGCCGACTCAATCTCATCATCGACAATATCCAGGCAGAAGAGCCAGCGAATACGGAAAACTTGATTTTCGCCCTGATCAATCTCGAAAGAGTGGAGGAAAGACCCAGCCCTAGCATTGACGGATGGGACGATGGGTCAGTTTATACTCCGATTGAGCCCAGCAGTCTAAGCAGAAGCTTTGGTCGTTCACCTGCGGATTCTACCTCGCAGCTGCGCCACCCGCAATCCCGGCATAAGTTGTTGCCGAAAATTCACCTACCGAGTCAGCCTATTGAATATGAGCCGGAAAACATGACCGAGATGGCCGCCGAGCGCCATTTCGAGATCAGTGCCAAGGCTTGTTTCCATGTCTTGTTTGGCGATAAGAGCTTCGTGTTTCCAAAACTATACTTTGAACACCGAGCTCAGCAAATTGCTCAAGGGCCTTGGATTCTAGTGGATCAAGGCCGAATGCGCCGCGAGTTTCAGTTCAAAGTCAACTACACAGATATGCTCGGGCGCGACAAAAGTGCCGATGTAAAAGATGAGCAAACAATCGATCTCTTTAGCGACCATGTCACATACGTTGTTACGCATACCAAGACTGCGTGGCACTTGCCTCACTCGGGGTCATTCAAACTCATCTCCAAGATTGTGATTACACACGTGGCAAAGTCCAAGTGTAGACTTGCCATCTGGGTAAAGATTGATTGGTCGAAGACACCAGCATTGTCGAAGAACCTGGTAGAGCGCCAGGCTTTACGCGATATCAAGAGTCAGGCAGAGGAGCTGGCAGAGCTTGCGACTGACCAGGTGCGCAAGCTTGGGCCCAGATCCAGGACAAACAAAGCCATCCACGTGTATGGTCAGGTCGGCAACCAGACACAGGTTGTTGTCTTCTCGCCCGGTTCTACAGACGCGAAGAAGAAGCAGGCCACTACGCGTCGAACTCTAACGTCGATGGTCTTTGATACGGTCCGGTCCTTTGCAGAGAGTTGCATCACATCCGTCATAATGTGGACATTTGCTGGCGTCAAGCGGCTCTTTGACATAGTCACGGCGTACCGGCTCATCATTGCCCTGCTCTTGTTCAGCGGCCTTGTAAACGTGCTCCTGACTTCCTCGAGTACTTCGACGTGGTGGCAGGAGCGCAGTGCGGCGCGGTTTATGCACCGTATCGGCGTGATACCGCACCCCATCATGAGCAAGGCAATCTATTTTTCCGACCTGGCCGATGCCACGGGCGCCGGCGGCTCTGCCCCGACCCTTGGAAGCGACAACAGCACCTGCTACAACACCTTCGCTGACCTGATGAAGGCGGCCGACCTGGACGCGCCGTGGGAAGAGTCCGGCGGCGCCCTAGCGCCGGCCAGCCGCTCCACGGCGCGTCGCATCCGGCGCACGAGGCAGCGGCTGGGCACGTACCGCCACGACCTGGTGGTGGCCATGCGCGTGGTCAACAGCATCGAGCGCGAGATGGTGCAGTCGGAGTGGGAGGACTGGCTGGCGCACGAATACTCGCTCTGCGACGAGCTTGGCCGCGTGCTAGGCGGGGAGCAGAAGGCGGGAGTCGTCCCGGACAAGGGGCAGAAGCATAAGCAGAAACCCATCGCGGATCGTCACTTGGCGGAGCTGAAGCAGTGGCAGGAGGCGCACTGTAGCAGCTGCCGGGCGGATTATAAGAGCGTCGTGAAGAGCAGGGCTGCTCAATGGGATGAATTCAGACGGTAGAGGAGGAGCACATGCATTTGGACGAAGTAGTGGTTTTGTTTCATGCGAAGCGACGCGTTCTTTTTTTGTTTCTTTTGTGTATATCCATATCCATCCATGCATAGTTTTGGGAAAGCAGGGACGGTTGAGTAATAAAGAGGGAATTGTACAACTTATCCATTGGCCCGAGGGAACCTGAGCGCCGCCTTTTTATAACATCAAGTTCTGAACTCATGTGCTTGCTTGTGTGATGTATTAGTAAACACTACCGCATTGGATATATGTACGTCTATTAGTGTATGTATGGGGCGTAACCTTTTCCCTCCTGCTCACTTGAGGTTCGCAAATCCCATGGTCCGGTCGTCGACGTTGTGGTCGATGTAGCGGCCCTGAAAGAAGGCCTGACCGACGAGCCACGTGCCGCCAAAATCGGCCGTGCCGATGACGCTGGCCGTGCAGTCGTCGCCGTCCTGCTTGAACGCCAGCGCCTTGGGATCCAGGTCAAAGTTGACCCCGCCCAAGCTGAAGCCGATCGTCGGCGGGCTCGCGCAGCTGTAGTGACCCTCCACGGTACCCGCGCTCGTCGTCACCGCCTTGACGCCGGCGGCCGCGAAGACCTGCTTCACGTCGGCCGTGGGGCCGAAGATGACCGTGGTGCCCGAGTCGGTGGCGATGTCGAGGTTGTCCGCGACCACCTTGCCGGCGACGGTGACGCCGCCGGTGACGGACCACAGGCTGGTGACCTTGACCGCGGTGAGGGCGCCGGCGAACTCGGAGGTGGCGACGGCGCCGTAGTGCAGCTGGCCGGTGCCGTCGGTGCGCAGGGCGAGGCCGAAGCGGCAGGCGGACAGCGTGCCGGCGGCGCAGAGGGACGTGAAGAAGGGGTCCTCGCGCAGGGAGGCGCCCATCTTGCCGGCGTAGCCGATGAGGCCGTCGTGGGGGAAGGTGGGCGGCGTGGCGGGCTGGTCGATGGCGCCGACGACCTGCTGGGGGACGGTGAGGTTGGCGCCGAGCTGCGTGATGACGTCGTGGTAGACCTTGCCGGAGGCCTGTGCAAACATGTTAGCAGTGGGAGCTGGGGGGGGGCAAACGCACGGAGAGGGTGCCGGAGCCGTCGGGGTTGGTCGTCGCGTAGGCAATGTGGAAGCGGCGATTCTGGTCCTGGGAGGCGGCGCTGGGCTGGTAGATGCCCGGGTTCATGATGGCGTCCGAGGAGCCCGTGTCGATGAGGATCTCGAGGTCCTTGCTGGCGCCGACGGTGAAGTGGGAGAACCAGAAGCCCTGGGAGAAGGGGGGGTTGTTAGCGGAAGGATTGTCAAGTCAGCAGCTGTGATGGGAACAAACCTGCTCGTTTACGAGGGCTCCGTCACCGCGGGGGGCAATGTTCTTGAAGGCAGCGATGCCCTGGGCCGTCTGGGAATCGACCTTGCGGAAGTGCATCGGATGCGACGAGTCTGCGACGACGGCCTGGGCCGCCGCCAGCAGGGTGAGGGCACTTCTGAGCGACATGGTGACAGCAGTTTCTGTGATGATGATGAATGGTAAACTTGCGAAGGGAGGGGGGGGGGGGGGGAGATGAGCAAGCGTCACGATTTATAGCAGTCTCGCATGTGGCAGGAGTTTGTTGTGTAGCATGGCCGGTGTTACATTTGTTGTGGACGACGGGGGATTTGGTGACCTTCTCGATGTAGGGAAAGATCGACCACGGGATAAGTCAAGTCGCATTGTAAGATGGAAGTGGCCCAAGACTAATTTAATCTCAACACGCGTCACCGGTCAAAGTTTTCAAACAAAAAAGTAACTCGTAATGTTAGCCAGGTAGGGAGGGATGAGAGAGATTGCTCCGAGCATGGACAGCCGGGGAAGGTGAGACAATGTCTATCCAGATAATCGAGACAATCCTCATTGCCGACCCGAGGGGGGGGGGGGGGCTGAAACTTAAAAAGCGGCCCGGGGCCGGAGGAAGGAAGGGCTTGTGAAGGCGCGCCAGGGAAGAGCCATGGCGATCAAGGCATAAATTTTGAAGAGATGAAACCCGGTCTGATCATGCTGACTGGAGCTTGGACAGCGTTGGAAGAATCGATAGAAATGGGCGACCAATAGGGTATATTCTACATTCTATACGCTAAGTTATAGTAGAGCCTTGAGCCGACCTTCCCCATCTGGCAGGTTGACCGTGCCGAAGCCCGATGAGTGTGGCGTGCTAACTTGCAAGTTGTGGGGGTCAAGTGTCAAGTTTCTTTGTAGCTGCAAGGGTTGACGGGTTCTATCGGATAGATCTCACGACTTATTCTATCAGTTAGCGTTGACAGAGACGATGGCGCCGAGGTTTCATGGAAAAGGCTATGCGTGGATCCAACGGTTTCGGTTTTCATTTGCAGACTTATAAGAGTTCAAGACAAAAAGAACAAGCTAGCCTAGAGACAGACAGAGAGACACAGACGGGAACTCTGAGTTTCTCTTCCCCGACGCGACGGGAACAAGAGAGAGTCAAGTCGTGGGACGGCCCACCGCCAACCATCGGAGACATCTTGGAGGCTGCGCAGACCTATGAGGGAAACACGATCGATCGATGTCTCTTATGGAAGGAGAAGCGGGAGAAGGAGATATCCACGACTTATACACAACGAACGAACCGAACGTTGCTTAGTGCTTGGGGCAGTAGCGCCACTGGATGCCAAACTTGACCGTAAGCTTGCCGCTAATGTGGTCAACCTAGAAGAGAGTGGTTGTGTCAGTACTGTTTTGTTTCCCGTTTACTTTCTTTTTGGGGATATCTCAAAACTGTGGCTCCAGTTGACGGAGACTCAAAATAATAATAATAACAACAACAACAACAACAACAACAACAACAACTTTCATCTCGGGGAGATTGCCAACTTACAGCGATGAGGGCGGGAAGGTGAGTCGGGGTGATGGCGCAGGCCGTGTTCATGTTGAGGATGGCCGTGCTGCCGCCGCAGGGAGACCAAGACTCGATGCCGGCCTTGCTCTTGAGGTCAAAGGGGCCGCTGTAGTGACCATTGAGCTCCTGGTTGAAGACGACCTGCTGGCTGTTGCCGGTGAAAGAGAAGGTGTTGCTGCACTGGCCCTTGGCACCCTTGGGAATCTCGGCGAAGCCGATCATGTCGGTGTCGAGGATGGAGAACCTGTAGCGGTTTCGGTCAGCAGATGTAACGGCCAGGCAGGAACGACATACTGGTAGCCCGGGTCAAACTGCATGTTGAGGGTGAGCTTGCAGTTCTTGCGCCAGTCGATGGCCTTGGTGCCGGGGCCGGTCTGCACCTCGTAGGTGGAAAAGGTGGCCTCGAAGAGGGTGCCGGTGGCGTCGACCTGGACGTCGGCGGTGCCGGCAGGGCAGCCGCTGCCGAGGAGGCTGACGCCCTTGATCTTGACACTGGACGGGGCCGGGCCGTTGGACGGGGCCGGGGCGGCGACGGCAACGCCGAGGATGGAGACGAGGGTTCCGATGAACTTCATTGTGAAGGGATGGGGGTGAAGGTGAGTGTAGTGTGTTGAGTGAGTGAGTGAGCGAGTGAGTGAATGGGTGAGTGAGTGAGTGAGTGAGTGAGAAGTGAGGTGAGTGAGATGAGTGTCTGGAGGAGAGCTGCTTGCTTCTGTCTTGGGACTGAAGTACTGAGTACTGGCAACAAGTCGACTTGGAAGTGAGATATTTGACTCTTTTTATACTTGGAGATTTTGCCTCGGATGGTTTCTTTACACGATGATGGTAACAAGCTACGTACGGCTGAAAAGACCAAGCAGGACGGTGGCTGGAGGCAACCGTCCAGTGAGAGGAGCAGGAAGCCATCTTGGGCGACGCTCAATACGAGCCATGGCTTCTGCTGAAAGCCATATAGGCCTAGTTTATTGAGTGTAAGACAAGAGGCTGTGAAGGCGTCCAATGATGGTTGGTGCTGGGCTGTTGGATGAGAGCTATTGATCTTGGGCAGCAGTTGTCGGTGGTGAGGTCGGTCAACGGTGAGGTTTCTTCTTTCGTTTACTACTACAAAAATGAATCTACCTCAATGATGCAAAAGGAATTATTCTTGGAGATGGTTGATTCCAAAGAGCCTCTACTGAATTATGAAAGAGTGTTTGCTGCATAAGCCTGTCGAGGTGATGCAGCACGCTGTTCGTGTTGGACACACACACTTTTAACTGTCTTCTGCCTTGAATGTTGCTACCAAAAATAGGGTCCTGTTGAATGCATGAGGAGCTGAGTCTCTTGGGGCGCAATGGTCAGTCTGAAACCACGCGTCTCCTTTCTCCCATTGAGCAAGTAGACCCTTCCCGAACGCCACCATCATCAGCCTGGGGGGGCGGTCAGCATGCATCGTGGGTATGCATCGTGGCACACAGTGTAAGTTAATGGGTACCCAACTGCCGGGATGGGTAGGGGCTCACGGACGCCTCGCCAAAAGAAAAGCCCCGGCTGATCGGAGCATTCTGGATTTCTGGGCGATGATGCTAGACCAGGGTCCGAGATACCATATAAAGACGGCGGCCCCCCTTCGCTCCGGAGGCTGACAGGCCGCCGCCCCCTCCTTCAGCCGTCCGCCCGGGTTGGGCTTTGGGAGGACGCCACCAGCAAGGCCAGCCCCTTGTCCAATGGCATGGTCAAGAAGATGCCCATGGCAATGTAATATTTGACCCGTTTTGTATATGATCGGACAGCTGTGCGCGCTTGCTTCTTCTTTCCGTATTTTCCGCCCCACGATTGGTGTTGGCCATGAAACATCGAGCCAGCCCTACATACGAGACTGTGGCTGTGGCTGAGAATGAAGAGGGTGGCTTGAAGAGGCCTTGCACGAAGACACTTCGTATTTTGTGTCTGTATAAATATGAGATTAAGAATAAACATGAACCATAGATATAAATGGAAATGGAAGTGGAAATGGAAATGGAAATGGGTAGCGAGAGATTGTGCGTGTAAATCAGTGTAGGCATCGACTCTTTTGGGGACGGACATGTTTAGGTGCACTTGACTACACTTGACTGCACTTGACTGCACTTGACTCTATATTATGAGGGAACTCCCCATGATTCTTTTTGAATAATTCCTAAAATATTCAATCGTGCAGCATCAGTGAAAACATGTTCCAGGACAGACCTCCAAGTCGACGGACCCAAGAATTCATCCCGCATCGTCTTGAACCATCTTGCACACCCTTTCCCTCACTCCCGGTTTCAATGGTGTGACCAAAACTCTAAAAGAAGGCACCTCGTGATACGTCGTCAGCATCACACGAGTTCGCACCGCGTCCGCATGCACCGTCGAACGCCCCCCGTACCACGACACTGTCCCCGGAAGAGACCCATTCCTCGCCGTCCTCCTTGGCTCAAGAGCGCATGTTCGAGGTAGAGAAGAAGGATGCCCTTGGTTTGACGAGCAGTGACGGCCTTGGACAAGTAGGGCTACTGCCTCGGGAGATGGCCGACCTGACCTGCCCCCCTTGCCCGAGCTCATTGGCCGGGGCTCGCGTATTGGTCCGCAATGGCCATCGAGTTGAACAGCGTCCTCTCGGAGTCGATGATTACATTTTGTAGGTAGGCGCTATTGTTCATGTCGTGGTACTCGGGATTGACCACCGGGGCAGTTGAGCCGATGGAGTCGGAGAGTTGAGGGGGCAGTGTCATCAGCTCGTATCCTCGCGCATCGTAGACGGCGCCTGCTTCCACAGCAGCCAAACCAGTGCACATTTCAGAAGAGAAGACACCAGCGTTGTCAGCGTCATGATGTGCTGTCCCTGCCTGTCCGTTGTCTATACAAGCGTTCCGGATAAGAAGAGCAAGGCTGTCGTCGCTGGACGGGCCCATCACTCTGTGCATCTCTGCCACCGCAGTCACCGTGGTTGAAGTCGGCGGCAGCGGCGACCATTCACCCAAAAACTCATCCCCCATAGTCGTGTCTTCGTTGCAGGCAGCATGGCCACCTCTTCGAACATCACTGCTCGGCCTGGTCGATGTACTACTCCTTGGATAGGCGTAGATGCAGGCGACGCCCCGTAACGTGCAGTGGCTGCAGCGCTGTCTCCCGTCGCACTTGACCTTTGAGGCACGGCAGGTCTGGCAGGCGGTGATGGGCCGGCGCGCTGCTCTCTTGCCGCGATTCCTGTCGCTCTGCCACTTGACCATGAGGTGGGCAGCGAAGAAGACGAGACAAGATGACAGAGGGACTCGGTGCCAGACTGCAAGGGAAAGTGGCATTCAACACTTCAAGTTGCAAGGTGCAGGCCTTCTTGCCCCCTCTTAAAGACCAAGTTCTCAAGGACTGCGCCGTCATGGTTCAGGCTCTGATGCAGCATCGCATCCTGTAGCTCCTTATTACGTCTTTTCGTGGCTGCGGCTCATGCTGCATCTGCCTGCATCTTTTCCGCTCTTTAGCTATACCAAGGTCACGATCAACGGCGGCCTCTGCAGCTCTTATACCGTTCAGCTAGCCACGCACCGCTTTTCCTACACCAACACTATATATACCCGCAGACCCGGTAGTGGAAAGCAACAAGCGGTGACGAGACCAAGACACTGTTTTACGCGCGTTGGCGGGTATCATGTTGGCTCAAGTAGCGGGGAGTTGAGTCGTCCTTGTTGTTATTGCTTTTGGCAGTCTCTTGCTTTGCCTGGTTGCGAACACTCGGCGAGTGGCGCCTGCATGATTCATCTGCGGCTCCGCTGGCTTGAAGCCTCCACGCAACGATCGTCTTCAACTGCGCCATTTAATTTTCAAGAATTTTGTAGAGTTGATTGACCGACTCTACAAAGGGCTCACAGACCTACACTGTCTACACGAGAAGTCTCAACAGCTTTCTATACTCAGCTCGGGGCGCCTCCCTGGTCAGTACTATGCGGGGTAAATGAAGATGTGCCGTCGGGACAGGGCCGGGCAAGGGCTGTATGTAGTGTACAGTATATAGTTAAGCGTTAGCTAGCGCCCTTGTTCCATTATCAACAAGAGGCTGCAGCTCGAGCTAACCTTTCCACGAGGGCTGTTCACCTTGCTCGGTGTGTACCGGAAACTTGACTGCCGATCTTGCCAGTGCAGAGACGTAGGCGGTAGAACAAAGCTCCGTACTAACAAGCAAAAACTCCTATATCCCCGTATACCTGGGCCTGGTAGTTGAGAAGATACCAGCACAATCACTACGTTGCTTCCCACTGGCTGTCACCCTAACAAGCCCCCAGCTCGCTAACTAATTTGCCCCGACCCAGGCTGTCCCTCGGATGCCTGCAACGTTGCAATTGCAATTGCCATGGCCGCCCAGTGCCTTCGGTGATCAGAACTACAGTTTATCTACAGTTTGTCATTCAACTGGGTAGTTAGAAAACGGTTGTGCTGCGATGCCCTGTAACTAGTAAAAACGAGGCGCTCTGTGCTCTGCCAGCTTCGCGCCAGCTCTGAACCTATTTCCGCGCCTTGTTGTATAAGAGAGCAATAATACAGCTCTCGCAGGGCAGGCGTTCGGCTACAAGCCGCGAATAATAATCTGTCTTTCCAATTAATTCCTTAGCGAAGGAAATCAGGTCGCTTCACCTCACTAACCCCGCCAATCTCCCCCGCACTTCCCGGCCCCCTAAACCCTACTATACAAGTATCCGAGGATATATGCATTGCCAAGAGCTGAGCAAGGTCAAGAAAGGAAAGTGGTAACAATAAATTCCACAATTATTGCAACAATGGCCATCTTGAATCCAAGTAATAGCAAGGGTGCAGCACGCGATTCCATAAAAATCCCGGCGTCATAGCCGAACAGCGAGGACAATAAACCCGTCGGTAAAGCTAGCGACGTCCGGGGGCGGTCCGGGGGTCCCCGGGGGTCCCTGAGGGCCGGGCTCTGGTGTCGTTTGACAAACATACAAATATGGCCTGCTCGGCATCCCCTTCGCCTGGAACACTGCGACTCCCAACATACCGACATCCACCATGTCGCATCTCCAACGTGCTACGGCCCTCTGGGCATCCCTCGTCGCCCTTTCCTGGTCCGTCGCCGGAAACCCCATCGTCAGCACCAACACCGCCCCGGCGCAGATTGACCTCCGCAGTGGCACCCCCTCCGACCAGCACAAGAGCAGCCTACCCGCCGTCTGGCCGCCCCCGCAGGAAATCTCCGTCTCCGCGGGCGCCTGTGCCGTGCGTCTCAATGGTGCCGTCACCATCGTCACCGGCAACGCCACCGACGCGCCGGCCATCGAGGCCGTGAAGGCCATCGTCGCCGGCGCCGGCGGCACTGCCACGGTCTCACCCCGCGCATCCGTCAAAGGCACGCAAATCTACCTCGGCACCGACGCCGACGCCGACGCCGCCGCCGCCGCCAAGGCGCTCACCGGCGATTCGGCGGGGTCCCTCGCCGCCGAGGGCTACGTGCTGGGCGTCGGCAAGTACGACGGGCGGCCCGCCGTGGTGCTCAACGGCGTCGATGCGCGCGGCACCTATTACGCTGCACAGACCCTCCGCCAGCTCGTTGGCGACGCGCGCGGCGTCCCCGGCGGTGTCAAGATCCGCGACTGGCCGCTGATGCCGATCCGCGGCTCCATCGAGGGCTTCTACGGCATCCCCTGGTCGCACCAGGCGCGCAAGGACCAGCTCGCCTTCTACGGCCGGCGCAAGATGAACACGTACGTGTACACGCCCAAGGGCGACCCGTACCTGCGCGCCACCTGGCGGGATCTCTACGGCGGCGCCGACCTGGACAACCTGCGGGACCTGGTCCAGACCGCCAACGCGAACCACGTCGACTTCACCTACGCCCTCTCGCCCGGCCTGGACCTCTGCTACACCTCCGACGCCGACTTCAACGCCACCGTCGCCAAGTTTGAGCAGCTGCGCGCGCTCGGCGTGTCCAGCTTCTACGTCGCGCTCGACGACATCTCGCTCAAGTTCCACTGCGACTCGGACACGGCCAAGTTCCCGAACAAGGGCGACTGGCACTGGATCGCCGACGCGCAGGCGTTCTACCTCAACCGCGTGCAGAAGGAGTACATCAAGGCGCACGAGGGCCTGGCGGACCTGCAGACGGTGCCGACCAACTACGCCGGCAGCGCGCCGGACCCGTACAAGGGCGAGTTCGGCAAGCAGCTCGACAAGAACATCCGCGTGCAGTGGACCGGCGAGGGCGTCTTCTCCGACGAGATCACCGTGGAGAGCGTCGTCCGGGCCGGCGCGACGTACGTGACGGACAAGCTGTTCATCTGGGACAACTTCCCGGTCAACGACAACAAGCCGACACGGCTGTTCCTGAATCCGCTGACGGGGCGCGCGCCAGACTTGTACAAGCACATGATCGGGTTCACGTCGAACCCGATGGTGCAGTCGTACGCGTCCATGATCGCGCTCGGCAACTACGGCGATTACGCGTGGAACGGCCCGGCCTACGCGGCGCAGGACTCGTGGGCCGCCGTCGTCCGGGAGCTCGCCGGCGACGACGGCAAGGTGCGCGAGGCCCTGGCCGCGTTCGCGGACATCAACCAGAACTGGCCGTACCGCAACAGCACCGAGAGCGCGCCGAAGCTCAGCGCCGCCATTGCCGCATTCTGGGCCGCTCGCCGGTCCGGCGGGTCCGGCGGCAAGCAGGGCGGGGGCGCGCTGGAGAGCAGGCTCGAGCTCATCGCGGGCGTCCCGGACGCGCTCCCCGGCATGGCCATGAAGCCGTTCGCCCCCGAGGTGGCGCCCTGGACGGCCGTGGCGATGCAGTGGGCCAAGGCGAGCCAGCACGCGCTCACGATGCTGGCGGCGGTGGACGCCGGCGACAAGGACAGGGCGGATGAGGAGTTCAAGGCGGTGCAGGCGTGGGTGGACAAGACAAAGGCCAAGACGGTGAGCAGTCTGGGGGATGACGGCAAGGTAGTGCCCAACTCGATCACACCGACGACGGGCGACGGGGTATTTGATGCCTTTATCGCGAACGCGACGGCTATTTACAAGGGTCAATAAATGTTACCATAGTAATTGGAAACTGAGTAAATAGTCTCAGGCGCAGTTTTTGTCTTGTGAATAGCCAGGTAGCCAGCTTCTGTTGCGGCATGGTTCAGAGCTGCTCCATGGATCCATCTCCCACAGTAGATTTCGAGTCTGGCTCCTACTTGAAAAGTTTGATATTTGTTTCTTTGTTCTTCACTGTTTGTTCATTCCGAACCCTTCAACAAATCAATGACTCGGAAACCCTGGTTAGAATTAGTTCATTCCACCCACAGCGTGTAGCACGATAGTGTAGACAGGGTCCTTCCCTGCTGTTATCAAGAGAACTACGCAGCAGGCGTCTCAAACCAATCATAGAAACAGCCAGCTAGAAAACACAGAGTGTTTGGCAATGTATCGTATTGTTGCAGCTTGGTGGGATCTTGTAGGATGTATTAGTGCGTACCCCTTGTAGGCATGGCCGCAAGATACAGCCCTGCGCCTTGGCATCGTTTCACAGCGATGAGATAGATGCCAGGGTACCTGCATTATGTAGACTGGGTGCTGAGGTTGATTCGACCTGATTAATAATAATAGGTAGAGCCACCTCAGATATAGCGAGGTAGGTATATCAGGTCACGAACTGCTATTTCAGTGGGACAAAATGACAGGCCGAGGATTGCCACTTTGTTATTGATTTCGACATGAGTTTCCCGCACCGTCCTCTCATGCACATCATTGATGGCAATGCCCCGGAAACAACAGCTTGGGCACTTTGGGGCGTGAGAATGGTGGCGCAGCCAGATCCAATTGCGAGCAGCAATTTCGTTTTGGGCTTTTGGCAGGCCACCCCGTTCCCACTGCTGCCGGCCCTCCCGTGCCGGTCGGAGTCAGGTTTCCAAATTTAACCATCGCAAGAGACGGCTCAGCTTGCGCATGCTGTTTTCTTTTTGTTCTCTAGTTTATACCAGGGATGTGGGGAGAAGAGCTGCCTGATAGTCGCCGCCGCCAGAAGAGTTTTGGCGGGCGGGCGGGTTGTGTGCCAGCGCCAATATTCAGCCAAGCCGGATTCTCGAAGCCGTGCCAAGAAGGGTTTGTTGGTGTTTTCCGGTCCCCTTTTGATTCCAGCGCAGTTGGCTGCATCCGGCAACGCCAAGAGACAACACCGTCGTTGCGCTAACAACTGAAAGGTGCCCCGACCTACCTCGAAATTGGCGGCGTCATGGACCCAAAGTACTTGATCAGGCATAGGCCATGGTATTTATAGTGTCAAATATTTTCAAGGCAGTTGTGCGAGCAGACAGAAGTCGGCCTGTCTCGGTGTTCTGAAGTCGTCATCAAGTTGTAGCGGTAGAGCTGTAGCATGGAGGGACTCAACGGCGATTCGCCACCGTCCAGCTCATACTGGGTACTGCCCAGGTGCTTGGCCGACAGGTCCTGGAAGAAAGTGAGCGATGTGGACGTGCCGAGGATGATCTGGACGCTGGGCAAATCATCGCCAAGCTGCTTGACCAGATCGCCCAGACGAGACAAGACGGCAGCTACCCGATGGTATTGTGTCCCCAACGGACGGGTATCGGCATCAAACAACGCACGTTGAGGCTCTTTGTAGGCCAGAGGGGAACAAGATAGTGACGCCACGACGCGTGGACCAGGAGAGAAAAATGACTCCTGCCGAGTTGTCCCCTACTTAGTCGGCGGTACTATTCTCGCACATGTACCAAACAGGCTCGTTAGCGCAGCCAGATTCCACAAGTACCTTGCAGTGCACTAATAATGGAGGAGGTATGCTCGCTCTAGCCTAACCAAGTTTCTATGTATGTATGTATGTATGTATGTATGTACATACCTAAGTACTAATAAGTCACGCTGGGCTCCTGTGGCCCTCAGCCTTGGCAAAGGATGACGGCGTGTACCTTTTAGTGACTTGATCATCCATAACATTCCTCGCCAGAATCAATGTACCTGTTCGTAATACCCAGCCTGGGTGTTTGTTGCAACAGTTGACTTTCCCAGTCCGTTCTCCCTCCACACCAAACGAGGACGACTCGGTCGCAAACCCTTCAGCCGCCCTCCAGTTTTTATTCTACTAATAATGATTCCTCCTCCTGCATTCTCACCTTTTCCCTTGGTTCGTTCCCCTAGGTCGCCCTTTTTGGATCTCTCATTCCTTGGTCGTCCCTCTCAACCACGCTCGCTTCCTCAATCTTCAACACCTGTCCGTCCTATTTTCTGCGCTGTCCTTCCTCGACGCATTCCAGCTCCTCTCGTCCCTCAGCGCATGACGTGAAGGGGGTCCGTCTTGTTCCCCCACCAGGTACCTACAGTACATACATACCTAGTCGCTCGCTCGCTTCTGTATCCCTGCCATCTCGAACCACGCGACCGACCGGCGACAACCACCATCATCCTCCATCGCACCGCGCCCGCTTAGAGGATTTGCCTCGCCTCATAATTCAATCCACCATGAAGGCCTCCGCGATCGTCCACTCCCTTCTCGGGCTATCGGCCACTGCCTCGGCCGCTTTCAACCTCGACCTGACCAGTGATAGTACGTCGTCGTGCATCAATTTAAAATCAATTCGCCCTCGTCATCCACGGTCCCCCGATGGCTAACTAGCAACCCGTGCTACCACAGGCTCCATCAAAAGCACTGCCAGTACCCTCGCCTATGGCTTGATGAAATACTACAACGGAAACGTGACCGGCGGTATCCCCGGCCTGTTGCCCGGACCATACTACTGTACGTGGCGAGCTGGTCGCTCCCTAAAATTGACTCTGCGCGCGCCGGCATACAGACTGCTGACAATTCATCACAATCAGGGTGGGAGGCTGGTGGCATGTTTGGCCATCTCATCGACTACTGGTACTACACAGGAGATGCCTCCTACAATGACGTGACTATGCAGGGCATGATGCACCAAATCACTCCCAAAGGCGACTACCTTCCCGTCAACCAGACCAATGCCATGGGCAACGATGACCAGGGCTTCTGGGCCCTCACCTCGATGATGGCCGCCGAAGCCGTTTTCCCGAACCCTCCTTCCGATACACCCCAATGGCTCGCCGGCGTTCAGGCCGTCTTCAACGAGTATGCTGTTCGTTGGGAGGAAGAAAATGGCCTCTGCGGCGGCGGTCTGCGGTGGCAGGTCTACTCTTTCCTTAACGGCTGGGCCTACAAGAACAGTATCTCCAACGGTTGCTTCTTCAACATTGCTGCCCGTCTTGCCCGCTTCACTGGAAATTCCACATATGCCGACTGGGCGCAGAAGATCTATGACTGGGAGGTTAAGGAGGGTCTCATCACCTCCGACTACGTCATCTACGATGGCATCGAGGTCGACGACGCGACCAAGAGCTGTAAGAACATCCACCAGGTTCAATTCACCTACAACGCCGGTGTCTGGCTCCAAGGCGCTGCCGCCATGTACGACTATAACAAGAGCGATACCTGGAAGGGTCATGTCAACGGCATCTTCAATTACACCACCCGAACCTTCTTCCAGGACAACATCATGTACGAGCCCGCCTGCGAGACGGTTCACACCTGCGACCAGAACATGGTCAGCTTCAAGGGCTACCTGATCCGTTTCCTTGCCTCTACCGCCAAGCTGTGCCCCTGGACCACCGACACCATCACCAAACTCATCAACACCGCCGCCTCGGATGCCATCAAGGTCTGCAACGGCCCCAACGGCCCCAAGTACCCCGGCCCCGATGGCACCGGCTGCGGCTTCTCCTGGCTCAACGGCACAAACGACGGCTTGATGGGCGTCGGTCCCCAGATGGACGCCCTCGCCGCCGTCTTCTACAACCTGCTCCCCAACGCCAAGGCCCCTGCCACCGCCCAGGACCGCGGCACCTCCAAGGGCGACGCCGGCGCCGGCAGCAACCAAGCCCAGCCCCTCCCGGAGCCCCGAGCCATCACCGGCGGCGACCGAGCAGGCGCCGCCATCCTCACGATCCTCATCACCGCTGGCATTCTAGCTGGCAGCTTCTTTGTCACTAGCGATGTCTTGTCCTTTGCATAAACGGTCGTGTAAGGAGTTTTTCCTTGTTTCTCCATTACTTTTCCCTTTAGGGTTGGGTCTTTCTTTATCGCTTGATCTCTATTCCTCGATCATTGCTCCCTTTTCTCCCATCGTTATAATGTCTTTTTTATATCCTTTGATTATTGGGCAGGTGCGGATGTTTTTGGCACCTTGGCATGTAATCCCTTTGACGCTTTGCTACGTTTCTTTCTTCCTCCTTGTATATAGTGTAAAAGAAGAAGTCAACAGGCAGAACTACGGCGTTGAATACTTTTTGACAGACACGGCTGCCGGACGGGGCAGCGGTGCGAGTTGGGGATATGGGTTTTTGGGGTTCCAAGATACAAGGCTCGAATAAACATGATGAATCCAATAATTCCAGTGACTGCCAATGCTTCATAGGATATATTTTTGCATTTTCTAGGTCATTTGGATATCCCTCCGTCCGAGAAATCCCCCACGCCAGCACGGGAAAGAGGGCAGCTCATCCCGCTCACCCCGCAAGCAAACGCTGCCAAACCCCCACCTTGCCCCCAACCCGTCAATACTCGAGCTCCTCCTCTTTGCAGCCTTGGCTGAGTACATAGTCTTTCATCCCCTCTTCATTGTGAGATACCCAAAACTCACTCATCCATCCTCTTTCTCATCCCGATTTCTTCTCCTCCTAAGATACACCCAAGAAACACTATCCCCATCGCCACCATGTCGTCCAGGCACTTTATCGACGACGCCACGCACCTCGTCAACACGGCGCTGCACAGCCTCACCCTGACCAACCCGCATGTCGCCCTCGACGCCGAGCACAAGATCGTCTACCGCCGCGCCTCCTCCTACGCCGCCCCCCAAGTCGCGCTGCTCTCCGGCGGCGGCTCCGGCCACGAGCCCTCCTTCGCCGGCATGGTGGGGCCCGGCATGCTCTCCGCCGCCGTCGCCGGCACCGTCTTCGCGAGCCCGTCCGCCGAGCAGGTGCGTCGCGCCATCCTCACCCTCACCCGCCAGGACGCGGCGGCCACCCGCGGCGTCCTGGTGGTGGTGATGAACTACACGGGCGACGTGCTCAACTTTGGCATGGCGGTGGAGAAGGCGCGCGCGGCGGGCGTCGACGCCGAGATGGTCATCGTCGGGGACGACGTGGGCGTCGGGCGCGCGCAGGCCGGCAAGGTCGGTCGGCGCGGCATCGCGGGCACGGTGCTGGTGCTCAAGATCGCGGGCGCGATGGCGGCGCGCGGCGCGGCCTGGGAGGATGTGCTCGCGACGGCGCGGCGGGTGGCGGGCAACGTGGTCAGCGTCGGCGCCAGCCTGGAGCACGTCCACGTTCCCGGTCGCGCGGCGGACGAGGACGGCAGCGGCAGCGGCATGGCGCGCGGGGAGGTCGAGATCGGCATGGGCATCCACAACGAGGCGGGCTGCGAGAAGGCGCGGCTCGAGCTGCCGGCGCTCGTGGGCCGCATGCTCGCGCAGTTGCTGGACACCAGCGATAAGGACCGCGGATTCCTGGTGGAGCCGCTCGGGCCGGGCGCGACGGTCGTGCTGCTGGTCAACAACCTCGGCGGCGTGAGCGTGCTGGAGATGGGGGGCATCACCGCCGAGGTGGTCGCGCAGCTGCGCGAGCGCTACGGCATCCGGCCGGCGCGCGTGATCGCGGGCACGTTCATGACGAGCCTCAACGGCATGGGCTTCAGCATCTCGCTGCTCGACGTGAGGAGGGCCGGCGGCGCGAGCGTGCTGGAGCTGCTGGATGCGCCGAGCGAGGTCACCGGCTGGTCGGCGCCGATCAGCACGGCGACGTGGGAAGCAGCCGCGGCACGTGGAGAGGAGAGCGATGAGCCTGCTGCAGCGGCGGCGGTGGTGCAGGAGGAGGAGAAGCCCAGCGGGCTCAAGCACGACGCGGCGGCGTCGCAGGCGGCGCTGACGGCGGCGCTCAAGAGTGTTATCGCGGCGGAGCCGGACCTGACGAGGTACGACACCGTCGTCGGGGACGGCGACTGCGGGATCGGCCTGAAGCGCGGCGCCGAGGGTAAGTCTTCCACCGTTCCCATCCCATCCCTCTAACAATCTCGGCTAACCCACGCCACGCCCAGCCGTCCTCAAGCACCTCGAGGAGCACCCGTTCACGGGTGACCTCGCCGTCGACGTCGCGCGCCTCGTGCCCGTCGTCGAGGGCACCATGGACGGCACCTCGGGCGCGCTCTACGCCATCTTCCTCAACGCGCTCGTCCACGCCCTGCGCGGGCAGCCGCCCGGCGAGGCCACGCCGCAGGTCTGGGTGCAGGCGTTTGAGGCGGGCTTCGGCGCGCTGTCGCAGTACACGCCGGCGCGGCAGGGCGACCGCACGCTGGTCGACGCGCTGTACCCGTTCATGGGGGAGCTCATGGCCTCGGGCGACGTCCGGCGGGCGGCGCGGGCGTCGCGCGCGGGGGCGGAGGCGACAAAGGGCATGAAGGCGAGCCTGGGCCGGTCCGTGTACGTCGGCGGTAGCGGGTACGAGGAGGTGCCGGATCCGGGCGCCTGGGGGCTCGCGTGCTTCTTCGATGGCCTGGCGGGCAACTAGCTATGGTTCAGTGGTGTGCAGGATATGTTAGTCGGCAGGGGTTATGTTTTGCAGATGGGTTTGGAAAAATCGTAATCAAGATCGTATTTTTAACGCCTAAATTGTCCTGTGAGTCTCGTCAAATAGACGGTACATGGAACCAACCAGAGCCCAACCCAATCTCAATGAAAAACGAACATAAGCAAAGCCCACGCGGTATCGAAGAACCCGAAAGGAAAAGGAAAAAGATGAAAATGCCGCTGATATTCATTTCGATTCTAGCTTAGCAGCACCAGGATGACACTATCACCTCTCAGGAACCTAGACAATGCAGCACGTTAGTAATCAGAGGACAACAGCGCGAGCGAGAGAGGGGCAAGGGAGGACAAAACACACATCTTGCTGATGAAGCGGTCCTTGTTGACGGGCCGGCCCTTTTTGCCGTCGGCCAGCCGCGGCGTCTCCGTCCACATCTCCTTCACGTTCTCAAGCACCATGTTGCAGTGACGGTCGAAGGCCTTGACGCGGGCGAGCAGCTTACGGTTGTTGCGGATGGAGATCAGGACCTGGACGTGGGAGCGCACGGCGGTCTGGAGGATGGAGAGGGGGCCGGCGGAGAATTCGTGCTCTTCGAGCTGTGCGATCTCGTACTCTCTGCAGACGGGTTATGTATTAGCGATTCGGGGTGTTTTGCTTGCGTGGGGGTTTGAAGGGGGTTTGCGTACGTGAGTTCGTTGCGCGGCTTGGTGAGGAGCTCTCTAGAGAAGACGAATTAGCAGGGTGGGCGCGAGATTGGCATGTTTTGGGTTAATTTGAGCGACGTACTCGATGGGCTTGGTGTCCGCCATAGTGGTAGATGTGAAGGGTTGGTCGTGGAAAACGCGAATGGATTCGACAAGGTCCAGATGAAGCTTTTGGCGGTGCTGCCTCGCCGCCAATGTTCAAAAACTCACAGATTTGGGTACACAGGCATTCCGCGTCTCTGATTGGCTGGAGAGCACCAAGGCTAGCTCCACCGGATTTCAACTCCCAGCAAGCCCACTTCTCGGCAAGCCAGAAATCCTGGGCAGACGGAAAGCCTCTGCTACCCTCGGGCTAACTTTTTCCAGGTGGAGAGCAGCAACCTTTCAGCAAGCCGCGGAGAAGAGAGGAGAGACAGAGAGCATATCTGCGCAAAAGGGTACCGGAACGCCTGACCTCGCCGCTGCCCCCCAGACGGATCACCGATCAACCTCGGTCGACCACTTCTTAGCCTGGCTGACACACACACGCACGCCTGATAAGGGGATTGCTTGCCTCCTCAATTAGGTTTGGGTCTTTTCTTCTCCGGCCATGTCCTTCAGATCGATTGCTCTCCGTGCCGGACGAGCTGCCAACCTGTCGACAACATACACAACCAGATTCGCCATGGCGCAACGAGCATCATCCACTCCCTCCGGGGTCCGACAGGTATGCCTTTCCTCCCATGTCTACCCATTGCCTCTCACTGACAGCACCTGCCAGCTCTCGAGCGAAGCCCTGCAGATCAAGGAGCTGCCCGGTGATGAAATCGACGATGTCGTGTTCCAGAACAAGTACGGCCTGCGGACGATCCTCCTCAACCGGCCCAAGAAGCTCAACTCGCTTAACGGGTCGATGATCCGAAAGATTATACCGCGCATGGTGGAGTGGGAGAAGTCGGATCTGGCCAACGTGGTCATCATGAAAGGCGCCGGCGAGAAGGCGCTCTGCGCGGGCGGCGACGTCGCCGCGCTGGCCCAGTGGAACCTCGAGAGTGCCGACGGCTGGAAGCGGTCCGCTGAATACTTTGCGCTCGAATACAAGCTCGACCACTATATCGCAACTTATCAGAAGCCGTACATCTCCTTCATGGACGGCATTACCATGGGCGGCGGCGTCGGGCTCAGCATTCACGCGCCATTCCGCATCGCGACGGAGCGCACCGTTTTCGCCATGCCCGAGACCACGATTGGCTTCTTCCCGGACGTGGGCGCGTCCTTCTTCCTGCCACGCATGAACGGCGCTGTCGGCACCTACCTGGCGCTCACGAGCGAGCGGCTGACGGGCGCTGACGTCTTCTACGGCGGCGTCGCCACGCACTACCTGCACTCGACGAGCCTGCCGGAGCTCGAGGCGCGCCTCGCTGAGCTACGCTTCCGCGATGACGATGCACCCGCGCGGCGCCTACAGCTCGTCGGCGAGACGCTGGAGGAGTTCGCGACCGGCCTGCCGCACGACAAGCCGATGGCGCTCGGCGGCGAGACGCGCCGCGCGATCGACCGCTGCTTCGACAAGAACAACGTCGCCGACATCATCGCCGCGCTGCAGCAGGAGCGCGGCGAGACGGAGGCGTGGGCGCAGAAGCAGCTGGCGACGCTGCAGAAGCGCTCGCCGACCGCCGTGCACGTCGCGCTCCGCCAGATGCGCGTCGGCGGCCGCTGGGACATTGCTGAGGCGTTTGCGCGCGAGCACCAGATCGCGACCAAGTTCATGCAGCACCACGACTTCTCCGAGGGCGTGACGGCGCTGCTGGTGCGCAAGGAGGCCGCCAAGTGGCAGCCGGCGTCGCTCGACGCCATCCCCGCAAGCGACAACGTCGCGCAGCCGTTCTTCGAGTTTGACGAGGCGCAGACGCTACCGCTCTTCTCGGACCGCACGTACGCCGAGTACCCACACCCGCAGCTCGGCGTGCCGTCGGAGCGCGAGGTCCGGGAGGCGCTGCAGGCGAGCGCGCTGACGCCCGGGCAGCTCAGGGACAAGGTGGTGGCGTCGAGGAACGGGCGCCAGGGCGTCGCGGCGATTGTGGATGATATCATCGCGCGCAAGGTTGTAACGGATGGCAACGGCGTGGCACGTTGGGTGGAGGGCGAGGCGAGCTCGTCGAGCAAGCTGTGAAGCTGGCCGGGGAATGAACCGCGTGTATACTAGCATTTTAGAGAACCGAACTATTCGAATATATCTAGCTCCCAGGTCGGGGGTGCTTAAACTCATGCAAGAGACATATGATTGTGTTACGCCATGTTTAGAAATTATAGAATCAGAATGTCGATCGAACCTCAGAAGAGTACCTATAGCATCGTAGTGGTATGAGATCTGTGATGTGGCAGTAGTGAAGTCAATATTTATCTTAGACCTGACTTTGACTTCTAGTGTCAACTTGGCTTCAGAAAGCTTAGCAACCCGTGCAGCGTTTCCACGAAGCATTTTCGTTACAATGCATAGCTCTCCGGTGAGAAAGTTCACTGCCTGTGCAACGGCGGTCAGGGTAGACCAACATGTTAATTTTGCGCAGGGTGTACAAGCACAGTATCACAACTCGGTGAAACTAACACTTGGTGTCACGTCACCTAGTTGGCAGCCCATGCGTTTCTTTCTGTTCGATAAACATGGTGCACAGAAGATTGGCCAGGCACAACACTGCGCGTCTTGCAGCTCAGCCATCAAAGAACGTCTAAACAAAGCAAGCAACATCGTGAATAAAGAAATTACGAGACGGCCATTCATCTACTGCGTACGCGTATAAAATGATGGGGAAAAAATGTATATGACGGCTCAATAATCAGGGCAGCTGGCGATGGTATTGTATTTTATGAATGCAGCGTTGATGGGAATTGTGGGGTTGTTACGATGTTGTGTGAGCGTCAACACCATGAGGATAATTATTGCCATGAAAAATGGCGCAAGGATGGCGCCTCATTTGCCATCCGTAGTACAGTGATGACTAGTGCAGAAACGGGCGCAGATAGGTGGGTGATGGTGCACAGTGTGATGGAGGGTGGGAGAGGGGCAGGGGAAACGGAAGCCAGGCGAGTAAAAAAAAAGGTGGCCAAGATGGCTTCAGCGACGGATGAAACGGGGAGACATGGCGTGAGGGGAGGGGGAAGGGGAGAAGGCGTCGAGGATGATGACAGCCTCGAATCAGAGCGAGCAAAGGACCAGCCGGGTCACGGGCTGGCGATGGTATCCTTGGGGAAGGGGAAGAAGGCAGGGGGGAGAAAAAGTATAAGAGGCCAAGGCCCCCCGGAAACACCAGCAAAAGAGGGAATTGAAACTCGCCTCTTTCACGGAGCGAATTCAGGCCGTGAAAAGAAGAGAAAGAAATCCAAAAAGGTCATTTTGTTACCCAAAGTGAAGACGCCAGCCAGCCTGCCACTCGGCTCACAGCGAGTCGACGACGAACAGGTGTGATTACGAAAGCAGCACGCATAGGAGTGAGTGAGGGGAGGGCTACCTAGGCAGAAAGGCAAAAAGGCAAAGGGCGCCGCCCGATAAGAAGAGGAGGCACACCTCATTGAAGTATGTATGTGCTTTGATTGCGAGCGAGTTTGTGTGCAGAGGTTGCCTGGGCCGGAGCAGCATGACCGGCCGGCTCGGGTGGCTGATGAAGACTGAAGACTTGACCCAAAAGGCAAAAGAGCAAGACAACAGAGACAAAAAGCTGCTTGCTTCTCGCTGCCGGGCTCCATAAATGTACAACACGCTAATGGTCAGTTCAGGTCTCCGCAAGTTACTCTCCCCGCAAATTCTGCGTGAAAAGATACATTCCACAACCTCCACAGCCTCGTCCTGGTGGTGTCTTGTGCACGCGCTTTTCACCCGCCCAGACCAGGCCCTGGTCCCCAACTCCAGGTACCACTTCCTTGTCTGTTGGCCAGCCAGTGACACACTTCGCTGAAGGGCCCTGGAGAACAGCCATCAATCGGGCGCTAACTTGCATCCTGCTTGAACAAAGCACGTCACCACTTGGATTCAAGACGGATCAATTGTAGGCCATCTTCCCTAGTAAGTGTAAATACGCTTCTTCTCTGCATCGTCCTGTTTCTTGTTAGCGGTGCTGCTGGCGCTCTGCCTGGTCATACACCTGCAGCTGCACCAGTCATGGCTCAGCGACTTGCTGAGTGCGCCATCCATCAGCCAATGACCGTCTTCACCCAGCATAACATCACAATCGTTTCACGCAAAAAACGATCCTCTTCACGAGCAGCAATTTCTCCTTGTTCAATCTTCTTTTCTCTTCATGTTCCCTTTGATCAACCCCGCTTTCATCGTCTCACCAACTCCCGCTCCAATTCCTGCCATAGCCCCGTCTCTCTGCCCTGGGCCCAGCGTACAGCGCCTAGATCCACATGGCCGGGACGCGACTCTGACCAACCCGTCCGCTTCGGCGCGTCACGTACATGACGCCCGCCTCCCCAATTTGACCAGGGAACCACTCTTACCATTTCAATTTCTCTCCAGGTTTCCCGAAAGCTTGCCTTATCAACCGCTTCCCTTTGCAACTCTCCGACAACCATCCAACTATCCAACTGCATTTTCCTTTCCACAACCGACCGACTTCGAATCCTCGGCCTTGCCCATTCAACCAAACACCCGTTTTTTTCAACGCTCCGCCTCCATTTTGCATTGCTGTTGGCCTCGTCCGGCGAGCCTCCAGCGGCCATGGCCTCGCCGCTGCCTGCATCCAACATGGGCGCCGGCTGGAATGGCAACGCTTCCCAACAGCAATTTCAACAGCAGCAAATGCGTCCCGCTGAGCCCAACAGCAATGGCGTTCAGGTCCGGTCCATGGGTCGTATGTCCTCCTCTCCCAACGCTCTTGTCCACCGGCCCACCTCGATGCTAACGCCCTGCAGTCAAGGTACAGTATACCTTTGACAAGGACTCCAAGATCAACTGCCTCGCACGATGTCCGCACACCGTCCACGTCCAAACCATCGCTCTCGACGAAGTCAACACCATCGGCGTTATCGACCTCGGCGTCTGCGTCCGGGCCGTTTCGGACTGCAGTCCGGAACTCGCGGGTCAAGATTGCGACTATACAATCTACGCCGTTGATTACTCAGAACCCGACACACCCCTCGTCGGCCAGGGCCTGCTCTCATTGGCCCTCGATTCACTGAATCGCGGCGATAACCCAGGCCAACAGCCCAAGCTCGTCACCGGGCGTGTCACTCAAAATCTCCTCGGTGTCTTCAGCGGCGGTAACAGGGAGACACTCGAGGTCAAGCTTCGCCTATCCGGATCCGCCAAGCCTCAATGGCAGACAGACGTCTTCGACATGGCCATGACCCCCGGCGGTGTCGCCGAGTGGAATTCTCTCGTCCAGTCCAACCCCCAGCTTGGCCAGCCACAGCACGTGTCGAGAGTAGCCTCGCCAGCCTTGTCACATGGGCCGCCTGCCGTGATGCCTAGGCGTGATTCATTCGGTCCCGCCATGCAGAACAGCATGGACGACGTCCAGCGGGTCGCTCCCATCCCCGTTGATCCCAACTCCGTCCCCGACAATCAGGGCGGCTCGTCACGCCCTTCAAGCAGAGCCTCCAACCGAGCACCACGAAAACGAAAGCCCACTGGTCGCCCCCGTGGACGGCCTAGGAAGAACCCCATCGAAGGCAATACATCCGGGTATGAGGACTGCACGGAAGGAGAGGATGGCCCGGCTAAGAAGCGCGCCAAACCTACCCAGGTCGACAAACCCAACCCGTTTGCAGGTGGCCCAGACTCTCTGCGGGTTGCCGCCAGCGCCTCCGCCTCGCTGCGAAACTTTCGCCCCGTTGCTACGAACAGTGAAGGTGCTGCAGGCAGCCATCTTCAGGAAGTGCCACGGGCCCCTACTCCTGTGCCCAATGGTTCAGCCTTTCCTGGTCGCGCCTTAAATATCCGGCGTGAGTCAACGCTGGGACAAAAGCCCATGAGCTATGCCGCTTCTACCGACGGCGATGCTAGAAATCACTTTTCGCCCCAGGATGACGGTCGCTCACCAGACTCCATCGCCCCTACCCCGGCCTTTTCAGAAGATAGCCCGCCAGAGATTGGCTCCTCACCACCAGTTCCACACGCCACTCCTTTCCTCCGTTCCAGCCCTCCACCTTCAAGCCCCGTCTTACCACCAATGCCGCCTTCTAAGATGCCTCGCGACGCTAGTTTCCTGTCCGATAACATGGAACTCTTTGGCGAGGAGTCATTGCCACCTCCCCAGCCTAACGTCCCTGCTCCCAAGGCTGCGTCGCGGGCACGCAACGGGAAGGCCCAAACCAATAACGCGCGAAGTGTCCCTATACAGGTCTATCAAATGCAAGATGGACCCCAGGGCCAAGATCTGGTTCACATCTGCAGCTACAACACCACATACCCAAACACATCACAACAGCAACACTGGCAACCGAAACAGCAGCCGCCAGGACAGCAGACACCGCCTGAGCTTCCGCCTCTCAAGCAGTCAGCGCCGCGGCCATCTCCCGTAACTGTGCCTATCAACAAGGATCGCGTTCCCTCGCCGCCTGGCATGGCCCCGACGCCGCCTCCCACAACCGATGCCGTAGAGAAGCCTCCTACGCCGGTTGCGGACCTACCCGAGGTACCCGTTGAGGCAAGGGAAATCCGAAGGATCGCACCAGAGCCAGTGGCTCAGCCTGCTGCCGAAGACAAGCAGAGGCCGTCGTCTCAACCACCTGCCTCCACAACACCAGTACTGAAAGCGAAGAAGCCTTTAGCTCGGTCCAATTCTGCCGGGCCTCTCATGATGCCCAACCTGCCGGCGAGTGAACCAGCTGGTCCATCTACCCTCGCACAAACATCAGCAGCCGAAGAGGACATTCCTCATTTTCAGCTGGCTAATCCTCGACGAGTCTACGCAGCTGGAGCTATGGAGATGGTGCCAGCCAGTGACCCGCCAGCACCAATTGTACGACCAGGCAAACCCACCATGCCCGAGGCCACCATGCCACCCAGCGAGCCCATTCAGCCCCCACCTTCATCACCCAACAACAGGTCAAACAAGAACATTGTGAAGAAGCACGCTATTAAGCAGCGCTTGGAGGAGGCAATCATGAATGGCACGATGCCTCCCTTCTGCAGTAATTGTGGTGCAATTGAGACTCCTACGTGGCGCAAGATTTGGGTTCAGGATCGTGAAGGGGTTCCGGAGTATGCTGAATACTCGGAAAAGCCTGGTCGAATTACCGCCATTGAAATTACGCAGCGTGACGAGAACGAAAAGCCAACTCAGCATCGAGTCATCAAGAAGGGCCTTGGGCCAACGGATGACAAGGCCAACTGGCAAGAGCTGCTTCTATGTAACCCGTGCGGTATCTGGCTAACAAAGTGCAAAACTCACCGGCCTGCTGATCGATGGGACAAGGACGCCTCCCGTCTTGGTCAAGAACGCCGCAAAAGAGGCACTGGTCGCTCAAAGAAGAGCCGAGCTAAGTCGGACAGCGCGCCAAATCCCATTTCGGAGGCCTATCTTCTCACAGATGCCATGGGTCCACCTGAGCCTTCCTCCCCAAAGCACGATATGTCCAGCACTGCCACCAGGGGATTGCCTTCGGTAACACAGGGCAACTCATTCACAACCGATGGCTACATCATAGATGCACAATCCATTCCGGGATCGACACACTCGGCTGCGAGCGGTGATGGTACGGCGAGAAGCCCAATTGATCTTGAGCTAGATCAAGCCATGGGCACCACAAAACGACTGCTATTCCCTTCACCGAGAAAGCCTGGCACGCCCAAGGTCCTCAGTACTGTTGATGTCAATGTTGTCTTGACCGATGACATGTGCAACCAGAACAAAGGCATTTTCGGCGAGAAGGAGAATATGCCAATCGTTACACACGAAGGCCTTCTCGAATGTGACGACCCGGAAGCTCTCTTCCGCAACCCCGTGATTGCCCGCCCCAGCACGCCCACGAACGCCAAGGCGTCTGTATCCGCTGAGCCATTCAAGACTCCTACTCGTGCGACACCCAGTCATCGGCCTGTCACAAGAAGTGTCTCCAAGTCTCTACGTACAGTGCGATCTGTCTCTTCGCCCAGCCAGCTCGCTCTGCTGCAGGCCACCCCAACCAAGACGCCTCGCTCGATTCGAGGTCTGACAAGTTTGGCTCGAAGACGCAGCCCTCGTAACCATCAAAATAGCTTTGGAGTCTGCGAGACACCAATTTCGAAATCAATCAGCCAATTCTTTTCGGAGCCCGCCTTTGCCCTTGACAGCGAAATGGACTTGGACATCAGCAACATGCATGATCCGCTCATGGAGTTTGGCAATTTCCTCAGCACCGACGCAATCATGCCAAGCTCGCCCCCTAGAAATGGGTCAGCTCTGGATGCGTCGGCCTCGTTTGATTACGAACCTTGGGCCCATTGGAACGTGGACGACCCGACGCAAGGGGAGAATGAATAAATGTTTGCGCACTTGTTCGGATCATTTTGATTAGTTACAATTGCTTTAATCATGGAGTTGAAGGATATGGCGTTTTTAGCAAAAGAATTGCTTCTAGGACTGGACTACTTAGCGCGGACATCAGAGCTTTGGACGTGGCGTTTCAGGAGCATAGTTTACTTGCATTCATCCGAAGAAATACAGTTTCAATAGAATTTTGATATCATGAACGTCGCTTTTTCAAACCACTACAGACTTCTTTGCGGTGAACAGCCCTGTTGGGTGCTGGGTTTGGCGCTATGTAGTTGGCCTAGCCAGTCAAGGTGGGGGATTTCAATTAACGCGGGCAGGGACAAGACGCGTCTCGCCGCGTCTTCTACACCCCACACTTGAACATTGTACATTCGACCAGCAACGAGGAAACAAATTCTCTTAAAAGACAGACGACAAATCTGACCAACCGATTACAAGAGGATTCTCCCAAAAGAGCACTCTACCCAAGAGCAAAGGGCCAGCCGCTTGCAAGCAACACCGCCCGCCATGGCTGACAGTGAGCTCCAACGGCTCTTCTCCGCCAGCCGGGCTGTCGAGCCCGACGTCGCGGCGGAGCTGGAGTCGATGATGCGCCTACATGAAGTCTCGGCCGAGGATCTCTTCTACAAGTGGGAGTCGTACTGCATGAAGCTGGACCTGGACGCGGGCGAGGCGCTGACCCTGGCCAACGTGCGGAACCTGAAGCAGAGCATGATGGACGAGCTGGCCAAGGCGGCGGCAACGCCAGCGACGGACATGGCAAGCAAGCACAAAGCGGAGAGAAGGGCTACGGGGACGCCCAGAGCTGCGGCGAATGGTGGTGGTGGTGGAGGGGACATGTACGGGATGTTGGACGGGTTGATGCCGAGCACGCCGACTACGGCGCGAGGAAGCTCAAAGCTGGGAAGGGCAGCGGCGCCGGGGAGTGCTGGCGGCAACTCGCTGCGCAAGAGGATGGAGGCGTCTAAGCTGGCGAGCTCGCCGGCTGGGGGCATGGCCGAACAGCTCGCCGATATGGGTAGTGGTCTACCGTGAGTTCTCAATCTCCCCCCTCCCTTTCCATCCTCAAACGCTGACAAAAGTCTCCTTCTTTTCACAGACACAGCTCGTTCAACGATCGCCAAAATGCCGGCGACGTCGTCGAGGTACTCAATGGACACCTCGCGTCCGCCACTCCCCCCACGAGCGACTACACCGCGCCGCGCATCAAGCTGACGGCGGCGTCGGACCAGAAAAAGATGGCCTACAAGCCGCTGGCGATGAAGCTGTCCGAGGCGAGCGAGATCCTGGACGACCGCATCGACGACGTGGCGACGCTCGTACAGCGACACCACGGGCTCGACGACGGCGCCTTTGGCAACCCGGCTAGCCAGGGGACGACGGAGATTGTCGCGGTCGGCCGGGTCGCCTCCGATGCGCCCGAGGGCCGTCTCAACGCGGCGAGCTTGGTGCTGGAGACGTCGCGCCGTACGGGTATGGGCTTCCGTGTGCCGCTCAAGATGGACGCGGTGAAGGGGTGGAGCGTGTTTCCGGGGCAGGTGGTGGCGCTGCGCGGGACGAACGCGACGGGGGCCGAGTTCGTGGTGCGCGAGGTGTTGGAGGTGCCACTGCTGCCGAACGCGGCATCGACGGGGAGCGCGCTGGCCGCGCACGAGGAGCGCATGCGCCCGCGCGACCCGGACGCCATGTCGGACGACTACGACAACGACGAGCCGCCGCCGCCGCTGCATATGATCTTCGCGGCCGGCCCGTACACGGCCGACGACAACCTCAACTTTGAGCCGCTGCACGCGCTGTGCGAGCAGGCGGCCGACGAGCACGCCGACGTGCTCGTGCTGACGGGCCCGTTCCTTGACGTCGACCACCCGCTCATCGCCGCCGGCGACTTTGACCTGCCCGAGGAGGCGGCGGCGGAAGCGGACACGGCCACAATGGTGACACTCTTCCGGTACCTCGTCGCGCCGGCCATCGCGCGGCTCGCCGCCGCCCGGCCGCACGTCACCGTTGTCGTGGTGCCGTCGGTGCGGGATGTGCTCGACAAGCATGTCTCGTGGCCGCAAGACGCGATGCCGCGGCCCGGCACCGGCCTGCCCAAGGCCGCGCGCCTCGTTACCAACCCGATGACGCTGTCGGCCAACGAGGTGGTCATGGGCGTGTCGGCGCAAGACGCGCTGTGGGAGCTGCGCGCGGAGGAGCTGTCCGCCGCGGGGGCAGCGGGAGGGGACTTGCTGGCGAGGCTGTGCAGGCACATGATCGAGCAGAGGCACTATTTCCCGGTGCACCCGCCGACGGACCGCGCGAGGCTGCCGCGGACGGGCACGCTGGACGGCGGCGTGGCCACGGGCGCGATGCTGGACGTGAGCTACTTGAAGCTGGGCGAAATGGTGAATGTCCGGCCAGACGTGATGCTGACGCCGAGCGCGCTGCCGCCGTTTGCCAAGGTATGTTTCTTATCATCCCCTTCTGTGGTTCTTTCCATTCTTTTGCATTTATCAAGGCAAAGGAGGAGACGGGTATATACTGACGATGGGGACAAACTAGGTCGTCGAGAGCGTGCTGGTGATCAACCCCGGATACCTGTCCAAGCGCCGCGGCGCCGGCACGTATGCGCGCATGACGCTGCATCCGCCCAAGATTGAGGGCGATGGCCTGCAGAGCCATCGCGTGTTTGACCGTGCCAAGGTGGAAATCGTGAGGATATAAAAGACGACATCAACGAAGCATGAGGGAGGACTGCGTGTGCGCGTGCATTAATCTTTAGCTTTCAAAAGGGGTTGCAAACATTGGGTATACAAAAATCTGCTTGGGTGTTTCTGTATTTGTTTCACTAAATGGAAGAATTCGTTTTGTTTTGTATTTGGCCATGGTCTGTTTGACATGGCAGAGAAACGCTAAGTATTGATGGAAATACAAAGAAATTGGCTTGGTATATGAACGTACATGCAGACTACCGGTCCGCTTCCACTCTTCGTCGCTTGTCCTCGCCGCGATCTCGCGACGAGCTCCTCTTCCTGCTCCCGCGATACTCGTCCCTTTCTCTCCTCGGCGACCTCGACCGCGACCGCGAGCGTCTGCCACCACCGCCGCCGTCACGCCGTCTCTCACCCAACGGCATCGCATTGGCGCCCCTTCCACCCGCCGGGTCGTCTGGTCGAAAGCGCTCGTCATCCGGCCTAAACCTCTCGTCCCCATCATACCGCCCACCACCTCCTCCCCCACGCCTCGCACCTCCACCGCCGCCGCCCCAGGACCCCGTGTCCTCCGTGCGCATATCCCTGTACTTCGTCGCGCCCTTGCGGCCCAGCTTCGTCATGTCCCTCCGCTGGAGGTACGCCGGCAGGGCCTCCCGATCCCTCACGTCGTCCTCCACGCGCGCCCCCATCAGGTCCCGCTGCAGCAGCCCCGCCGCCTCCGCCTCCTCGCGGAAGAACGCGCCCTTGTGGAAGTAGCGCTGCATGTACCCCGCGCGACCCTTCGCGTCCTTGTCGCGCTGCTGGCCCTCCAGGAACGCCGCGTCCTCGGCGGCGCGCTCCTCGGCGGTCAGGTTGCGCCGGCGCTCCACCTCGGCGAGCTCCGCCTCGCGCTCCTCGATGGCCGCGCGCGCGCGCCGCACCCGCTTGAGCTCGCGCACCCGCCACTGCGCCTCCTCGGCCGCCGGGTCCAGCCCGTCGGTCGTGTCCACGTCCGAGGCCGCGCCGTCGGCGTCGTCGTCGTCCTCCCAGTGCTTCTTGCCGGCCGCCCGCGCGGCGAGGTCCTTCTTGATCTGTTCCTCGACAAGCGCGTCGGCGGCCGCCTTCTTCTGCCGGGCAGCCACTTCCTCTTCCTCGGCTTCGGTGGCTGCCTGGCCGTTGGCAGCGGCGCGCTGGCTCTTGGGTACGAACTTTGGCCGCATCATCATTCTTCGGGGGGCTTCGTCTTCGCTGCTATCCTCCTCAGAGTCCGAGTCCTCCTCCTCGGACCCGTCAGAGGGGTCGTCGTCGTCCTTGGCGTCCTCCTCCTCCTCCTCGGTCACGAAGCCTTCCTCCAGGGCGAGCCGCTCCGCATTCTCGGCGGCCAGCCGTTGCGCCTCGGCGACTTGCGCTTCTTGTCGGCGCGCATTGAGGTCGACCTTGCTCAGGTTGCTGATGATCTTGCCAGCGCTGGCGGCGGCGGGCGGCGGCGGGATGGCGGCGACGGGCGCGGTGGTCGCTTCCTCGGTGTCGCTGTCGGAGTCGGAGGACTCGGCGCCGGTTTGCTTGCCAGCGCGATGCCGCGAAGGCTTAAGCGGGTTCGCCGTCATGCGCTTCGGTGGCATTTTGCGAGGGGGGTATTGTTGTGAAGGTTGGGTGAATCAAGTCCTTGAGGCGCAGACAAAATCGCCACTAGCAAATCAAGCTTTTATCGATAAAGGATGCGAATTACCCTGCACCTCTCGTAACACGATTGATTTTTCCTGCATAATGACCCTTCTCTGGCCCAAAATCACTGCTTATTTAGCTACTTTCTTTGGGTAGTCACTTTTTGGGGGTATTCAATATGTCACACTGAACCGTTTGCGGCGTTGATTGTAAACCACCCTTGAGGCTGAGGCAAGAGCTACCCCACCACAGAGCAACCTCGTCACTACAACTTCACTCTTACAAAAACGAGCTCAGTTATCAAAGCAACATACACAATCACCAAGCAAACGCAAACATGGTCGATCGAACAGTTGTTGTTACCGGAGCTACCGGCCTTCTTGGCCGGCAAGTGTCTCGCGCATTTCAGAGGAAGGGGTGGAACGTAAAAGGCACTGGGTACTCTCGAGCTGACGGCGTTGACGTGCTGAAAGTAGACCTTGGCAATCCCAGCGAGATCAACAAGCTTCTGGAAGAGACAAAGTGAGCTACCACCAGTTCAAAATAATGACGGAGAAGACACAATGCTAATTCGACTACTTAGGCCAGAGGTCATTGTTCATTGTATGCCCCCTTTGCCCCTTGATCGCTACTCTAGCTTCATCAATCTCGACCAGCTAACCTTGTCCAAGGCGCAGCAGAGCGTTTCCCCGACAAGGTTGAAAAAGACCCTGAGGGGGCCAAGAAACTCAATGTGTCGGCCACGTCATCGCTCGCGCAATCCGCAGCGGCCAGGGGTGCCTTCCTCATCTACATTTCGACCGACTACGTGTTTCCCGGACGGCCCGGGGAGGCACCCTATGAGGCCGACGCCGAAACAAACCCACCCAACTTGTATGGTCAGACCAAGCTGGACGGTGAAAAGGCGGCACTGGCGGCGGGCGGCGGGGCGGCGGGCTCAGCTGTGGTGCTCCGGGTGCCCGTGCTCTACGGATCGGCAGAGACGCCGGCGGAGAGTGCCGTCAATGTGCTGCTGGATGCCGTCTGGAAGTCTCAGACAGAGGGCAAGAAATTTAAGATGGACCACTGGGCGCCACGCTACCCGACGAACACCGAAGACGCGGGTCGAGTCTGTCATGGTATGTCTCAAGAAAAAGAAAAAAACAACGGCGCACAATTCTTCTTGTCTTTTCTTCATTTCTTCTTTGCCTGCCGTGCGCGTCTGGGATGCACAGCATTCAGCATGTCGCGGAGCTGGTCCGAGTCACTGCGAAAGGCCAACGTCCCTGTACAGCGAAGGAAGCTAACATGAGTTATGATGCGTAGATATTGCGGAACACTACCTGAACGCTCCTGATCGGGCCGCTCTGCCCAACATTTTGCAATTCTCGAGCGAAGATCGAATGACCAAGTATGAAATGTGCCAAAAGTTTGCGGAGATTATGGGGTTGCCGACGGACAACATTGAGCCCAACACAGAAGGCAACGATCCGGCTGCCGCCGTGCAGCGTCCTTACGACACGCACTTGAGCACGAAGGCGCTCAAGAGTCTGGGTGTCGATGTTTTCACCTGCGATTTTACAGCGTGGTGGAGGCGCGAGCTGGGGGCGTTTCGCAAGTGATAATGTCAGGCCCGTAGGCTCTGCAACAGAACCTACACAATACAGACTCTTGCACTCTCTACAAGAAACCACGAGTGACTGCTGGTATATACGCAGAGACGTACCAGCCTGCAGCTGCAACGGGAATCAATGTGGTATGTAGACTGGTACCATCGGGGGCACCACTGTTATTATCGGGAGATTAAGAATTGGAATGGATGTGCGTATGCGGGTATACGAGGAAATTGTCGACCCGTCACATTTCAAGGGAAAAGATGACAGTCATGGTGGCGGCCGCAGCAGTGGGCTTTTTTCTTTGGGGTAGGTAAGCCACAATTTCCTTCATCTTGGCCCTGCAGCAGGACTCTTTTGTATAATTCATACAAATATTGCGAGCGAATGACCGACCGACCCCGGAGAAAAGGGAAAGGATCAATCAGGCGCGGGTAGCTGTCTTAGCCTGGGCGGGCGAGAACTGCATGTCTCTGCTGCTCATTTGCATTTGCGGCACGGACTTCTAGCTCTGCGAGCTATTTCAATACAAGAATGTGCGATGCCAGCGAGAGCCCGCAGATACGTGTCGTGATCAACACAGGGAGCTGCTGCGGAGAGCCAAGAATAGTAACTATTAACCCTGCCAGACGGCTCGATATGGCCAATGCCTGCCGATGGCGAGCGAGCGCCGAGCCGTGTGGGTTGCCGGCCGCGATATGGTAGTGTCAGCCGTTATTTATTGCCCTTTATTTATTTTCATTTAACAGCGATTTTTTTTCTAGTGTATTTCTCGATTATTTGCTCCGAATAGGAGAAAAGAATGATTTCGCAGGGGCGGGGCGGGTTTAACTTTGCTTCTCCCTGCGCAAAATCCTCAAGTGTCGTTGCTTTTTCCCTTGCCAAGTTCCAGAACCAGACACAGGGGTCCCTTGCTATGCCTCACGCCATCGATTACGGATAACTGGTTAACTAACTAGTGGTAGCTTCGACGGATAGTCAGTTGCTTCGAGACAGACCAGGTCCGGACCGGACATCAAGGAGCTGGAATGTACCAATCGCAGTGAGCGCGTCCGAGACAACGCCCCGGAAGCTTGGCGCGTGAAGCAAGCCACTGACAACATTCATTGCCTGCCCTCTCTGGAATCTTGCAAGCGAGAGAGCGTGTCTCGACGGAACGGCGTGGAATTGAAATAAAACACGAAAATAAAAATAAAATAAAGGTCAGTAAATATCCTTGGCGATGGCCCGCGTGGAGGCACCACTCTGTCATTCCCCCAACTCCTCCCTGGAAGTCACCAACAACTCGACGAACCCCGTTTTCTTACGATCGTTTCTTTAACTCTTCATCCCCTCTTCATTCCTTCATGGTTGCCCTTGTCGTACGATTCGATCCCTCGATATTGCCGCTGCCTCTGTATCCGTGGAGACGGCTCTCCGGCGTGCTTGATTGAAGGACCCTGGTTTAATCATTTTACGATACGTTTGCGAGAATTGATCAGATGACAAAGTCTGTGCAAGTCGTCTAATTGCACAGTCGACTCTCTATTGCTTTCTATACCTCAGGCAGGCTGTTTTGGTTCACGGAGCGCAGTCGAGAAACCGGACATCTCAACCCAACAAGATTATTCGACAAAAAGCGGCAAAAACAACAGAACAGCTTCAAGCTTGGCGAAATTTGACTCGCGATGGCGACAGAGGTTGCTGCTCCCACGGAGCGTCCTTCGTCTACGTCTCGATACCGCATGCTTCGCGGCAAGAGCGTCTCCGCGCCGCGTGCCCTCGACATCTTCCACGACGGCAGGGACAAGGCGGACGGGTCGCCGCTTAGCAGGCCGCAAACAAGCAGCGGACATACCTCGAAAGCCGGAACTTTCGGCGGCGCCGAGGAGAAGAGCGCCGCTCCGCCGCTACCAGACGACGTGCCTCCGCTGCCATCTTCTTACGCACTGGCGCCGAAGCCGGTCAACATTCCTCTCCCGCCGTCGCCGTTGCCGCTCAAAATCGTGAAGCAGCAGAAGCCTGCCCAGGTCCGGGCAGTAGAGGACGACGCTGCGAAGCGCAGCACCGAGACCCCGTTGGGCGAGGAGGAGCCGCCGATGACGCCGCTGCAGCAGGTCAAGAGCAAGCTGTCAAAAGGCCTCATCTTCGGCGCCGGAGGCAAGAAGGAGCAGCAGGAAACGACCGAGCCGCTGCCGGGTGTCGAGACCATGCAGACGGAGGTGCAGCGCAAGATTGCCGAGCAGAAGAGGCAGGACCTCGCACGGCTGCAGGCGACGCTGCTGACGACGACGCCGACGCTGAAGCCCAAGACGTCGCTGTTCAGCCTCTTCTCGCGGGGTAGGAAGTCGTCGACGCCGACACCCTCGGCATCGTCACCGATCACCGCGGCGCCGGACACGCCCAGCTCCCTCGCCACGACCGTCTTTTCGAGCCGCGGCAACAGCCTGGAGACGACGGAGAGCGCCAAGTTTTCAGACCAACTGTGTCAGGGGATGCCGTATACGCCGGAACGGGCCACGCCGCCCGTGATTCGCACGTCGTCGCAGACATTTGAGAGAGTAAGTTGCTACCAATCGAGTTCTTTGTTACTTTTAGTTGGAACATGTGAACGCTGACGTCGAGTTCCAGCGCGTCGCGGTCCGGTGCCAGTCTTCCACCATCAACCTTGCCGTCTCGAACGAGACAACGGCCGTGGACATCCTGGACATGGCGTCGGCCATGACGCGGCACCGCATCGACCCGGCCAGCAGCGTCGTCGTCGAGTCGTACCTCGTGCTGGGCCTGGAGCGCCGCCTGCGCCGGTACGAGCGCGTCCGCGACGTCATGAACACCTGGGACTCGGACCACGAGAACTCGCTGCTCGTGCTGAGCTGCCCCACTGCGTCATCCTCGGCGGCTCTTGCGGCGGGCTCGTCTGGTGACAGCGACCTCGACATCGACCCCGTGGCCGACTCCGCCGAGCCCCCCGCCGGCTTCCACAACCTGGAGCTGCACCTGTCCTCGCGGCCCGGCAAGTGGAGCAAGCGCTGGATCACCCTCAAGGACAACGGCCAGATGTACTCGGCCAAGACCGAGGACGCCCAGCCCGGGGAAGACGACGACGACGCGGACTGCATGCCGCTCTGCCACCTCTCTGACTTTGACATCTACTCCCCCAAGGAGATCGAGGTCCGGCAAAGCGTGCGCCCGCCCAAGAGGCTCTGCTACGCGCTCAAGAGCCAGCAGCGCAGCGCGCAGGTCGCGGACGAGGCTGACTTTGTCCACTTCATCGCCACGGACAGCGAGGAGATGGCAGCGCGCTTCTACGAGGCGGTGCACCACTGGCGCAGCTGGCTGCTGGCGACGCGCAAGCTCGCCCTCGACCGTAAGATGAGCGCCCCAGCACCACGCATTTCGTTTCAGAATCCTCCTCCTACTGCTGCGCCTCCTGCTGCTGTGACTCCTGCTGCTGCCCCTCCTACTGCTGCTGCGGCGACGAAGGCAGAAAGCTCGGAGGCTGCGGCCGACAAGCCCAGGTTCCTCAACAGGGACCCGTCGAGCGGCGCCGTCTTCAAGATTGGCAGCTTCGAGCCGCTTCTGGACATGGACAATATCGAGCAGCTGGCCGCGGAGGCGCGGAAGCGGATGCCGGTCGAGCTACCAAAGCCCGCCGTCGTGGAGGAACAAAAGGACGCGATCCCGCCCACGCCTGATCGCCCGCCCCCGGCCACGCCCGGGTCCAAGGCTAAGAATCAGGCCAAGTCGTCCCACGACTCGTCCCCAACTTCCGTTTACCGCATCTCGCCCGGCCCGGCCCCATCCGACAGCGTGCCGAGCCCCCCGCTGTCCCGCTCAGGCTCGTTTGGGATCGACTCGCTCGTCTTCGACGACTTCCCCGACGCCAAGCCCGAGCCCAAGTCGTGGTTCCCCTCCGCGGCCGAGCACACCGCCAAGCTGCGCAAGGACTTGCCGCCGCCGCCACCGCCAGCTCCTCCATCGCCGCCCATGTTCCGCCGGCCCGGGACCGCCGACGCCGCGACTCCCCTCCACCCCCACCACAACCAGCGGCGGGCGGCCAACGGGCTGCCGCCTATCGACACGCGCTTCCTGGAGCCCCCGCGGCCGTTTGAGTACTTTGGCATCCCGCCCCCGAAGCCGGGCGGCGCCGGCCCGCCCATGTACAGGGGGCCCGGAGGGCCGCGAGCAGGGCGACCGATGCCGCGGCCCTTGATCAACCCGATGGGGTCGGGGGAGATGGGGCCGGGCGGCGCGAGGGCAAGGAGCCGATCGAATGCGGCCAACAGCGGGCGGGTGCCGGGCGGGCGGCCGATGGTACCGCCGGTGCCCTCGGTCGCGAACCGGTCCATGGCGAGGGATGCCCCGTCGCAGGCGCCGTCGGTGCCGCTGCCGGTCCACCCGCCGTACCAGCCGCAGCGCGGGATGCCAGCCGCGCAACCCGTCTCTCAGCGCTAAATCTAGCGTCAACAAGCATTCATTTCACTTTCCTTTGTCCCGCTGCCTTTGAGCATGAATCACTGATATTTCTCCCCTTGTCTCTTGTAACGTGGGTTCTGATTTTGTGGTGTTGGCGTTGGTTCTTGGAAACTCCTTGGCTCGGATCCAAGGCAGTACTGTCTTGTCTGAATTTGTCCTTTTCATAGTAGCTGGAGGCGCATTCAGGCGTATAGAAACAAATGTTTATAGCATAAACTGAGACTAGATTGATCCTCATGCCAACAATGGTCATTTAAAGCCTGGTACTCTGCAAAATACTCGATACGTCAGATGGCTATCGCATAACATCTTGTGTTATTTCCATAAGAATAAGCCATCTCAATTTAGAAGTCGTCTTTTCTTTTAGATTCTATAGTTAGCACATGCCTCGTCGCCTTGGCGGGAAAGAGTGACGGACAGATTGTATAAGTGCACAGTGTAAAATACAGTATATCCCATCATTAGCACTGTAAGTGACGCGCCAAACCACCAGATCGCGACAGCTTCCACAAACGGCGGGCCTGGTCTAGATCAATAAATGTTCCAAAACACAGCCTAGTCCGCGCCACAACTAGGGATGCCAGTCTTGTCGCTGCTATTCAGCTCATTCCATTGAATCGGGTACTTGAACTTGACCGAGATTTTCATTGGGCCGACTGCTGGTGCGCATCCAAACATACCATGGCGCTCTCCGCGCACGAGCTCTCGCAGCTGCGAGAAGCCCTGCAAGACGCAGTCGTCAGGTGCTCAGAGCGCTGCTTATACCAATCAGCAAAATGGTACAAGCCACATCTCTACTCTACTTTCCCCGCCACTGCACACGATGGCTAACGTGAACGCAGGGCTGCGGAGCTGTTAACCTCCCTACCTGAGCCAAGAGACGAGGAGCTGCAGGACCAAGACGCCGAGCAGCCGGTGCACCTGTCGCCCGTCTTCCTGCCGAACCAGGACCCGGAGGAGGCGTGCCTCGAGGCCAAGGAGCTCAGCAAGTACCTCCTCGCCAAGTCGCTGTTCGACTGCCGCGAGTACGACCGCTGCGCCGCCATCTTCCTACCCGACGCCCTCTTCTCCACGGTGCTCACCGCGAATGCGGATACGGGCGCCTCGCCGAGCAAAAGCAGAGGCAAGGCGCGGTCGTCGGCCGGCGGCGCCAAGCCGGCGGCCTTGCTCCCGCACATTAGCCAGAAGAGCCTATTCCTGGCCCTCTACGCCAAGTTTCTCTCCGGCGAGAAGCGCAAGGCGGAGGATTCCGAGATAGTGACTGGACCGCAGGACCTGGGCACGGTTGTGAATAAGCAACTGCTCGCCGTGGGGAGCTATCTGGCGTCGTGGTTCGAAGCAAGGACGGTGGACAGTGAAGTGGTAGGGAGCCAGGGCTGGTTGGAATACCTGTATGCGAGCGTGTTTCCCCTTGAAGACCCAGAATTTTTGCTGACTTTGATCCCAGATATGGCATGGTGCTTGCCAAAGAGAAGAACGATAAAAAGGCTCTAGGATTTTTCCTACAGAGTGTACACAAGTTTCCCATGAATTGGGGCTGCTGGCTCGAGATTACCTCATTGACCTCGAGAAGCGAAGAAGTGAGTTTTATCGTCATCAGCGCAAGACACAAGCTAATCTTGAGCAGTTGGATCGCATATCTCGGCACTGTCCGCAGAATATCATGTCATACTTGTTTCACCTACATACGTCGCTCGAGCTGTACCAACATTCGACAAGTGTGGCCACCTCGCTCGAGCAACTCATGGCCATCTTCCCAACGTCGTCATTTCTCCTCACCTGTAACGCGTTGCTGGCATATCACGAAAAGGACCTCCTGCTAGCAGAGCAACACTTCAGCCGTCTACTCTCCTTGCACCCCCATCGTCTGGATTCCTTGGATCACTATTCTAATATTCTATACGTCTTGAACCTCCGACCAAAACTCGCCTTCTTAGCACATCTGTGCTCCAGCGTGGATAAGTTCCGACCAGAATCTTGCGTTGTTATCGGAAACTACTATTCGTTACTCTCCATGCACGAGAAGGCGGTCCAGTACTTCCGCCGCGCCCTGACACTAGACAGGACTTGCCTATCAGCCTGGACGCTGATGGGGCACGAGTATGTCGAGCTCAAGAATACACACGCAGCAATCGAATCATACAGACGCGCAGTAGATGTCAACCGCCGCGATTACCGCGCCTGGTATGGCCTCGGTCAGACATATGAAATGCTTGAGATGCACACATATTCGCTGTGGTATTACAAAAAAGCCGCGGGTCTGCGGCCATGGGACGGCAAGATGTGGATGGCTGTTGGATCATGCTTGCAGAAGATGGGGAGAGACCGCGATGGAATCAAGGCGCTGAAGCGTGCTCTGCTCGCCGATACATATTACGACGCGGGCAGCAGCTTCGGGAACAGCGATGGCCTCGGCCCGCACGCGGCAACAGCCCACATGGATCCTGAGATCCTCCTGCAGATCGCCACCATGTACGAGCAGCTCGGCGAGGAAGAGGAAGCAAAGTCATACATGGAACTCTGCGTCGGTCAAGAGGACGGTGGCGGCGGCCCGGCCGGAAGGGATGCGGACGGCTCTGTCATTGACCCGTCCCGCACGCACACCGACTCGCCGGGCGACTCGGACGAGGGCGAGCGCGAGGAAGGTCGCAACGAAGGAACCGGCGTCACTGCGGCGACTAGCAAGGCGCGCATGTGGCTGGCTCGCTTCGCCATGCGCACCGCGGATTACACCGTCGCCCACAGGCTCGCGACGGAACTCTGCCAGGACGGCGTCGAGGTGGAGGAGGCCAAGGCGCTGGTGCGGGAGGTCCGCTCACGGCTGGACGCTCCCGGAGGAGGGATGTTCACGTGAGACGAGTAACGGAATACGGGGGACATGTCATGATGACGGCAAAACACTTGATAGATGATTGGCTGATGCCCAATACCATTGTCAATATATCCATACGGCGAAATGAGATGTGTTGTCTGTGATAGAGCAAGGCATCTCGTAATAAGCGTTTCTACAGTTCGTGTACACGAATCGGCCTTGTGTAATGTGTGGAAGATGATGTATTGTGTAGGTTGCGACTAGCAGGCCGGCGTCGGCCACACACCTTACACCTTGCTGGTGACAATCAAGCCTTTGACGAAGCTTAAATCTTAGTCTCTCACAGCACAGCATCACAAAGAGCACAGAAAGTTGCAGTCGGCGCTATTAGGAAAGGAGTGACAGTATTAACAAGTAAGTAAAAACAGAAAAACCCCTGAATTATTAACCTCCCCTATTATAATATTGACCGTAGCAATACAGGATGTAGCCAACCGAAATCTCTTTTAGAAGATGATCAAAACAGAAGCGAATTTTTTTTCCTTCTAAAACCAAAACGACCACATTAAAACATCCCCCCGAATCAAGCAAAAGTTTCAGACCGGCGCCTGCCGAGACGCCCCAAGCGTGGGGCAAAGGGCTCCCCGGCAGCGCCGTAGCGCAGCGAAAAGCTCCGCTTAGAGGGCCAGGGCGACGGCGGCCGCAACGACCAGGGCACCGAGGCTCGCACCGAGGCGGCCGGCACCGGCGGTGACGGTGCCAGGAGCGCCGGGCTTGGCAGGTGAAGCAGGGGTGCCAGCGGTGCCAGGGGTGCCAGGGGAGCCAGGGGAGCCAGGGGCGGCGGGGCTTGCGGCCGGCGCACCAGGAGCGGCAGGAGCGGCAGGGCTGGCAACGGGAGCGGCCGGGTTGGCAGCAGGAGGAGCAGGCTTGGCAGCGGGAGGGGGGCTGGCGGCAGGAGGGGCAGGGCTGACGGCAGGAGGGGCAGGGCTGACGGCAGGAGGGGCAGGGGGAAGGTTAGTAGCCGGCGGCTGGGTGGCGACGGTGGTGACGATGGTGCAGGGGCACTCTGCGGGAGCGGGATGTGTTAGCCGAGCATTCTAGGGATAGGGTGAGAGCGCGCTGAGCTTGCACGTACCAGTGACGACCAGAAGCGTGGCCTTGGTGACGGTGATGGTCTTGTCGGAGCGGATGGGAATGAGAGTGGGACCCTATTGCGGTGATGTTAGTTGACGCTTTCTTCACACGTGTGGGGGAGCAACTCGATAGCCACCTATACGGCCCAGAAAGAAGCACTGGGAAAGGCGGCATCTTGGGCGTAGCGAAGTGTAGCAGTCGAGCACTCGGATTAGACGTACAGGGCAGAATGTGGTGAACTTCTCAACGACAGTAGTGAAGGTGTGCAGGTTGGTGTTGTTGTTCTTGTTGTTGTTGTTGTTCTTGTTGTTGTTGTTGTTCTTGTTGTTGTTGTTGTTCACGTTGTTGTTGTTGTTAACATTGTTGTTGTTGTTAATGTTGGTGTTGTTGTTGTTGTTGGTGTTGTTGTTAACATTAGTATTGGTGTTGGTGTTAGTGTTGTTGTTGGTGTTGGTGTTGGTGTTAGTGTTAGTGTTGGTGTTGGTGTTAGTGTTGGTGTTGGTGTTGGTGTTGGTGTTGTTGTTAACGTTGTTGTTAATGTTGTTGTTGATGTTGTTGTTCTTGTTGTCGTTCTTGTTGTCGTTCTTGTTGTCATTCTTGTTGTCATTCTTGTTGTGGTCCTTGTTGTCGTTCTTGTTGTGGTCCTTGTTGTCGTTCTTGTTGTGGTCCTTGTTGTAGTCCTTGTCGTGGTCCTTGTTGTAGTCCTTGTCGTGGTCCTTGTCGTGGTCCTTGTCGTGGTCCTTGTTGTGGTCCTTGTCGTGGTCCTTGTCGTGGTCCTTGTGGTCCTTGTCGTAGTTCTTGTCGTAGTCGTTGCCGTAGTCGTGGCCGTGGTCGTTGCCGTAGGTCACGTTCTTGCCCGGAGGCTCACTGAGAGGACCGGTGGCGGCAGCATGGGCGCCGACCACGAGAGCGAGAGTGAAAAGGGAGAGCTTCATATTGGGCTTGTTTGCGAGAAGCGAATGTGGTGAACTGGGTTGGATGGACGTTCGTAGCAAAAGAATCAAATGCTATTTTTTTGTTGGAAAAAGGAAAAGAAATCAAGAGGTGTGCTCGGGGGGCTGCGGATGGTCTTTGTGGTCCAACATCTGGAGAGTCGCGGGAACCGGATGCAGCGAATGAGACGAAGAGAAGGTACGAGAGAAGTACAAGAATAGCAACAGAAGCCAAAAGCAGTAAAGAAAATCCGTAGCCGGCGAAATTTAGCAAGGGCGAGTGAAGTGATGCCGCATGGGTCGATGATGCGAGGCGGGTTGCGGATGTCGTCGCCGGATGCGGATGCGGAGGCCCCACTCCGACCGCTGTGCGGATCCGGAGCTTGCTGGTCTTCGGTGTAAGTCGAGCCGCCCCTCCCTCCCATGCCCTACTATCTACCATCAGGCTGTGTGCGGTCGGCGAGACGAAAACAACGCCTTTCCCTTCCAAAGCAGCCGGCTCTTGTCTTGTTCTCATTCTTTTTGCAAAGTGCCTCACCACTAATCCTGGCTTGGTGGCAAGGGATGGGGCTGTGTGCCGGGCCGATGCTGATAGGCGGAGATGTCTCTCTCGTCCGGAACGGGGTGGAGGAGCTGGGCTCAGCCGGGAGAAAACTTAAAAAAAAGTCCGAGCCTGCTTATCAAGGGAGAATCCATTGTGAAAGCAAATGTGCTGACCAGGGCGAGTAGTGGTGCGATTGGAAATGTTGCTCGTTTGCGATGCCAAGTTGTGATGCCTCCGTTGCCGTCCCTTGAGATTGTCAGTTGATAACCTGCATTCGCATATGCCGGGCAGCAAATTCGAGAGCCAACGGCCAGCCTGACAGAACTAGCGCAGGCACGGCGTCGAGGATAACACAGACAAGACGAAGCTCGGCGCACTCGGGATCTTCTCATTGGCGGGCCTGTGTGAAGTATGTTGCTTGCTAACATGCATGTGGCAGCTTATGTCTTTTGCAAGGCACAGTCTTGCCCTGGCAAAAAAAGAGGCAGACTGCTCTGCCGAAACTATTAATTTGCTGGTAGGTATGGAGACGAATGGAAGCTGGGCTGATCAACAGGGATCTTCCGCGCTTTGGTAGATTGTATCGTAGACTGTTTGTGGCTGGGCTGGCATCTTACACATCGGCTCACTTATAAGTGATGAATTCCCGGAATGGCGTCGTAGTAGGTAGGGCTGCGGAATTCATCCTGTGCTATGAGTTGCTCTCTTGATTTTATGCTCCCTTTTTCGTGTCTCCAGGGTCTCGAATATTGATTTTCTCTTGATAGCCATGCCATATAGCAGGCCACATGCATGTCAGAGAAGCATCGCATCCATGGCCATGACCCAACGCTGGCCAAACTACCAGTTCGAAATGCTGCGCCAACAAGGGCGCCTCACCACTTTGGGACACGAGGTGGCTTTCTTGACCAGATGGAAAACTGGGGGCAAGAGGTGCGGCCGACGAGGGAGATCCGCGATGTGGTTGTTGAGCATCGGGCCAACCCATCGTTCCAGTGCGCCCCCCGTCCAGCTTGACAAGGCGAGGAGACAAACATGGCTGGTGGCGTCGGGTTGTAGAACTCTCTTTTTCGGGGCTGCGAGTAGAGTTCGCAGCGCACGTCATTCATTGGCTCGGGAGCTCGTCTGGCAGCTCAGAACTAGCTGGAGCTGGTCATGGTCTCGGGGGAAAAAGAAGCTTCTCCAGCCCTGTACGAGGAACAACCCAAGCCACACCGATTCGCAGAGTTTTTCTTTTCCAGAAAATTTCTCAGTAGGAAAGTAAAGTCAACTTTCCCCAACTAGTTAGCTAACTAGTTACTGGCGCTCGTATTTGCGGTGCCCACCGAATATCGCCTTGTTCTCGGCCAATAAGTTGTCGGCGCCGTTTTTGGTTGATCGTGGCGTAGGACAGCCAAAACTTTGCTGCTTGCATTGCAAACGGTGTCACCAGCACCAAAGAATGTGAGGTGTGCCAAGGGTCGTCGGCGAGCTGCTTGCAGAGTGTCGAGGATGCTAGACTGTGGTGGACTCATTGCCCAAATCTTAGAAATCTCATGACGTTCCAACGAACCAACCGTTATCGTGGCTCTGAGACCAGCTCGCCAGGTGCATTGATGTCAATGTATATGTGATATGTCTCAGTGTACCATGCTCTGAATACCAAGTATATGACAAGCTGCATGGTACAATTTCATGCACATTGCCATGGCTTCGGCAAGTTCCTGAAACAATGTAGCTGGCCGCATGCCTTGCGCGGGGGGCTTTGGAGTAAAAAACAAGCCCGCCGCAGCCGTGGATTGTTGGAAGCATAGGGTAGCCACTGTCTATTTGGGCTAGATTTGGTTGCGATCGTCGGTTGCATGTGTCAGACATTGGCTAGACCGTATCGTACTGGGCTTACTTGGCTTTCCTGACCAATAAATCTATGTTTGCGACGTTTCTTTATTATTAGTAGCTGCCAAACGGCGCCTATCCTAAGAGCTAATAAAGCCGGTCGACATTTCCGGTCGAAGGAGTTCTGATGGTGCGGATAGGCGGGGGCTCATGAGGCTTCACTGCGACGTTGCGACCAACCCTGTTGGAGAGGCTGGCCAACCACCTGTAGCCATCTTCAATGATAACTCTGTCAATCCAAGATAAGAACCTGCTTGAAAGTGTCATGTCTCAGCTCATCACCACTGCACCGCTCGCATCGTCGAGCTTCACGAGAGCCCATGTAACTCTGATCCCAATACCCCAAGAACCTGCACGGCAGCGCGCGAGAAAATGGCGCTCTACGGTTGAACAGCGGGAGGATGAGATACACGACCTAGCCAGATTAGACTTCGCATTCAATCAATACTTTAAAAGTGTGTTGGCAGCCTGCATCGGTGACGTGACTGATTGCTAGGCAGCGGAATTGATCTTGTAGCTGCCCTCGTGCAGCCTTGTCCGCGTTCAGACTAGTTAGCATTCCAGTTCTGGTTTTCGAGATGAATGCTGTGGACGTCGTCGCACGCAGTCACAACCCTGCGAACTTGGCTGTTTATTATAGAATAATTCTGTCTTGAAACTGCACGCAAATTGAAAGAATGCGTTGTTGCCATGCAGCTCCAACTTTTGCCTGTTGGCAGTGATATGTCTGTCTGCCGTCCGCCAGTCGACAGTACCACGCACAATGAAAGATGATGACCAGGTTCACGCGTGCATGAACGTTCGTTCAACAGGGTCTTGCAGTCTCAGACCAACTCGCCGCATCCAGTAGGCCAGAAAATTTTGCTTCTTTTTCTAGTCGCCAAGATGACTTCCTAATGCGTCGGTGCTGGAGTATCCGCCGTTTGCTGCCACCCGCGGATTGCCGAACCCAAATTGCGGCTCGGGCTTGTCACCGTCGATCTGGTGCCCGTCGACCCGGTGCCTTGGAGCAATGGTCCTTGCCATTGACCTGAAAGACGCCTTGAGTATTGGATGCGGCCCAGTGCCCCGAAGGAGTTGCTGGTGAGCTCTGACTTCTAACGGAATAAGGCAGCCCAGGCACTAGTACCTGCTAGCGTTGGGATTCCAGATACCGGACGAATCATTTTGGTGCTCAGCTTTTCTTTCCATCAGCTCTGTAGCAGCTGCGCCAAGGTTTGACGCCATTCAGAGCGCCGTCACTTCTTTCGTGAACTCTTGGATGCGTTGAAGCTGACAAGGATGATTTGAAGGACAATTCTTTCAAGTCTTCCGTGTCTTGCCGTAGAAATTGGCGGGGACCCTGCGGTAGTGGGGCGTTAGATACTTGCTTGTACAGCATTTGCACCGCCAATTTGCATGTACTTTTATCACGTGGAGGGGTCACCGCGATAAGTCGTGATACCCAACCGACAACCCTCATTTCCTTACCGCCCCCGCACTTTCCTCCATTGTTTGTATTCAAAGCCGTCAATCTGACTCTGGTCTTTGCTATCCTTGATAACAATCCGAGCAGACAAGATGCCTGCCAACACTACCACCCTTCAGGAGTTTGAGAGCGTCTGGCCCAAGCTCCAGGCCGCCATTCTCGAGCATGCCCAATCCTACAAGCTTCCCCAGGGGGAGACGGAGTGGTTCAAGCTGGTATGCGGGCGTCGAGCCATGCACTTCCAATCAATCCCCGCAGAAGTACTGACCTGCGAATAGAGCCTTGAAACCAACACCGTTGGCGGCAAATGCAACCGCGGCATGTCCGTTCCCGACTCGGTCGCAATCCTCACCGGCGAAAAGCTCAACGAGGAGCAATACTTCATGGCCGCAACTTTGGGCTGGATGACCGAGCTCCTCCAAGCTTTTTTCCTCGTATCCGATGACATTATGGATAGTAGCATCACCCGCCGCGGCAAGCCTTGCTGGTACCGCATGGACGGCGTTGGCACGATCGCCATCAACGATGCCTTCATGCTCGAGTCGGGCATCTACGTCTTGCTCAAGAAGTTCTTCCGCTCACACCCGGCCTACATTGACCTCGTCGAGCTCTTCCACGAGGTAACGCTGCAGACCGAGCTAGGCCAGCTGTGCGACCTCCTGACCGCTCCCGAGGACAAGGTCAACCTCGACAACTTCTCCCTAGAAAAGTACCAGTTCATCGTCATCTACAAGACAGCCTACTACTCCTTCTACCTTCCTGTCGCCCTCGCCCTGCATCAGCTCAACCTCGCCACCCCCAAGAACCTCAAGCAGGCCGAGGACATCCTAATCCCGCTCGGCGAGTACTTCCAGGTTCAGGACGATTACCTCGACAACTTTGGCCTGCCCGAGCACATTGGCAAGATTGGTACAGACATCAAGGACAACAAGTGCTCCTGGCTTGTCAACAAAGCCCTGGAGATCGCTACCCCCGAGCAGCGCAAGATTCTCGAGGAGAACTACGGCCAAAAGGACGACGCCAAGGAGGCCATCATCAAGAAGCTCTACGACGACTTGAAGCTCAAGGATATCTACCTCAAGTTCGAGGAGGAGCGCGCCGAACACATTCGCAACCTCATTGCTAATGTCGATGAGAGCGAGGGGCTCAAGAAGGAGATTTTCGAGGCCTTCCTTAAGAAGATTTACAAGCGCACCAAGTAAGAAATATGCTAGAAAAAAGCGCATGGGTAATTTCAAGGACTGGAGTCTGGAATATCAGCCAAAAAAGCGAAAGTACATTAATTCAACACGCTACATAGGAGCATTTAATCGCCGTCTTGGTCTTGAGCAGAGTTTGGTGAATGTGACCGTGTTCTCAAATAATATTATGGGAAATGCTTGCAAATTCAATCTCTTCTACGATAGGGGATTCCCAACAAAACAGGCATTACTGTGGGTGTTGTTTTTTGCGGCCAAACCAGTACTACATCGGGCGCATACGCGCTGCTGGGGCTTTATTCTAAAGAGGAGTCACGAATCCATGACACAATCGTGAGTTCTCTACTGGTTTGGCAAACTCTTAGTCAAAGCTGGACTCTCTATGTTACTGACGTGTCTATAGTAGAAACATCGCTGTGTCCACCAGGCTGGGCGAACGGCAGGTGATAGAAAGTTCTAAGAAAGGGTTAGTTCTTGTGTGTAGTGAAATTCTATAGACTGGCGTCTAATAGCATCTTCAACAGTGATAATCAAATTTAGTGAACAAATGAAGGATAAAAATGCCATTTGGTAACGAAAAATTATCATTCGAAGCCAAAGAGCCCTATCCTTACTCCGAAAAGGCTCGCATTTTGGCCGCCGGTGGACACTGGCGATGGCGTGATACTTGATGCTGGCCCGAGATCGGTGGCATGCCTCACCAGCCGGATCCGTTTGTTTGTGATCACAGTTCTTGGCCAACATCTAGCACATTCGGTTGCTTTACTTAAAAAATATGTCCGAGGGAGCTGAAAAGGCAGCGGTGGTGCAAACCACCGAGAAGCAGCAGGAGCTTCCAGGACACGCCGGCGCCAAAGCCGACGACGCCACTTCCGCCGCCGCCGCACGCGAGGAACCCGTCCGGCAGGCGTGGTATCAGTGGTTCTCACCGACGGACACGCCCGAGGAGCGGCGGCTAATTGTCAAGCTGGACCTGCTGATCCTGGTGTTCGTCTTCCTCGCGTACTGGGCCAAGGTCCTTGACCAGTCGGCGATGAGCGCCGCGTACGTGAGCGGCATGCGCGAGGACCTGCACCTCTTCGGCAACGAGCTCAACTACCTCAACGCGGCGTACCTGGTCGGCCTGGTGGTGCCGCAGGTGCCGCTGACGCTGCTGATGACGCGCGCGCGCTCCGTCGGCTGGGTGCTGCCCGCGGCGGACGTCGCGTGGGCGGCGCTGACGCTCGCGCAGTTCCGCGTGCGCTCCGTCGGCCCGCTGTACGCGCTGCGCTTCCTCGTCGGCGCCGCCGGCAGCCTCTTCTTCCCGGCGGTGCAGTGGTACCTCGGGTGCTGGTACACGCGCGCCGAGCTCGGCCGCCGCGGCGCGCTCTTCTTCGTCGCCAGCCAGGTCGGCGCCATGAGCGCCGGGTACGTGCAGGCCGGCGCGCACGCGACGCTGCACATGCGCGCCGGACTCGAGGGCTGGCGCTGGCTGTACGTGGTGTGCTTCGCGGCGACGCTGCCCGTCGCCGCGCTCGGCTTCCTCTGCCTGCCCGGTCTGCCAGAGCGCCCGCGGTCGCTGTTCCTGACGCCGCGCGAGGCCGAGCTCGCGCGGGCGCGCATGTGCAAGGAGCGCAGACAGGCCCGCCGGCCGCTGACCCGGGCCGTCTTCAGGAAGACGCTCACCGGGTGGCGCTTCTGGGCGCTCGTCGGCTTCGCCTTCTTCTTCTCCCAGGCCGACGGCGTCTCCGCTAATAGCGGGCTGCCGCTGTGGCTCAAGGCGAGCGGCTATAGCGTCGAGGAGATCAACACCATCACGACGGTGTCACCCGCCGTCACCATCACGTCCGCGCTCGTTTGCGGCGTGCTCTCGGACGCCTACGCCGACGCCAAGGTGCCGCTCATCGCGGCGACGGCGCTGCTCAACATCCTTGCGAGCGCGGTGCTCGCCGTCTGGCATGTGCCGACGGGGCTCAAGTTCTTCGCCTTCTTCCTGGCCGGGTCGGCCAACGGCATCGCGCCGGTCGTCTACGCGTGGGCCAACGAGATTTGCGCTGACGACGCGGAGGAGCGCGCCATCGTGCTCAGCAGTATGAACACGCTCGGCAATGCTTTCGGTGCGTGGCTGCCGCTGTTTGTGTGGAGGACGACGGATGCGCCGCGGTACCTGATCGGATATACGTGGACGATTGGCTTGGACGTGGGCATGCTGGTCATGGTGTTTGTGCTGCGGTCGTTTTGGAATCGCGAAAAGGCGAGATAGGCCGGTACTACGGGGAACGGAAGATTACAGCACCAAGGAGTTAAGCAGGAAGAAGATCAAGTAAAACACTAATATGAGTGAGACTCTCTTTCAACTGGAGTATTGCCCGATTTACATGGTCATGGAACATGTAGTACGTCGACAAGAGGCATTGTCCAGATGCTCAATTACACCAGCCGATGCAGGGTTCGTCATCCGCCGCAACAACCAGAGGTGACAACCTAGCTGGTAAGCAAATTTTCTCAAGCTTCCAGAATTTAGCATGGTCCAGTTTCTGTTGCTTCTACATCTATCTGCGTCCGTGGCGAGGGACAAATAGAGTTTGGAACGGCTCCTCGGTTCGCCTTGCACTGCGCCACCCAAAGGCACGGTTTCCGAAACAAAAGACGTCAAGCGTATAACGAAAAAACTCTATCGAGCAACGGCCTGGGGAAAAATAGTTCCGTTAAGTTTCCGGACGGAGAAATGGAAGCTCGGAGGCGGCCGTTGGTGAGTGGCGATGCCATGACGATGGCGGGAGAGTACGCTGGCAGGCCTTTGACGGGCACAGAATACATTCACATGCGTTACCTTCATTGCTAGAACAACCCCCCAGATAGTAATCATAGCTACATTGAATGCGACTTCCGCCTGCAGTTCTTTTTGTCTCTTCGTCGGCATGTTCCGCTGCCATGTACATCCGACCCGATGTGGTAGAAGTCACGGTACAAGCGCAAAGGACCAGAGTCGAGACCGTCAAAGTACACTTGGCGCTCTTGTGAAGCCTCATATCTGTGCAAGGCGAGAGGTGCGAGGTCTTTGTTTCTTGGTCAGAATATTCGATATTCTGCAATGTCATGCCAAGCACGACAGGCAGTGGGCGGAGGAGGGGCTCAACCTGCTCACTTTTACAGACAAGTACTGGCTCAGAGTACAAGTTAGTCTAAATTGGCTTATTGTCAACTTGTCTAACCACACAATTGAATGATTGAGGAAGGCAATTGTGTAATACACCATTTACAAAAGTCCTCTCGCCTCGGGTACCTCACTCGGAGGTGCACGGCGTGGCTGTGTTTGTTGTATGCACTGTAAAATGCACTGTGAGCCCAATCACAGCGGGGGTGTGGCTTGCCCAAAGTGCCTGTAGAAGGGAGGTGCTTATTCGTGCCAGGTGGCTGAGGCACGGCCATTGTGCTTAGGTAAGGCGCCTCCCCCCGCTCGACTTAGTCGTGCCCAAAGTACCTGCCCAAGAGAACCATTGCCAAACGCAAAGGCACGGCTCACGACTCGCTGGTGGCGGCGACGACCTGCCCGATTCATTAATTTTGGGCATCGTTGCATTGGCCAACAGACGTTGTTTGTGGGATCGTTATCGGTACCTTGCATACCGCCGCAACAAGCTAAGCAAACCTTGCTAGAAAAGCTCTTCAGTTCGCCTTTACTGACTGTTGGGTACCTCTGCCAAGCGACGCCCGCAGCGACGGGTGTCGGTCAGCAAACACAACACTCCCGACCACGTCCAACATTGCATCAGCCGCAGCCCTTTTGCGGCATTTTTCCTTTCTCAGTTTTCTTATCCATTTTCCTTTTTAGCAGAAAGCCGAAGGCAAAAGAGAGACATGCGTTTGCATGCACTACGTGGACCCAATCATGCTCATGCGGCCTCCAACTACAGACTCTCTGGCCTCCGCAGCTTCAACCTGTTGCCTTTATGCCGCATCCGATTTTGACACATCCCGAGCACACGACTTGCTTGAATGACCGTCCGGCTGCCTCGCTGGCGGGTACGGCTCTTTTCGCTTCCAGGCCTCCGTGGTCCTTCACGGCCAAGCTTTCCGGCCCTTGTTCGCTCCCGCGTCAGGTACCAGGGTTTGCCGGGCAAGCCACGGACACTTTGCGACCGGGTGCCTGGGGAGTGATTCCGGTCGCAAGTCGTCCTCCAATCATGGCTCGTTGCTAGTTTTTCTTCTGCACGGCCGGAGCCACTCGGACGACTCAGACGGAAAAGTGGAGTGCCCAGCAAACTCTGAAGCCGCTGGCGCGGTTTGGTCGAAGACGATGTCCCTGGTATCAACGACGCGGTGACTTGCAATTGAGTCGTACAACCGACACTGGCAAAAGAACCTCTGCACTGCTCATCTTGTTCAGAAAGTGCGTGCAAGTTGTCCCGCCACCCTTTCCCACGTCGGATAGGTGGTGTGCAGCGCAGGTTTCTCTGTGGCTATCACTATGCAGAAGTTATCGAAAAGCATGCAATCGCGACACGGAAGATGCACTCCAGAATCAGGCATATGAGACAAGTCTGGCAATCACGGTCGGTATCACTATGCGGCGACTTGGTCGCGATGGATGCACTCTACGCGACGAGAAGCAGCACCACCATCACAAGCCATGTTGGGCAGGTGGAAACACAGGTAACTGATGAGGCATATAACTACACGTTTAGAATCGAGCACGGATAACTGCCAGCCGTCTGGCTGTCGGCGCTCCGTTTTGAAAACCTTGCATAGACTGCCCGCAAGTGGGCGCGCAAAACACTTGGGCCTCGGTAGGTTGGTTGTACTAATAACCTTCGCACTTGCATTTCTGGTTCCTGTCGAGTTGTCAACGGAGAAATCTCTTTCGCTTACCCACCAAAACGGAGCAAAGACCATGGGCCAGCGGAACCGCTTTTTGATTCCAGAACACGGTCGGTAACGGCGCTAACCCACCGTTTCGGACCATTCGTACGGAGTATTACCAGTACAAGGACCTGCCACTTCTATTACCAGCACTATATCTATTGCCTGCGAAGCCGTCGCATGGAGGTGTGTGGTGTACTGGTACACCACTAAAGTTACAAGGCAGAGTGTTGACTAATAACAATAGCAGACAATAATACGCACAATAACAAGATACATCCAGCAAGGAGAAGCCTTTACCGAAACTGGACAGCCAGCAAGCATCGGAACTACTATTGACATCCTTTGATGTTTGCTTGCTACTTCTGCAACTGCCCTGGCTATGACACAGCCGACGTGGCCACCGCCATCATTAGGCTCCCCCTCCAGGCTCGCGACCAGCACATGCTACCAGCACAGCCCAAAATACAGCCCAAAATGAGGGAATAAATCGGCGCTCTACGGGTACGCTTGTCCAGACGGGCGCTGCAGGTACAATGGACGGTCGGCCCACCAAGGGCTGCTGAATAGGCACTGATGAATGGGCGGCACCGTTCTCCGTCGTCCCACCCACACACACCGAGTCGGAGAACGACGAGGCACACATTGTACTCTTAACGGAGCACACATCAACAAGGCGGCAAACTAACTAGTCAAGGTACAAGCAGTACTTTGGAACAGGGACCTATCATCTATCCGCACAGTGTGGCCTGGGAAGGGGGGTGTGGGTGCAGGTGTGGGGTGTCAGTGGCTTGCGTAGAGTCAGGAACAGACTGCACTTGCGCACGCACACCCAGATAGACTTCCCGCCCGCGAGCCATAGCAGATGATGAACCCAGCACAGGGCAAGGCGGCAACGAACAGGTACTTGCATATGTACATGCCGGTATACCGGTACCTCTACACACAGACATACGTCTAAACAATGTACAACGGATACGTGGATACCGTCTCCAGACTTCTTGGTCTAGAATCTTGACATGACCCACGGCTCGGTACCCAGATGCTTCTTTCAGAATTCTTCTGTTGTTGCCCCGGACGGCTTCACTTATAAAACGGCGCCCCTCCCCCGATCCTATCTCGATGTTCTTTCTTTCTGTTGCACACACAATCCTTCGGACATTCATTCTCACTTCAAGTCATTTCGACTTTTACTTCCTTTGACAGGAACTCGACTCTTTGCTTCTTCATTCCTTTGAAAGCAAACCTCAACACACTCCCTATCCACATACCTAGATCTCGACGATCACCTACTATCCTTACAAGACTTTTCTGAAAAGCTCCTTCGCAAATCAATCAAAATGCACTTCTCCAAGACTCTTCTCAGCCTTGCCGCCTCTGCTGCCGCCGTCAGCGCTGGTACCGTTACCTTCTGGACCCTGGACGACGTTCAGCGCACCGTCTACTTCACGCCCAGCCCCGGGTCCCCCGAAATTGACCCTGTCACCGTCAGCAACGCGGAGAAGACGACCGTCACCTTCCCCGCCAACTACCAGGGCAACTTCATCGCCGTTGAGGCCGGCAAGCCCAAGGCCGATGGCATGCTGGGCGAGGTCGCCTTTGGTGGTTATGGCGGCATGACCTACTTCGACGTCTCCGCCATTGTCGTTCCCTCCGACACCAACAACATCAAGCAGATGTGGCCCTCTGGTCAGGCCACGCCCATGTCCGGCTGCGAGGTCTTCCCGTGCAACAACGCCTACTACCTGCCGGATGACGTTCAGACCAAGGTCACCAACTCCGTTGACCTGATGACCTCTCTGGGATCTGGCAGCACTGGCCTCTTCTAAACGCATACACGTGTGTCTCACAATTAAAGCTTGCAAAGATATGATAGTCGGCTAGCCGACTGATGCAATGCTTCGGGGAAAGATGGCATCAAGACCACTCCCCTGCCAGTCCTTATTACACGTTGTGCGCAGTGCGCCTTTGCAAAGCATAAAATTGACTTTTATGGCTTATGATATAGAAAGTGCCTTTTTCCTCACAGAAAAATGGCAAGAAAGAGATACCCCTTAGGAAGGAAAGAAATGAATTTTGCACGACTTAGAAGGCATATATGGGAAACCAAGGCGCAGTTTGGAACCAAAAAAAAAGCAGTCCTACGATGGAGAGGGGTATTCATCAAAGCAAGTCAAAAAAGTGAGACGAGTACCTCTCAGGACAGGACAAAAAAACCAATTCAAAATATTTTGGGAATTCTGCTTATAGAGCTGCATTTGCGAACAATACCCTTCCTGTACATAGTTTTGAGATCAAAACAACCACATACTAGGAACCACAGAATGGACATGAAACCCTAGCAATTACAAAATTTCTCCTTTAAAAACGTGACGTGATTTTACTCTTGACTTTCTTTTTTCGTCTTGAACGCTGTTTGCGGATTTTTCCTCTTTGACTTGTCACTTATTCGAGGAGGTTGAGGTGCCTACCCAATTACCCAATGTTAGTGTCAGTGTCATCAGGAGCCATATCCTGCCAGGTACCAGGTGTCGGATGGGTCGGGCTCCAGCGGCCCAGGCACCAGGGTGCCCTGTAACCGAAGGGGAGAGCAAGGGAGGCAGCTTGCGCGTCCACGCTGGGCTATTAGTATCACCGTTACCCCCTCATCTGCCTACCTATGTACAAGGTACCTTGGTACCATGGTGGTAATGGGAAACTGTAGGTCGGTGGCACGACTGTGGGCAGTGAATACGAGGGCGTACGTATACATGCGCTGGACCAGGCCAGGGGAGTCAGACGTCGACAAGGAAGCAAGCCATCGACTCATTCAGCGCTGTTTTTCCCTTCGACTGGGTTCCATCAAGTCTTCTCCCCTCGCTATGGTTTGGCAACTTGGTGGGCGCAGAGAATTCTCTTTGCCTCTCACCAGTAGCCTAGTAATTGGCCACAACGGGTACAACAGCCCTTCTCACGAGTCAACGAAGCATGTGCAAGTTTTTTCTTTCTCCTACCTTGCTCGGTTAGAGATAATTAGGAAGCCTCTTCCGTTCCCCTATTTTTTTTTTCTTCTATTTTTTAGCGGTGGTGGGCATCACGGTGTTTTCCGTTTGGTTTCCGTTTGGGAATAAGTGGGCAAAACGGAGGGGAACAAAGCCCATCGCAAGACTTGGCTTGCCATTGGCCCCCCTGTAAGCATGGATTATCAAACCCCCTCCCTGGTTCGCAGTTACAAGCCGACCGGCCCGGAGCTGCAGGTGCCTGACAGAATCTGCTCTCGGAGGCTTTTGACTGGTTCCACGTTGCAACATGGGGGCGTGGGTGCCTGGTCAAGTTGGAAAATGCTTATTCTGTTCCCTGTCGGACCACGAGAGTAATCCTTGTCAGCGTTTGACCGCCACAGATAACGAGGTAACTTTGTACTGCAAGGCCAAGCTGAGAGCATGAATGCGTCTTTTTTCTTTCTCTGAAAGACAAATAACAAATCATGTACCTGGTAGTCTCCGTGAAGACACACGGTGCCACTGCGTCAGGGCACAGTGTGTACCCAGCAACAAACCACTATACGAGTCCTGCTATTAGCCATAATAATGATTATGATTATCCTCGGGTTGGCCCCTTGCTTTCGTTATGCATAAGTAATGATTCTTTTGCATTACATGAACACCAGTTTTATGGCACCATTATTGCAGATATATTCGTGCAATGCACATGTCGTGGACTTGCCCTTGACGCAGCCTGCACAGTGCGGTACAGTACGGCGCATACAGTTCGCACACAGTTCTAGCCCCGACGCACACCATCGCGACCATCATTACCATTCACAGCTGGCATGCAAGAGTCAATTCAAATGCGCCATGTTACGATATATCCAGTACTTTGCAGAAAATATTGAACCCCGCTTCAGCTTGGAAAGTAAAAGAAGGCCGAACCATCTGTCCGACCACCAAAAGACCACCGTTGTCCGGCTCTCTCTCTCTGCTGATAGTACATCACATTCTAGACCCTCGGTGGAGACATGACACGATGACCGCCGCTGGGGCCATGTTGGACACTCTTTGAGCTGGCTGGCTGCCTTGTCCTCGGTCTTTTTGTGCTGTAGTATGATGAATAATATTGCCCGGGCGGCCCGGTGCAGAGTGCGAACCGCCCCGGTCTTCGTGGTGAGGGAAAATGGACTCGGGAAAATGCAGATCAGCCAGCCTCTTTACTATCTATCTGAGCATGACGGCAGCCTGCTTTGCAAATTATTGCATGCAAGTGTCACCAAGTTTTCCTGCAAGTCTTCAACAAAAAAAAAAAGAAATGTCATCAGGACGCCTCTTTTCGTCAGGAACAAGTTTGGTGACGGGTTGTCGACTCGGGTAACGAAGCTGAACACGGCCGCGCGATCCGAACGTCGCATCCCTTCCGCTAGAATCCTTGTTCATCCCAAGCTTTTGCAGCTTGACAGGTGCAAAGTCTGGTTCTTCACCCGTAGAGATGGCGGCGAGAGCCATGGGACAGCGATGCCTCTGCATCACATGCAAAACAATACCGCCACAAGAAGAACTGTAAACAGCCCTTCCTGTGATATTGGACGTGATTCCATTTTGGCAGGTATACTCATCGCAGGAATAATCCCGCTTGCCCCATGCGTGCGGCGTGACACAAGAAAACGTCATTTACATACCCTGTGTGCCTAAGTGTTCGCGTACAATCCCCAGGGCCAATTTTGAACTTCGCAAAATGTAGAGAGCGCTTATGCAGCATGCTAGAGAGGAGCAACGTCCTTACGAAGCGGGTATGGACCGAAGAAAAGGGTGGCGCATGGCAAGAGACAGCCCGATTGAAAAGAATCAAAAGAATCTGCGCAACAGTTGTCTCTCTGCCGTTCTGGTGGTGTTGTCGGCGGCGCGTGGCTGATTGTTACGAGGCGCGGGGCAGGCCGGCAACAGCACGAGAAAGAGGGGGAAGATGGTTTGAAAAACAACTATTTCGCGGGAAAATGTATTCAAAATGATATTGATTATACTTTACTTTTGCATACATATATATATTTTTTGGTACGTCATTCATCGCCAAAGGTAGAGAGGAGTTGAAGTATCGGTTTGATGTTGGTGTTGCTAGCCTGTGCCAAGGCTCTGTTGGAGGGTTCAATACCGCGCGCTCACTGTAGTAGTAAAAGCCGGGGAGGCCTAATTCTCTGATTCAGGTAATGAACTAGTGAACCCCGGGATGTCTTTCCGTCGCGGGACGTCTTTTTATTTTCGTCCCGTTGTCAAGTCGGCATTGCTGAAACATTCAACATCTTGGAACCGGGGGTGTACGTCGAGTCGACAGTGCAGTGCTCCAGGTACCGCACTGTGCCGCACTGTAGCCATGGGTCTAGCGCAGAGCCCATCGGAGCCAGGGGCCTTGATGATCGACAAGAAAAGGAAAATATAGCAGCGTGGATGGAGAGCGCTGGACAAAGGCCACGGCGGCTCGTGAAACATGCCCTGCCTCAGAGGACATGACGTGGACGAGTTGGTCTTTCCCCCCCTCGACGGGGTTTGGCAGCTATGAGCATCCTCTGGTCCAAGGAAGATGAGAAGAAGAAACACCACAAGACCACCCACCGCGTACGACAACACCAGACAGGCTGCCGACAATGCCGAGAGAGGCGCCCTGGCCCTGGCACTTCCGTTCCTCGCGCGTGCGCGACACATGACGGCATCTTTCTGCCCGAGCACCCCTTTCACCTACAATTCTTGTCTCAAAAACTTCTTTCCCAACCTACCGTAAAGTGGCCCTCGAGGCGTCGGTGCTGGTGAGAGGAGGGGGATGTTTGTACATTGCCCAAATGCGACGTCTGCTTTCTTCGCTAACCCATGGCCGTCACCGGCTAGCCCTTGGTGCGCAAGGCGGCTTTGCTTTTTTATCACCATGTTGAGCTGACATGTAGAGTGGCGAAAAGAACCAAAGAAATATATGTCCAGCGTCTGCATGTCTTTGATTTGACCTCGCCTACTTTTCGCCTCTCTCCCCATCCATCCATGGGCGGTGAGCATGTAGACTTGACAGGTCGTCCATGTCTCCGTATCAACGTCTCCGAGTGAAATTTGTACCGACAACTCGGAGCCGTGTAAATACTTCCGTTGCTTGTCCCTGCGCTCGTCTAGCGACACCAGCCTATTCTATCTACATGTTCAACCCTGTTGCTCGTGCGGCAGCCCAGCCCTACATGCTCCTCACACTGTCTGTTTTGCCGTTCACCGCGACATTGTCCTTGGCCGGTGGCTCGGGTGGCTTCTCCTCCTCACCAGACTCAGTCTTTTCGTCTTTAGTGGCAGCATCCTCGTCCTCCGCCTTATCCGTTTTCCCCTCGTCCTCGCCGTTTGCATTGTCTTGCTTCGCTTTGTCCCCCAACGTAGCGTCTTTTGCAGCGTCAACAGCGCTCGCCTCAGCCTCGGCCGCAACTTCTTTGCTGTTGACAATATTTGTCAAGTATTCGCCGGCATCTCCAAATCCCTCGATACTGCCTAGTGTGCTCTTAAACAACGCGATATCTCGGAGCATGCTATGGAAGTTTTAGTACAATAAGCTTCACAACCAAGACTCCCGACGTACCTTTGCTGGCCGGCCTTATTCTTCGCGTCTGCATCTTTGAATGCCGATCCAAGTTGCTCCTTGTAGCCGCTAAACACTGGAAACATGATGCTCTGGGTCGTGCTATCCGGAAGGTGTTTCGTAAGAACCTTGTATAGTGTGCTCGTCTCCTTGACCAACGTTTCCATGTAGCCATGTGTGCGTGCACTTGCGCCGTCCTTGTGCCATTCAATCGCTTTCATACCCTTGGAGTGAACAGTGGCACGGCCGTTCATCATCTCGACCAGCTTCTGATGAATATTGCTCTGGTGCTCTTGTAATAATCGGCGAATCTTGTCAAACTCGCCCATTAGCGCAGACGTGCCTGCGCCGGACCCGGCATGTCGTCGGACAAACTCGCGGATGTGTGGTATGAGCGTAGCTATCAATCCGAGGGCTCGGGATGCGAGGGACAAATGCTTGGTCGTGATGTTCCTAAGTCCCGCAGTCTTTGTAGCGCCCGCGCCCAGGATGAGCTGCGTGCATCGCGAGTTGAAGAGTTGGAGGTAAGCGATTAGAGACGTTGCAATATCTGTGGCCATTGAGGGAATGCCCGCAATCAGATGCAAAAAGCCTTCCAACCCTTGCATGCATAGAAGGGCCGAGTTGGGAAGAATAAATTTCTCAGACTCAATAACAGCTGGTCGCGCCTTTTCCTTTTCGCTGCTGCTCCTTTCCTTGTCTTTTTCCGCCGCCGCCTCCTCCTCCAGCTTCAATTTGAGGAGCTCCATTGCTGGCACCCAAAGCTTACTACCGTTGCCCCACGACTCGGCGTCATGCGTGCTGCATTCCAAGATTTCCCCAAGCTGTCTGGTAAGCTTCTCGTTAAAGTCTTTGGCAACCCATCTATCAGCTTCCATGCCTTGCGCAAGTGTTTGCATTGCAGCGTTCTGGTGCCTCTGGACAAACTCCTTGATATGGCTGTTGACCACATTCTTCAGTGACGTGCCGCTTCGCCCCGAGATAGCTTCACACTCGTTCGCAAAGTACAAGTTCAGCGTAAAGTATCGTAAGAACATGTCCAGTGGCAGATCCGTTGCTTGCTCAGTGCGAACCTTGAGGACCTTGACAATCTTGTCATTGGCAATGTCGACGCCCTGGGCTAAAAGATGTGTTACATCCAACGCCTTGTGCAGCTCCTCTTGGATCTCAACCCCAGGACTAGGCGCCTGGCCTGTCTGAGGGCTACCCAGTGGTGACCGCATGGTGGGAGACTTGACGCCCTCTCCCTCTGGTGTGTCTGCGAGGGATGACGCGATATCCAAGAGAACCTTGACTTGTGTAGATAGTCTCCTTAGTGCCTCTGTCACGCTGATATATATCTTCTTCAGTAAGTCTTCGGCATCTTCAGGCTCCAGCGCACGCAGATTGCGCGCGAGGTTGGCCGACTTTTCCTGACCCGATAGATGTCTCCCCCCACCAGCTGTCGAAACAGACATCAGAGACATGTTGTCATCTTCGCTCGAACTTGGCAAGGGACGTCGAATGAGGTTTCTGATTTCCTTCAATGCCGCATCTCTGTATGCCAGGGCTGCCGTACTGACATGTTTTGCTCGAGACAGACCAGCCATCGCAGGATGCAGCTGTACCTTCAAATCTTCTGTTGCTGTGAGGTATGTGGGGAATACAGACGGTGACCGAGAATGCCCTCCTCTCGCTCGTGAGGCGGCATTATTCCATCGCAAAAGAACATCGGCAGGTGACACAGATTCGACGTGCCGCCGGAAATCTGCGAGAAGAATGGTGATAAATTGTGATTCGTATGCCTTTCCTGCCCTGAATCGCAGCGTGTTGAGATCTGCATCGATATTCTGGAGTGCTGCAGCGCCTCGCAGGTCTCGCAACTCCAGTCCGTCCTCCGTCGGTTCATCGCGCTCCCCAGAGATGAGCTTCTCTATTATGTCAATGCTGTTCAGCGCCTTGTCCACCTCGCCCTCATCTACCAACGATTCGCATGCAGCCAACCCTTCGGCGATTTGGCGAAGTTGCTCGACGGCATGGCTTAATCCTTGAAGGTTTTGTTGTCGTCTTCGTTTTTGGACTGCCTCCAGCCCGCTAGTTGCGACCTCTTCATCCAGGGCCTCCAGTTCTTGTCTCAGCACTCTGATTCTCTCGACAGAATCGGCTGCTTCGGAGTGGAGCTCTTTTAACGAGCCCAGCGCCGTAAAGAATGTGGTTGAAGCTGTTGATATAGAATTGATGAGATGCACTTCTATAGTATCCATGTACCAAGAAAGCTTCTCTTGAAGGATAGCGTTAGTGGCAAGCGCTTTTCGAGGCGCTGCATTGTCATCCTTTGATTTGCCCTCGGCGGGTTTAATGACTTCGGATCGCTCGCTGACAATATCAAACGTTCTCGGATTCTCCAGATGAAAGCCCTCATCAAAGTACACCGTTGGAATAGTCGACAGAGGCGGTGGCCCTTGGGGCACCTTGCGACTGAAGCTTATACTCTGCTTTCGGGACGGACCAGGCGCCTCAATTGATGCCAGTGACGATATTGACGAAGTCGAGCCCCGCCTCGGCGGTCGTGACCTCGACGGTCGCAAGTATCCATCCGCAGTTTCGTTCGGCTCTTCGGGTCTGGAAGGACGGCCAGCAGCTGCCGCATCCTCGTCATTCTCCTGGATGCGGCGAAGTTGCTCGTATAAGGCACCGACTTGCGAGAGATAAGGCTTGAAGTCTTCAATATCGACATGAGGAATGTTCGTCAACGTTACGGGTGGAATGTCTCGCGCTGTCGGTGGCTTGTGAGCGCTTGAAGTTGGCGCTGATGTATGAGGTTGGAGGCCGGTTCGTACAATAGGCGGCTGGAGCAATGTCGAGATGGCTGCATGCCGTTAGTAAGGTAGCCGGTAACCAAGACGAATCAGGACAGACCATTTTGACCAGATTCGTAAACCGAGAGGTTGCCGCCACTGACAGGAGGATGCAAAGCACCACCGGTGGAATGAATGGAGCTCGCTATCGATCCTCGTCTCGAAGCCAGCTTATTCCTGCTGCGTAAGGCGTTAGGTATGTGATCGATTGGAAACGTAAGGCAATCTATAAGCACACCTGTGAAACGGATAGTCTGCGCGACCGCCGGTTGGCAGTGTTGACAAGCTATCGACGGACTTGCCGGCATTGGGCGAGGAAAACATGGTGCGTGGGCTCTACGAGCCAGGAGTGACGAGCAGCTCGTGGGTGCTGTTGCAATGTGTTGTGATTTATCTGGGTATCATCGCTGTAAGAAAATATTGCTGGTAGCAGAGTACATGAATTCGAGGCTGTGATGGAAACGCAAAATAGTATTAAATGGTTGCAATGGCGAGCAATGCGCCAGTTGTCGTCATTGTCGCAAACTAATGAGCACCAAAGTCAAAGGGCCACGAGGTGCAATTGCACTGTGGCCCGCGCGAAGGAGCTTCAGCCTATTCAACGGAGCTGTAGACAACCGATAGCCGAAGAATCACCGGTTGCTGCACGTGATGACGTTCAGTCCACTGCAAAGCCACAGAAGAGCTAACAACCCACCAGCCACATGGAGCGGCTTACGCTGCTGCAACCACTTAAAGTCGCGTGTCGCGTCGGCTGGGTCGACGCGTCTTTACGCGCAAAGTGTATCCTTCGATGCAGGGGGCTTTTTGTAACCCCTCCACAACTCTCACATTCCGCTTCCTGCGATTTGCGATTTGCAGCATCATCTCTCTGCAAAACCAGAAAGTCGCCCATAATGGATGCGCCATCTGTATATTCGACGCATGTATACGAGCCGAGCTCCGCGGAAACGGGCGACACGAGACTGCAGATCCAAGCACAGCTCGAAACCTTCACTCTTGACTTCCGTCTGGACAGCAAATTCGTCTATCGGTATGACTTTGTCGCAACATGACAGGTCATGAGCTAACAACGATCTAGTGAACAACTTCGCGAAAATGCTCTTGTACAAAAATACTACTGCGATGTAAACATCAACCACTTGATCAGCTTCAACGAGGAGCTTGCACACAAGATTGTCTCCGAGCCAGCAGAAATCATTCCTCTGGTAAGAAATTTGTCCGAAAACTGCTGGAGATTTAGCTTACGCTCTACCTAGTTTGAAAATGCTTTGAAAAAATGCACTCACAGAATTCTCTTCCCCCACGATCGCCAAGTCAAACTTCCGCAGCACCAGCTGCTGCTTCACTCCGACGGCGAGGATGTTTCCATTCGTGACCTTGACTCTGTGAATATTGCCCGGCTAGTCCGAGTTCCTGGTATTGTCATTGGCGCCTCCGTCATGTCGTCAAAGGCCACAGAGCTACATCTGCAGTGCCGAAACTGCCACGACTCACAATCTATTCCTATCCTCGGCGGTTTTTCAGGCGTTTCCCTTCCCCGCCAGTGCGCTCGCAAGAGAATTCCGAACGACCAAAGCCCCAAGTGTCCTCTCGACCCATACTTTGTCATGCATGAAAAATCGATTTTCATTGACCAGCAGGTCATCAAACTGCAGGAGGCACCAGATCAGGTCCCCGTTGGTGAACTCCCTCGACATGTGCTCATCTCGGCCGACCGATACCTCACAAACCGAGTCATCCCTGGCTCTCGTTGCACAGTCACGGGCATTTTCTCCATTTACCAGAACAAGGGCTCCAAGTCCGCTACGAGTGGTGCTGTTGCCATTCGCACACCATACCTACGCGCCGTCGGTATTCAGACCAGCTCTGACCAACTTAAGGGCTACACCAGCTATACAGAAGAGGAAGAGCAAGAGTTTTTGGAAATGAGTCGTCGACCAGATCTATACAACGTGATGGCAGAGTGCATTGCCCCGTCCATCTATGGTAACAACGATATCAAGAAAGCCATTCTTTGCCTTCTGATGGGAGGCTCCAAGAAACTGTTGCCTGACGGAGCTAAACTAAGAGGCGATATCAATGTGCTTCTTCTTGGTGACCCCGGAACGGCTAAGTCCCAGCTGCTCAAGTTTGTCAGCAAGGTCGCTCCTATTTCTATATACACATCTGGCAAGGGCTCGTCCGCCGCCGGTTTAACGGCATCCGTCCAGCGAGACCAATCAACACGCGAATTTTACCTCGAGGGCGGAGCCATGGTGCTTGCTGACGGCGGTGTCGTCTGCATTGACGAGTTTGACAAGATGCGCGACGAGGATCGCGTGGCCATCCATGAAGCCATGGAGCAGCAGACGATTTCTATTGCGAAAGCCGGTATTACGACCATTTTGAACGCAAGAACTTCAGTATTAGCAGCGGCAAACCCCATCTTTGGTCGCTACGACGATATGAAGTCTCCCGGAGAAAACATCGACTTCCAAACCACTATTCTTTCTCGTTTCGACATGATCTTCATTGTCAAGGACGATCATAGCAAAGAAAAGGATATCAATATTGCCAAGCACGTCATGGGTATTCACATGCAAAACCGCGCCGTTGAAGAAATGGTCGAGTCAGAGATTCCAGTGGACAAGATGAGGAGATACGTTTCCTACTGCAGAAAGTAAGATCATTGCCTTTTACTGCTCATCTTTCTTCCCCTACTAACAGATCTCCTAGCCGCTGCGCTCCCCGTCTGAGCCCGGAAGCCGCCGAGAAGCTGTCGTCACACTTTGTCTCCATCCGCCGGCAGGTCCACGCCGCTGAGATCGAGGCCAACACGCGCTCTTCCATCCCCATCACCGTGCGCCAGCTCGAGGCCATTGTTCGCATCACCGAGTCGCTGGCCAAGCTGACGCTGTCGCCCGTCGCCACCGAGGCGCACGTCGACGAGGCCATCCGCCTCTTCCTCTGCTCCACCATGAACGCCGTCAACCAGGGCAGCAACCAGGGTAGCCGCGAGCTCAACGACGAGGTCAACAGCGTCGAGGCCGAGCTGAAGCGCCGCCTGCCCATCGGCTGGAGCACCAGCCTGGTCGCGCTGCGCCGCGAGATGGTCGAGGGCAAGGGCTATAGTGAGCAGGCGCTGAACAGGGCCCTGATGTACATGGAGAGGAGGGACACAATTGTCTTTAGGAATCAGGGTGCCCAGATCCATCGCAACGGTGCGTAGAATATGCATACGGTAATTGTTTTATCTGTTTCGAATCGGGAGCATGCATAGGAATATCTTCTGGAGTTGGTTATGTAAGTGAGCTCTAACGGGAAATGATGACAATTTTTTATATTGGGTATAATCTGTTGGTTTTAGCAACGCAAGGAAAAAGAATAAATCATTAAGAATATATACATGTTCAATTTATCTATACTCAGCCGGTGCTTGGGCTATGCATGCTACTGCGAGTGTCGGGTCGTAGGAATGAACTTCTATAATACAGGCGCTGCAGACTCTTCCGCTTGCTCATCCTCAAGTCTCTTAGCGTCCACTTCCTTCCAGTCCTTCTCAGACGTATGGAAATACAGCGACAGCCCAGCGAAGACTGCCCAAATCTCGCCCGAGATCGCCAAGTGCATCAACTCAGAGCCAAGTAGATGGGTGACCCCGCGCCAAGACAAGTCACTCAGGACATTGGGAAGATATATATCATCGCATGGCAGGCCGTACCGTAGTCTGTGAGCGCGCGCCATAAGCCTTAACGCAGTGGCCTCGTAAGGGGCCATCAGAAGCCTGAGGATTGTATCCGTGAACATGTTGGCGGCAAGCAATGCGGGGAGCTGTGTGAGTAAAGTATCCAGGTAGACGGGTGAGGCAGCGGTTCTCGAATCGGCTGTCTGACTGGGCCGTAACTCGGCAGACCATAGCCCAGGCGGCGCATCTGGGCTAGCCTCACTAGCCTCCACATCGAAGCTGATCAACGTGGTGCTGACTCGCTCGTTGTCTTCCTCGTCAGTCTCATATTCGTCTTCCCGGTTCATGTACGCACTCGCGTGAGGTTCGCGATGCTCGGTTGGTTCCATATTCACACCAGGAGCCTCAGGTATCAGGGTTGCTTCTTCTATCGTATTTGGCGATCCTTCCACTGGAGTCTCATCCGGCAAAGTCAGAGGAACTGCTTCCAGGGTTGGACCGGGAGGTGCCGGCGGCGGAGGTATTCTGCGCCCTCGAAATGTCGTGCTAGGGATTTTTTTAAATACTCGGGACCAAATCTCGGGCTGTAAGTCTCTTGCGAGCCGGAGGACCATGACCCAAATCAGAAAGGGGGTCGCATTCACGATGGCGGTGCCGGTCCAACGGAGCAAAGAGGGGATGTCGAATGCCTCCAATGGTGGTGGTGCAGGAATCGGGGAGTCTTCTGTGAATGGAATGAAATATGAAGGTCGTGGCAGCCACCTATTAGTTGGGATCAGGCCAAGTCGCTGCATTGACGCAAAGTACTTGAGATGGGTCCGGAAATATGACCACGCATCAAGCACGCTCAAAATAGTTAGCACGCGTCGGATAGAAATTCGGATAGATCTTACATTCGACGCGCCACGGTCCTGTCTTTATCAAAGAGCCATAGCCTGAATACGGCGCGGTCTACATAGTTCGCAAAGAGTCCGGCAGCTGCGCCAGGGATAATGTCTCTGCTCCACGAAAACTCATGCCGTCGTTGCCAAAACTGCCAATAAGGAATCTTGGAGAATTCGCGATAGATCTTCTGGTTATTAGCGCAGCGAAAACTCAAGAGGAAGGGTGCTCATACCAGGATGCGCTGGCGCATGCCATGAATGCCAAAGAGCCCAACCATCTCCATCGCACGTCTAGCGTGCGAGTCAAGTTGACGACCAATATGTTCTTCGTGCGCATCATGTCTCCTTTGCGATTCTGCTTCCGGGCTTTTGTTTGGATTCTCAGGCTCCGCAACACCAATCACCAGCATGACCTCATTATGTGCTCTCACTATCTCACGATTGATGCGCTTGGTAGACAGGTTGACAGGACGCCCTCTTTGATCATACTGCTGTGGTGGATGACGATGATCCTCGGGGCCTTCACCCGGTACAACATCGTCGTATGGTGATCGACCCTTGAGTCGCGTTAGAAACGTCATGTGCTTTAGTATCTGTTCCCTCTGCACTGAGGAGCCTCACCAAAGCTTGGGCAGTAAGCGGGCCCTGCACACCCATGGCGAAGTAATTGTGAAGGCGTGTCGTAGTGGGAGTATATCGGCGCGGTATATGATCAAGCACTATTCTGCATCAAAAGTACCAGCATTTTGATGAATTCCAAAAAGTTTCATTAATCTGAGAGATGATGTTGGAGCATCGATGAGGCCCGCACGCGGTACGATACAGCTACTTTGGGGACGTTGCCGATAAAGTGGGCCGCCCGTCTTATCTTATCATGCTGTCCAAAAAAAATTCCTGGTCGGTCCTACTTGCGCATCTGCATTCTGTAATAAACGCCAGCACCGATCAAATATGGCTACGAAGCAGCCCTTGAAGACGACTTTTGACGTCGATCGTGTGATTCGACCGATATTTACTGGCGGTTCTGTATCAATCGACAACGATGCGCAGATCTTGGCCACAACAATTGGCGAGGATGCTATCCTGACGAACCCCGCCAACGGTCGGCATCTTGGTGAAATCGAAGGAGTGCGTTGCGACTTCGTCCCCAACAGGCAAATTCCTTACTAATTCTATGATTAGGATGGAGAGCTCATTTCTACCCTTACTTGTGCGTAACAGCACTCTCTTCTCACGAAATGCATCTACTGACCTCTGGCAGTGACACCTTCTGCTTCGCATCTCATCATCTGCTCTCGATCACTGTCTATGAGAATATTTTCGCTCAAGAAATCGGCCGACGGAAGTTCTGTTGAATCATCACTTATTCGAACTCTTAAACCCCATACCACGCCGGTGTCTGTCCTTGCAGTCGATCGAACAAGCACGCTCCTCGCCACCGGCGGCACCGACGGCGCGATCAAGGTCTGGGATATTGCTGGAGGGTATGTGACCCATACATTTCGCGGACCTTCAGTCCTTGTTTCGGCTTTGCACTTCTTCGAGGTTGCATCTCGATCCCAAGACGCCGGGCGTTCTCGCAAGGGCAAAGGACAAGCGCGGGACGACGGCGAAGAAGAAGATTCGAACACGACTAGCTTCAGGCTCATTTCCGGAAGTCAGGATGGAAAAGTCAAAGTCTGGGACTTGAACAAGCGGAGTTGCATCGCAAACCTTGACTCGCATGTCTCTAACGTGCAGGGCCTAGACTATTGCCCGACTCAGCATGCCATCGTAACCGCGAGTCGAGACAAGACGCTCATCTGGTGGGATGCTAAGTCTTGGAAGATCCGCAAAGTTGTGCCCTGTTTAGAGCTTGTTGAAGCTGCCGGGTTTCTTGACGATGGAAACTTGACGTATTCAGCTGGTGCCACCGGTTGCCTGCGTATCTGGGACACCGATACGGGCAAGGAGCTGACACCAAAGCAATCGGAGAAGAGCGAAGAAGAGGCATTCGTAACCGCTCTGAATACCCCCCGTCTACCATTTATTCTAGGTGTTCAGGTAGACCATACGCTGGCCCTTTACAAAACTCCAACGAAGGCCGATCCTACATCCCTCTCTGCGCCTAAGCCTTTTCGCCGCATTTCTGGAACCCACGACGACATAATCGATCTTGCCTATATGCTGCCAGATAGCACTATGCTGGCATTGGCCACAAACTCCGAGGACATTAGATTGGTATCTGTCGTGGATTCCGATGCAGAGGGTGCTTCCGCGGCGTGGGACCTTGATGGCGCGCCATACTTCGGCCAAGATACAGCATTGCTTAAAGGGCATGAAGATATTGTCATCTCACTGGATGTCGATTGGTCTGGGCACTGGATTGCTACCGGTGCAAAGGATAATACGGCTAAGCTTTGGCGAATCGATCACACAAACCGATCGTACACATGTTGGGCAACCTTCTCAGGACACGCCGAGTCCCTCGGTGCAGTTGGTCTTCCTCACACAGCACCACAAGAGAGCTCGCAGGCATTCAAAGATCCCTTATCTCACCCTCCTGCCTTCATAATTACCGGTTCCCAGGACCAGACTATCAAGAAGTGGGAGGTGCCTCGTAAGCCGCTGCAGCAGGGCTCAAAGCTGGGAGCTAAAGCACTTTATACTCGAAAGGCCCATGACAAGGATATCAACGCCATCGATGTTCATCACTCCGGGAACTTGTTCGCGTCAGCCTCTCAGGACAAAACTGTGAAAATTTGGTCTGTTGCCGAGGGAGAAGTGCAAGGTATTCTACGTGGCCACAAGCGAGGTGTATGGTCGGTACGATTTTCGCCCGCGAACCTTCCTACGCTACAGGGCGATGACGGACCCGTCACGGGCAAGGGTGTCGTTCTTACGGGCAGCGGTGACAAGAGCATCAAGCTATGGAGTCTGGCCGACTACACCTGCATTCGAACATTTGAGGGGCATTCAAACAGTGTATTGAAGGTCGCATGGCTCAACATGCCCGTCAAGGGCGAGCAGAGGAAAACAGTCCAGTTTGTTAGTGCCGGCGGTGATGGACTTGTTAAGGTTTGGGACGCGAATTCGGGCGAGACAGAGTGCACGCTGGACAATCACGAGGACAGAGTATGGGCAGTTGCTGTCCAGGCAAAGACAAATATGATTGTCTCTGGCAGCGGTGACTCGACAGTCTCTTTTTGGAAGGATACCACAACAGAGACACGAGCGGCCGCGTCCAAGGCTGCGCTGGAGTTGATTGAGCAGGAGCAGGAGCTGCAAAACCACATCCACGCCGGCTCTTACAGAGAGGCGATCACACTGGCATTGCAACTGAATCATCCCGGGCGACTATTGTCTCTCTTCACCTCGGTTGTGACTGGGGAGAAGAAGGATGAGGGGAGTCACACTGGCTTGCGAGCTGTGGATGAAGTTCTCGGCAATCTTTCCGACGACCAGATTTTCCTTTTGTTACTCCGCCTTCGCGATTGGAACACGAATGCGCGCACTGCTCCTATTGCACAGAGGATTCTTTGGGCTCTCGTGCGCAGCTACCCGGCTTCCAAATTTTCCAACTTGTCTGTCAGGGGAGCCAAGGGACAGCAGAGCCTCAAGGACATTCTACAAGCATTGAGAGTCTACACCGAGAGACACTACAAGCGCATGGAGGAGTTGGTGGACGAGAGCTATTTGGTAGAGTACACGTTGCAGGAGATGGATAACCTTGCCCCTGTAGCAGGTGAGGATGAGCCCATGGAGGATGCTGTGTCGGTGGCATAGTTTTGTATATAGCAAGCTCTAAGACATGTATATAGCTGAGCGGCGAGCCATTCGGAGTTTTAAACCGGCTTTGAAAATTCAGAACCAATTCGGGGTATTATTTTGAAAGTCAAATTGCGATGAGCTTGACATGTTAGGTATAAGTTGCTGCTACTACTTAGGTACATAAGTTACCAATTCAAGCTGCCCTGATTCAAGCTGCCCTAATTCAAGCTGCCCTGAGTGAGGCTCACCAAGCGCTGTGGAGCCCCACCAGCGAGAAGCTCTTCAGAAGCCTTCACGTCCCACGACATTTCGCTCTGTACACTACACCATTTTATTCATGCGCCGCCGCCTTCTGAAAACAGGTCAATTCCCTTAACGAAGCTTGTTGAGGAAAATAAGGCACACTGGGAGACTGCTGCGCATCGATATAAGGGCTGGACACAATGAGCAAGCGACACGCCACCGAGGCGCTCGAAGACTTGCAGGGCATCGCCTCGCCCTCCTCCAAACGATCACGGACGCACGAGGCCGAATCGCCTATCGAAGGCAAAAGCATAGCGGGCGCGTTGGAGAACGGTGGCATAAACGGGCACGAAGCTACAGCGCGCGGCAGTGACGATAAAGACGACGACGACGACGACGACGAGTTTGAAGGCGCAGATGCGGCGCCCATCGCAGCGCCCACGCGGCAGGCCAACCCAGCCGCAGGCTATGACGACCTGTACCTCGACACCATCGACCGCAACGTGCTCGACTTTGACTTTGAGAAACTGTGCTCGATATCGCTCTCCAACATAAACGTCTACGCGTGCCTCGTCTGCGGACGCTACTTCCAGGGCCGCGGGCCAAAGTCGCACGCCTACTTCCACGCGCTCGACGAGGACCACCACGTCTACATCAACCTCGAGACGCAGAAGGTCTACGTGCTACCCGAGGGCTACGAGGTCAAGAGCAAGGCGCTCGACGACATCAAATACGTGTCGGATCCGAGGTACACCAAGAAGGAGGTCATGGAGCTGGACCGGCCGGCCGCGGCGGCGCGAACGAAGAGCTGGACGCTGAGCGGCAAGGAGTACGTGCCGGGCTTCGTGGGCATGAACAACATCAAGGAGAACGACTACCTCAACGTCGTCGTGCAGGCGCTGTCGCACGTCACGCCGCTGCGCAACTACATGCTGCTCGAGGACTTCTCCGGCAAGTCGGAGCTGGTCAAGCGGTGCAGCATTCTGTTCCGCAAGATCTGGAACCCGCGAGCCTTCCGGTCGCACGTGTCGCCGCACGAGCTGCTGCAGGAGATCGCGCTGCGCTCCAACAAGCGCTTCACGCTGACCGCGCAGTCGGACCCCGTCGACTTCCTCCTCTGGTTCCTCAACAACCTGCACCTCGGGCTTGGCGGCAGCAAGACGCGGCCGGGCAGCTCCATGGTGCAGCGCGCCTTCCAGGGCCGGCTCAAGGTCGAATCGCAGGCCATCACGGCGCGCGCCGACGCCGGCGACCGGCTGCGCTTCGAGGACGCCGGCGCCGTGCAGGTCGACGTCGCGCCCTTCCTCCTGCTCACCCTGGACCTGCCGCCCGCGCCGCTCTTCCGCGACGAGAGCGCGCAGAACATCATCCCGCAGGTGCCGCTGACCACGCTGCTCGCCAAGTACGACGGGCGCGCCGCGCAGGAGCACCACGCGCAGCGCAAGCGCTTCCGCCTGCTGCACCCGCTGCCGCCGCTGCTCGCGCTGCACGTCCGCCGCTTCGGCCGCAACAAGTTCGTGACGGAGCGCAACCCGACCATCGTCACCTTTGACGCCCGCGCGGGGATCGACCTCGCGCCGTACGTCGAGCCCAGCCCGGCGCACCACCCGCCCGGCGAGCCCGTGTGGTACGACCTCGTCGCCAACGTGGTGCACGAGGCCGTCCGCGCGGCCAAGGACGACGTCGCGGACACGGGCGAGGAGCGCAAGACGTGGAGGGTCCAGCTGCGCGACAAGGCCACCGGCGAGTGGGTGGTCTGCCAGGACCTCTTCGTCGACAAGGTCCAGGCCGAGCTGCTGTACCTCGGGGAGTCATATCTGCAGATCTGGGAGCGCAGGAGGGAGGCCCCGGGCAAGGGCAAGGCGAACGCGACATAGAAGACACGGAAAGGGTCGGCAGGGAGCGGCGCAACGTTGTAATATATACCGATTTTTGAACAGGCAAAGGCGTTCAATTTAGTAGCAAAAAAGGAGGGACCCTAGTGGTGCTAGCATTATTCAAATGCGACAGCATAGTTGTAAATGCAACAGTCACGCGGATTAGAAGCGTCTTGTTTGTTAAGGGCCCTTTTTTCATTATTCCAAGCTGGAATCTCGCTTCCCAGAACATTCGCTATCCTGTCGTACTTCGTGCCACATCCGGTTCTCTATAATACAAGCCTCCCTTTCCCTTGATACCAACCAAAAAGAATTGCCAATCAACACATCCAAAAGCCCTCGCCATGTTCCAGGCGGGCGTAAGAAAAAGTACGAGACAAACTCGCAACCCCAAATGTTCTGCCAACTTCCAGGCTCCCCCGCCATATACATTCACAGAAGGGCCGCAGACTCAAACAAGGAATAGGTAACAAAGCTGATTCGCCGCGCGATCCAAAACAGCAACGTGAAATGGGAAGTAATATCCTTTTTTCTCCTGCGGTATTCGCAACAGAAACAGACAGAGTACAGGCAATACAGTAACAACGCGGGATCATGAATACATCAGGGGGCAAAGGCTCAGCCTTGGGCTCAAGAAAAGTCGGAACCACGATTTTGCCTTTCTTCTTATTCCAGCCTTAACTTTAGTGTACAGGTAGGCGGTAGCAAGCCACTTCGGCAAGGCCCGTTAATCGTGGCCCTGTCTTGAAGTGCCAGCGTTTCGCTTGTCGTTGTGATGCTGGATAGCCTTCTCGCGACGCTGCTCATCAATGGCGGTCCTCTGCTGAATGCTGGAGTCGTGACTCTTGAACTCAACGCGGGTGTTTTGGGGGAAGTTCAGGATGCGCTTCATGGTCTCACTGGAAAAAGTCAGCGCCTGTTCATACGTTGTTGTCTGCCTACTCCACGGCACTTACCGAATCTTCAGCACACGACCCCCATCAGTCCGGGTCCAAATGCTGAGGATATCTTCACCATTACGCATACTAAGCACCGCACCGCACACTTCCTCGCCCGCATCCCCGAACTGGTCGCCGATTAGCGAAAGGAGCAGATCCTCCCAGTGTCGGTCAGCCACGCCCTTCTTCATCCGAACAACCCATTTTCCGCCAGTTCTATTGACTTCGTCTTCCCAGATAGGACGAATGTCCTTCTTGAAAAGGTGGTAGTCGGACACGACTGGCAGAGAGGAAGGCCTTTTGAGATGTGAGTAGACTCCCCAGAATTCCTCCGCGGTGCGTACGGTGGCAATTCCGTGCAACGTGTTCTCATACTCAATGTAGCCATGGGCCTTTGAGATGGGAGGGCGGTACCAGAACGACCAGGCGTCTTTCAGCGGGTGTATCTGGCCGACGGCAGGCCCAGCGGGTCTGGTCTCTGATATAGAGGCCATGTTTCGCGCCTTTCCAACCACCTTAGTAGCATCTTTTCCAGTACCCTGCTTGGGCGCGGCGGAAGCCATGGCGGAATCGAAGGGGTTGCCCGGCGTCTTGGGCGTCTTTGCAGAGCCAAACGATGCAAAGGCGCCCGAGCCTAGACCAAAGGCGCTGGAGGCACCAGTGCCCGTGGTGGGTGAGGCTAGAGCGCTCCCTGGGTTAGAGGGAAATGCTCCGAGCTTGCCATCTTGGCGTCTGGAGGAGGAGGAGGCAAATCGGCCGAAATCACCTGGGGCACCGTTGGCTGGCGTCGTCAAGGAGAGCTTGCTGGAGCTGTTTGAAGGTGTCAGTTGGCTGTTGCGATTCGACGGAGGTGTATGGCTAGTTACTGACTTTGTGCGACGAGCCCATAGGTTATCCATTGACGCCGTTTCACTGACTCGTATGATGCAAGGCGGCGGTTGAGCGCAGGAACGGCACCTGGCAATGAACGGGCGAGGGCGGTGGGGGAGGCGAGGGCGGTGGTGGGGGACAAAAACGACGGAGCAGCGAGAGGAAGAAGGTTTGCTTGCGGTAGGTTTGTCGCGATGTTGATGATGGGTTCACGTCGTCGAATGCGGTTTCGAGTGAGCAAGAACGAGGTGTCGACTAGCGAGGGAGGATTCCAGGCACGCGAGCTGGGCAGCGTTGGCGGTCGGTGCTGGAGGAAACGGCGCGCGTAAATAGAGAGCGGTGGGTTTGAGTTGAAAATGCGCAGATACGGTTATATAGGGATGTTCGAAGTGTGTGACTGTGAGCAACAGAGAGACGTGGTTCGATGGTGGTATGTGGTGGTGTGTTGTGTGGATCAGAGGAGGTCGAAGAGAAGAATTCTGCTAACGTGAGGTTTAGTTGGGTTATCCAGTAGAGGCAGACTGGCCAGCAACGACTTATTAGGCAGGTTAGTACGGATGTGTAGGCAAGGCAAGCTGTGTGTGTGGCAGTGGTGGCGCTCTGAGTGTGGAGAAGCGCAGAGAACTAACTGATTAATATGCACCAACATAGGTAAATTGCTAAGCACCAAAGGTCAATGCTTGTGGCGTTGGTTTTCCTCACCTTTGTCTCCAGAACCGAAGGACGGACGAGAGAAAAGCAAGAGAAAATAATAATATTGAGAAAAAAAAAGGAAATATTCCAAAGCCAAATAGAACCCATCCTTCTCTGTCAGTACCTTAGCAGTACATCTCCCATGTGCTGATACCCAACCCATATCCGACTGCAGCGCAGCACGTAATAAGGTATGTATACTTACCAAGGTAGGCAGTGGTCGGAGAGGTACAGTAACTAGGTTGAACTAGGTTGTGCAACAAACAACTACAAAACGTAGCTATTTCCTACTGCGCATACTTGACAGGGAATAAATCTCTCGTGCCGCGCTCACTTTACCAACCGTTCTGTTTTCCTTCTTCTCTTTGTTCTATATTACAGAGAGCCCTCCGAGACTAACTTGACCAGGACCCCCACCAGGGCAAGGAGTTGGTCCTCGCCTCAGGTAAATTTCGACAAGTTGCAGGCTGCCGTTGCTACGACCGAGCTACCCGTCCAAATTGAATTAAAGTGTAATATTTATAAAATCAGAATTAAATGAGTCCCTTTTTGGACTTGATCCTGGTTTTAAATTAGTCAATTCTTTATCAAGCTGCAACACACCCCGACGACACCCCGGCGACAACCCCGGCTGCAACCCGGCGTTCTTGTCTCTGCGCCAGCCTTATCGCCGCTTATCAGTACCGCCGCCAAAAAAATTTCCCCCAGTCCTTGTCCTCCACGCAGCGACTGGGCATGCGCAGCACCTCGCAAGCGCAACGCAACGAAGCAACCACGAGAAACAACGTCGCACGATCGGTAGCGCATTCCGGCTCAATCCGATATCATGGCGCCCAGTCGTACGCGTACCATGAAAAATAAGCACGCCGCGCCCAAGGGTGCCGGCGGCAAGGGTGGCAAAGGCGGCAAGCGCTCCGACACCGACGGCGTCTCCAAGCCCAAAAAGTCCAAGGGCGGCCCCGTCACCTCCAAGCAGGTCAAGGACAAGACAGTCAGCGCGCTCTTTAAGAAGCCCAAGCAAAAAACCTACACTGAGGCCGAGCTCGGCATCCCCACGCTCAACACGGTCACGCCCATCGGCGTCGTCAAGCCCAAGGGCAAGAAGAAGGGCAAGGTCTTTGTCGACGATCGGGTACGTCGCACTATAGCTTTGCCGAAGCGAAATTCTAGCCCGGCTAGCCACTGGTTCTATATGCTAACAATCCACTGCAGGAAAGCATGAACACCATCCTCTCCATCGTTCAGGCCGAAAAGAACGGTCAGATCGAGTCTAAGATGATCAAGGCCCGCCAGATGGAGGAGATCCGCGAGGCACGACGAGTCGAAGCCGAGAAGAAGGAGGGAGAGAGGCAGACGCGATTGGAGGATGTCAAGGACTCGCTACGACGCAAGCGAAAGAAGAAGACGTCCGAAATAGACGACGAGAGTGTCAAGGAGCTTCTCTCCTCCGGCAGCAAGGCCAAGAAGGCCTCCAAGAAGAAGGTTGCCTTTGCATAGGCAGCTGCTTGCATTGTGCATCACTCCGCGAGCTTTCTCTCTCATTTTGCATTGTTCGGCGTTTTGGGGCGTACGGAGCATTCGTTGAGCTGGGTAAAGTTCGAAACCCGGGCCGAAAACATGGTGTCAATATACAGAAAAATATCAACCGGCGTCTATTCTTGGTCTTTCTATGCTGTTCTAAAACTTGTACATTGGCTTTGCCTTCTAATTTGTAAACATTGTATGCGAAGCGGTTCCACAGCTGTGGTCTTGAGGCTTTACATCTGAAGGACATGAAGTCTCCGTCGCATGGGGTCAAAGGGAACAGGGACTTCGTCAACCTGGGCCTCTTTGGTAGGCTTGATCGATTCAAAGTCAACCTTGCGGGCTATGTGGTTCAAAAAGTTGTTCACGGGCTTGGTCAGCCATCGCGAACCACCCCACTCAAACCAACAAAGGTGGCCGCCGAGTGACGTCGTGAGAAGAATGGTGTTGGGATTCTGGCGGAATTCTTGGTACGGAAGAGCACCATTGAGCGCAATCTATGGCACCATGTTAGTCTATGAGCGGCGCAGACGTCAATGTGACAGCATACGGGATCATCCTTGGCGTTCACAGCCAAAAAGGGTATTTTAATGGAGAGGACTGAATCGCAGGAGGAGGCGTCTCGGTAATATGCAGATTCCGTCGGATAGCCCCAAGTCGGGCATCTGCTCGTGGTTAACATGTATGGCCATTTTGGGGTCAATCAGGGTCACTTACTGGACCTCTCTGTCAAAATCATGCAGATAGGTTACACGCTCGATGGCTTCCAGGTCGAGATTTGTGTGCTCCTTAAGCTCCTCCCTATGAGTAGTTACGAGCTGCTTCATGGATGCTGTAGTTCGGCGTTAGTACAAAGACCTATTTCGCAGGCTGATGCTCCTTACCGCCCATTACTCTCAAGTAGAGTTCTCTTCCAATCAAGGTGCTCTGCATGAGCTTACTGGTACAATCCAGATTGAATGGATTCGAACAGACAACAGCGGCCTTGAGGATGCAGCCTTCACCCTCTTCAGCGCAATACTACACAATAATCAGCATTCCAACTCTGAACCTCACGGGAGGGACGTACATTTGTCATCATGTTGGCGCCGAGGGAGAATCCGAGGCCAAAAAGTGGTCTGTTCGGATACTTTTCACGAATCCATTTGATCGTCTGCATGGAGATAATGTCAGCAGGGTAACTCGAGGACCACGACGTAAGGGGAGGACAGTCATTACCTGTCTCACATCCCAGGTGGCGCGAGCATTGTACAGCACTCCACTAGTGATTTTGCTTCCAGCACATCCTCGCGAGTTGACAACGCAGGCCTCCCAGCCTCCTTTGCCCAAAAGAGGCGCAATGGTATGTCTGAGGTAGATCTCGTGAGAGCCGCCAGACAGACCATGCAGGACGACTAGCATGGGCCTGCTGTCGTCGGATCCCAAGTTTTTCTCCTCCTCCTCTGTGTAATAGACAGTTCTGCGCGGGAGCGTCGGATCATGTCCTTCAAAAGGCTCAACGGCAAAGTCGACAGCATACGATCCTTGATAAGTGGCATGGTCCGCATTGAACAACCGGCGACGGTAGAAGACTGGGGGTCCACTGGGCTTCGTCGCCGTCCACATGGTCTGGATGTGGCCATTGAATAGTAGCGGGTTCAGGTGACATGGCGGCGTAGTTGCCTCGCAGATTTTGAGCAGATCCGTATCCGTGCCATCTTTCTCCTTGATCGCTCTCGGCGTTGGTGAATGAGTAAACTCAATCTTGGCTCGACCAAGCCACTCCATTGTCAACGGATTCTCGGGGGATACACCGAGGACAACCAAAGGAGCTTGCTTAAGAGAACAGCGTATGCAACAAGGCTTCAGGAGATGAGTCCAGGGCAAAAAGCTGCACAAGTCGAACGGGAAAAAATCGAGGTCAGACTGGCGGGGGGCAGCCGCTGGCTGTGCAACACACGGAGATCTCGGTGGACGGACGACGCTAACGATATGGATGGATCTCAAGATGATAAAGTAGGGGAATTCATAGGTACAGGACCGGGTGTGACCCGGTCTAAGTATATATCAAAAGTCGAGTGTTAAATTTTTAAGCAAAGATAAGCTTCCGTCGCGCCATGCCGTGCCATGTAGGAAAATACTTTGCGTGTCAGAGCCCTGTTAGAACATACAGGTGAACCGCGGCACGGAGATTTAGCCAACGCCGTGGCCGACATTCTTGATTCTTGGCGCCCTTGGCTCTGGCCTGGGTACGAATAGGTAGTTTCCTTGTCATTGATTACCTAACATAAAATATGCCTCTTTTATTCGTTCTTGAGCCCAAGGTGGCTTCTCAGTCACGTGACTTACTCCTAGCCACTCTTAAGGCGCATTCTGATCATCGCGCACAAGCATCAGCATTCTCCTCAGCGTACCATACTCGCAACATCACATACCAGCCATTTCATTAGCGAGACGACGAGTTGAACCGTGCTTATTTGTTGAGAAACACCATGAATCGAACCATAAGAGGGTTTTCTACCTGCCGCGCAACCCTGCCTGCGCCGCTTCCCGCAGTACAAAGATGGAGGCTGCGCTGATTGCCAGCTCCTTGGGGACACATGCCTAAAACCCACGACCGGGGTGGCACTTTTGCACATGGGAGGATTTTCTCCGACACCAATGGGCTATTTTCGCCACCAGCAAATATCAACGAAGCCCCTTGGACGATAGCTACATATCGCTGCCGCGAAGCTGAACGCGCCCGTCACAATGTGGTAACATTTCATCACCCCGCACATTCAAAAATCAACGCAGAATCTCAACGGTCCAGCGACGGGCCCGGATATTTGGGAAAGACTTGGCCTGATATGTTTTGCACGACTATGTTGCTGCTTTCTCGCCGTATGCAGGCTCCCTGCAGCGCGCCATTGTGCGAGCCTCCCTGCCTCGAACGGGCGTCGCCCCAGCACGCCTCTTGGCGGACACCAACTGGTCACCTCGGGATGTTACAACAACTGGACTTCTCCCGCCAGCAAAATTGGCCAGGCTATTTCGGAGGATGGAAACGGTCCGAAGGAGCTGCCGCTAGATGCAGCCGTGCTTCGCGAACGAGAAGGATTTATGGAACTGGACTCGTAAATTTGATCTACCAGGGTCATTCTGTAGTGCTCATTGAGATGCTTTCATTGCTGCTGTTGCAGACGTCCCTGCGACACATCGCACCGTCTGACAACTGACAGCCTCATCAACCGCAGTTGATACAATTTCGGTGGATGGTGAGCCGGATACCATCAGCCTACGCCGTACTCAGCTGGTTACTGGGGCTCGAAATAAAACCCGAGGCTGGCCCTGTAGTCAATCTACTCGGCTTGTGCTCAGCTGGAGGAGAAAGAGACGGATGGGTCAATTGGTTGGGAGAGCCGCTGCAGCCGCGACAAGCCACAGGCGATTGCCATGTTCGGTGATGGAGCGTTACACGGAAACAAGTTCCTCCAAGCAACACACAGACAAGGACAAGGGCATGACAGACTCTCAGATACTTCTGGCACAGCACGACTCTATATTCACGGTCGGCTGCTTCTGTGGCTGGCTGAGTGGAGTGTCTTGGTCCGGCTAAGGTGCGGCGCTTTATTATTGCTGGCAGCGGCTGCACTAAAAACTCAGTCTGGTGGCCACCACCCGAAGGCACCCAGGTACTCCACCACTACCATAGCATCTCGTGTCGCGACGTCTTTGAGATGCAGCCATGGAAGAAGTTGGTCAACGCCGTGACCATCGAGACAGGTCTCGATCAGGCCGACGCTTAGGGGACATGGACCGCTCCAAGTCTCCTCGTCGTTCTCACCATAGCCCGTCCAGCACGTCCCAATCCCGCGCTATTGAAGTACCGCCAGATCACGACAACCAACATCACCGCCCCCGCGACCGCAGTAGAGACCGAAACAAGCCTCATTCCGCCGACAAGTCGCGCTCATTGGCTCCATCAGAAGACCTCATTCCCCGTTACCGTGAGAAGCAAGCCCGTGCCGCAGGGCAAGAGAGTAGGTCCCATCACAGTCGCGCTCGCAGTCGCAGTCGAAGCCGAGATCACGGACGACATCACCGCTCGCCATCATCGCCCAAGCGTCATCGAAGCCGCAGCAAAAGCCCTCGTCGAAAACGGTCGCGCCGAGACCATAGCCCATCAAGAGGGACGCGTGACGGAGGCTCCCACTCTACGTCAAAGCGCCGGCGTCGCTCTTCAGACGGCAGGAAGTCGGGATCATCACGCAGACACGGCGATCCTCGACCACCTTCAGACCTACCTGAAAGTAATAGCAGAAAGTCAAGGCGTGATTCATTCAACGGATCCCCTCCACGTTCCACCCGAGACTCTAGAGGGTCTAAGGACTCTAGGCAACCACGGCCTCGTGATCGCCATCGATCAAGGAGCCGATCACCAACTTCCCATAGTCATCGCTCACATCGGCAAACCTCTATCAGAAGCGATACTGTCGTTGCAGAGGGGTCTAAGGGTACCAGTGAAAGAGAAGACCAATCATCGAGGCCGCCGAAAGGATCAGAGTCGGGGAAAAGAGACCATCCTTTACGATTGAGTCACGACGACGAAATGATCTCGAGGAATATCCACGGAGGCTCCGTTTCTCGCTATAACGATGAGAACGGCCGTTCGAGATCCCCACCCCACAGAACATCGCTCTCTCCAACCCGTCGCAACAGTCGAACCGAGCTCGCTTTGCACCACCATAGTGAGCAAGATAGCCGCCATGCACCACTCGCGGCAAAATCTACTTCTAGATCGCCGCCTTTCGACCCTCCTTCAGGCCCCAGTAACAGAGGGCAGCGCGCCGGATTCCGAGGGGGCTCATTCACTGGTCGGGGGGCTCATCGGAACCCATCATCATGGGGAGGCCAGTGGAATTCTAACAGTTCCCGCAGCTATGAGCAGCGAAGAGGTAGCAATGGCGACAACGACGGAATGAACGCCATGGATATCGACCACAAAGACCCTGCCGAGAAAGCGTTCGATAGCTTGAGAAACGACCGAGGGCATGACAGAAGCGAACGACCCCGGCAGGATGCCCCCAAAGGCCCTTCGGCACAAACTGATTCCCCTTCAAAATTCAGCTTCGCTTTCAAGCTATCCTCTAAGGCAGCCCCTGGTCCCAACCCTGAGATTTCTCAAAAATTCAACGCTCCAGCCCAGAAACGAGAAACGCAGCAGAAGGGCGGCAGGAATGATCCCCCGCCAGGTGCACCGACGCAACCCGCTGCGCTCTTCGATAGAAAGCCGCCAGATGGCCCTAAAATGGCTCCAAGGATGCGCAAAGTCATTAAGAAGATGCAACGACCCAAGCCGAGGCCTACACTCCCCCCACATCTGGTTGAATCAGAATCTGTTTTCTTCCGCAAACCAGGCAATGAGTCAGTCGTTGGCTCAGGCACATATGGCAAAGTCTTCAAGGGCCTGAATGTTTACACCAAAGGCCAGGTGGCATTGAAGCGAATTCGAATGGAAGGAGAACGAGACGGCTTTCCCGTGACTGCTGTCCGAGAGATCAAGCTGCTCCAGTCGCTGCGCCATGAAAACATTGTCAATCTTCAGGAAGTCATGGTTGAAAAGAATGATTGTTTCATGGTCTTCGAGTATCTTTCTCACGATTTGACTGGATTGCTCAACCACCCTCATTTCAAGTTGGAGCCACCGCAGAAAAAGCACCTTGCCAAGCAACTGTTTGAGGGGCTCGACTATCTCCACGTTCGTGGGGTGCTGCATAGAGATATCAAGGCAGCCAACATCCTCGTGAGCAGCGACGGTATCCTGAAAATTGCCGATTTCGGACTTGCTCGTTTCTACGCCAAACGACATCAGCTCGACTATACGAACCGCGTCATTACAATTTGGTATCGATCACCTGAGCTACTACTGGGCGAGACACAGTACACTGCTGCCGTTGATATCTGGAGCGCTGCCTGCGTCATGATGGAGATTTTTGTCCAGAAGCCTATTTTTGCCGGCGACGGGACAGAACTAAGCCAGCTGGACAAGATTTATAACGTGCTGGGTACCCCAAACCGACACGACTGGCCCGGTCTCGTGGACATGGCTTGGTTTGAGCTTCTGCGACCAACAGCGAAGCGGAGGAGCATGTTTGCCGAGATGTTCAGCACAGAGCTGACCCCAGCAGCATATGAGCTCATGCAGTCGATGTTCTTATATGATCCAGTGAAGCGACCGACGGCAGAGGAAGTCTTGGCTCATCCGTACTTTACGACCGAAGAGCCAGTTCCTCAGCAGGCCACAGAGTGAGTTTTCCTGTCTACCCCTCCGATTTCATACTTCATCATGCAATACTAACATGGCTTTTGCAGACTTGCAAACATCGGTGGCGACTGGCACGAGTTTGAATCCAAGGCACTACGGAAAGAAAACGAGCGCCGCGAGCGGGAAGCCCGACGCGCGGCCAGGATCCCCCCTACGTCTGCTGCCATACCAGCTTCCACCGCTATACCAGCTACCGCTACCGCCGACCGTGCTAAGCACACGGGCCACGGGCAGGAAAGAAAACGCGGCACAGACGGGGACGAAGACGCTCGGGATGCTAAGCGCGTACACGTCGAGGAGTCGGCTGTCGCTTGAAACCCGCGGATTTGAAAGAGATGATGGATATTGGCGAGGTTCTAAGGGGTGCCTGTTGAAGTAAAAAGAATATGGGGCGAATGAGAGGCATTGGAGGCCTCTCTTCTTCTACTGGGCGTTTTAAGGGGGGCGTGGGTTCTTCTTTCTACTTCTCCGATGAATGTTCGTGTGCCATTCCGTGAATGGGGGTTATTCTTTTTCGTTTCTTTGGCAGTACTTAACTGGGAAATACTTTTTTACTTTTACTTTTACTTCAAAAGGCGGCCTCTCATGCAGCATACTTCAATGTACTACTTACTACCATCATACACTGAACTTCCATCGATGGTCCTGGGCCAGTCTGGGTGCAGTGAAGACTGTCAAGATAATTGGCGTTCCGCGTCTGAAGTTCGAACACCACGTGCCAAGTCTGCATGAAAAGAAAACCAAAAAAATTATGGGTATATGTACTGTAGCGAAAATAAATGGCCAGCCTGCCGTTTTCAGTGTGTCCGGGAGAGCGAATGCCTTTGTCCTTGTTTTACAACATCTCAGAATTGGACTCTCGCCATTAGATCACCCTCCAACTTCGGCTCTTTTTCCTTCAGTATTGCTTTTCCGTTGGACGAATCATCAAGAAAGGAACTTTATGTCTCAGCGGCCACGATGGTGCCATCACTGCGCATGATGGGAGCTATCGTCCGCCATTTGCAGCAGATTGCGCAGGCTGCCTGCGGCGCGACCCTGTGACGGCGCGGGTGCCGGGGGCAGGACCGCGCCGAGCGATGCACTTGCGCTCCACGGTATCCAGCCCGCGAGGGTGGAGAGAAAGCCCGCCGCCGTGGCGCCGTCGACCGAGGATACGGCGCCCTTGGTGGTGGGACGAAGTAGTGTCCTGTCTGCCGGGGACTGCTGTAGGTGGCGGTCGGAGACATTGGTTGTGAAGGTGGTCGTGTCCATGGTCGAGCCGGCAGTGTGTACTTCCAGTTGGCTGGTGCAGGGCTGCGGAGATGCAGGCTCACCCACAAGAGAGACCACAGGTGGTCTGTGAGGTGTTGATGCATCGGCGCTGGTGGAAGGGACAACCGTGACCTTGTCGATGAGCGCGAGGGATGATGACGTCGTGCGCTTGACGACGGGTCGTTGCTTTGGGAGGTCTGGTGCCGTGCGCCGTTCTCGTGCGCTGGCCGTTGATCCGGTGGGCGAGGTATGATGAGAATTCTTGGTCGAGGCTCGCCCCCGGACATCGTCGGCGAGTTCAGCGGCTGACTTCTTTTTGGAGTGATCATCTTCCGACGAACGACTAGATGACATGATGGTCTCCAGGGTTCCCATAGCCCGACTATTTCTGCGAGCGCCCAACCGCCTTTTTCGCTCTGTTCTCGTGCTTGTCTCATCGTCAGACGTGACTGCTTGCAGGGTCGGTCCCTGGCTTTCTGGTCCTTGTTGGCCACCTGTGATGAATGCGCTGCCGGAGCCGTGGGGTCCATAGTGCACTTCGTACTGATTGCTCAAAGAATATCGTGACCTGGCGCATATCTCTGCTATTCTATCGAGGTCTGCATTGATATCGCTGCCCATAGCTGTACTTTCTTGCTCGTCGAGGTTTTCGAGGAAGCTCTTGAACGAAAATGCTTCAATAGGCGGCAGCTTCGTATCCTCTGGAAGTGAACGATTGAGGAACTGTGGGTTGCGGCCTCGTGCCCGAGCCATGATACTGAGCATGCCGGTGGTGGCCGATGCCATCTTGCCAGAATGCGGGGATGCTCTCGTTCGTGAAGCGACGGACCCGTTCACGGAACCGGCTGTGCTATGGCCATTGTGGACAACAATTATCCCTGCGCTACTGCGGTTGGCAGTGTTCCCTCGAGGCAATCGGTTCGCTCTATTGGGCTGGGGTCGGTAGTAGCTGCGGACAATAACTGGCTCTGAGTAAGTGGTGTTCTGAGCGCCGGTGGATTTAGCGTATCTATGGCGGCTCGGATAGTGGCTGTTCAATTCACGCAAAGCTTCCGTACGATGTTCGGCAGTGCTGTCATCGACCTGAATGGGGCGGCCTTCTGCGACGGAGGACACCAGGCTGGCCGAGGTCGAATTGGTCTGAAACGGGAGTCTGAAGGAGAGTGGCAAAGCGCCGTGCGTGTTATTTTGATTCGTGTGCTGCATGATCCCATCTGGGCCAGATGAGAAGCCATGTCGTAGGAACTGCTGAGGATTGGATGGGTGATATTGGCGGCGAGAAGCAGACTGCGCTGCTGGTTTTGACGCTGACGACTCCATGGGAAGTATCGAGGGGGTGGTGGAGGATCAAGGGAAAACGATGGTTGATAGCCGCGGGATGTCTATATGGTAATAGATTTTTGGATATCGTAAAAAATGGCAAATTGGGCCTAAATAAATTCTGTACAGGTTTGGGTGGCGAGATTGTGCTGCGGTCGAGAGTGTCACAATTGGCGGATGAGGGGGTGCGACATGTCGAATGACGGCTTAGTGAGACGGCATGTTGTCGGGTTGAAGGCGAAGATGTCGCAAGCGGATATGGAGGCAGTAAATTCGTGTCTTTTAGATTATGTGACGTAGGAAAGAAGAGTTGAGATCAAGCTGACGAGATGGAGAGATGGTAGGGCGGTGGTGTCGGGAGGAAGAGGGCAAGAGAGAGCGCGAAATGGCGGGGTTGACAAGACCACGAACAAGCGCAATTGCGAATTTTAGTGTGAAGCCCTGACAATGGACAAAATGAACTTCGCGCCGGGAGACTGATTGCTTGTAAATCGATGATAGGAGGGAAAAAAATTGCACCAGTTAATTTTAGTTTGAAGCTATTTAAAAAGAGGCTGTGGTAGGACAGGAAAACTGAACAAGGCAGGGCCGTTGTATGTGTAGTTGGCGTCCCCATTTCCGCTTGCATCACCAAGCATCCTTCAACGGAGACTTGCCTACATACCGATGCTGAGGTACTAACAAAGAAACGGCGGTGCCTACGAAATGACCTACCTCTGCACTAATAAGGTAACGTCTATCTTCTAGGTGCTGAAGCAAAATGAGATCGACGCCGGCTCTGCCAGCGCGCGTACCAAGGCTACTTGACGTGTTCAACCACACCTATGTAGACGCACCATCATGGTTTAGGTGGGCCGGCCCCCAAAGATGCGTTGGCGACGACGACGGAATAGGTCAAGATCCTGCCCAGCCTGCCGACCGTGCGTTTGTGCTGGCAATCCATTGCCAGTCGCTGTTGATTAGCTCCCACCAACTGAAACAAAATTCAGAGGCTTCATTCACCACTCGGCGTCGTTGTGCTCCAACGCAGCGAATTAGGTAGACTGGATATATTGACGCTCACCACTAATAACCTCGCAGACATCCTCACCGCGGCGACAAAGCCTGGCGAGCTTCACAAGAACAACCGGAATTCATACTCATCAACGAATGTCCACCCCCTTCCCCATCGCGCAGCAGTCCCTCACTACAACTGCCCTCCGTTCCCGTCGACCTGCCTTTCTACGTCTGGTGCACAATAGTGCCATAACCCTGGCCACCGGTCTGCACATTGTCCGAGTAGACGCCCGGCGCCGGCCCGGTCGGCACCCGACCCTCGTGCGCCTGCTCCCGGCGGTCAAAGTAGATATACTCGAGGTAGAAGGCATGCAGGTGGCCTGGGATGTATCCGAGGAGCGTCAGGCAAATGTTGATAAACAAGTCTGGCGCGCCGTGTCAGTAAGGGTAACGCGTGGTAGGTGGGCGTTTGTCGACTTACCCATGCCACATCCTGCGACGGCCCAGACTCCCGCAGGAGGGACTGCGAATGGGAGAAAAGAAGAGGTTAGCCAGCTGTGCGGCAGTGGACGGGCTTCTTCTGGCGCGAGCAGCGCACTCACATAGAATCGTAATGACGACAATGAGAAGAGCCGAGGCGACAGCCATGATGGGCGGTATAATACTGAAACGCGGGGAAAGGTGTATCAGTAGGAGTGCTCGGAAGGCGCCGGACGACGATTCGAAGATACGCACTTGTTAAGAGTCGTAGAAGAGTAGCAGGCGAAATCAGCGACAATGCAAACTGCAATATGAAAGATCGCAACAAGGCAAGTTAGGGAGAGGAGATGCGTTGACAAAGTCAAGCGGCGCGAACCATCTTGGTGATGTCGTCAGCTACCTGTTAACTAGTGTGGCTCTGGGCTGGCCAAGTGGGGGGGAGGCAGCCTTATTAAACTGGGAATGCAAAGGCTTCAGGGTACCTTCCCTACGCGACGGAGTCAGGAGGCGGCAAAATGAAATGAAACTCAAGGTACCAGTCACCTGACTCTTTGCTGCTTGATGGTGCACAACTAAATTCTAATCATGTCGTACGCAGAAACTCGGCATTTGGTGTCGTGCTGGCACTGACGTCAGGCAGAGCTCCCCATCTGCCCGCCAAACTTGCCAACGCCACCGCCCACGAGCATTAAGTTAGTACAGGGTAAGTCAGCGACCGAGAAGACAAACCCACGTCGAGGCGGATTTCATCTCGTCAGATAGTCCAGATATTTTTTGAATTGAGTTGCCTGTATAGATCTGTTTATTTAAATGGATCTATTTATTTTTTGGAAAACAAAATACCCCAACTCGATGTGATCGGCCCTTTTTGCAGCAACTTTCACATCTCAATTCTCATTTACACAGCGTAGGCGATCAATAGTATCATATAGCCAGAACAACACACTCCAAGCCGAGTAAATTAGACAAGAGAGGGGTATTGATAAGTGCTGCGATAATCCTACCACTAAAAACAAGAGAAGTATCCACATTCATCTATATCAAGGCCATTTCCACCTGAACGGTGTTATATAGCAGTTCCGCAGAAAATGGTGTGAAGAAATTGGTCGCTAACACCAATTCCTCGCTATGCTCTCTTATCAGCAAAAGAACGATTGATTTCTAAAAAGTGCATTGAGCACACACACCTTCGCCTTCAGTACCCCATCTAGTAACGGTATACTTGCGTGTAATTGTGCCAATACACATCAACGGTTAACTCTACATACACATATGGTCTAAAACATGGACAAAATAATCGAGAAGAACAAGTCCAAACGGTATTAATACCAATAATGTGCCACTTAGAAGTCACCAGCATTTTCAGACCTGCGTGGCGAAAGGGAATCGGCCTCAATTCGCTCTCGATGTCGCGAGGCTCCCACCAAGTACAACCATCTACCTCAGTAGGAGCATACGCAGTAGTAGTGTAGTTACCGAGAAGGAGATGGAATTACTTGTAGATTGAGTAAAGCTTTGTAGATGCCTTTGTTCCTGTAGCGCTCATTTTTAGTGACGGATTTGAGGGAAGAACGTGCTCCTATTGGACAACGGCGCTATGCTCTACCACGGAGTGCTCTACCGCCGAGGGATCACCGGCCATCCTGCTTGTCCTTTTTCTTGAGGAAAAAGGATTGTGCTACATTACAACTGCTTAGCCGAACCGAGGTGGATAGCTGAACGGCAGCCTCGCTGTGCAGCCGTTCGGGTAACACAGTTCTAACAAGATCGCGTCGCGGCTGCATGGCCACAGAACCAAGGAGTTGGAAGGAGTCACAAAGCAAAAATTAGGTGATTGAGTGTAACGCGAACCGGCTTGATGTAATGGCCGTTCCTGCACTCCTTCGTTTCGAATGCGCCGTATGCTGGCATAAAAGCCGCCGCCGGGAGCGCGACGCCGCCTCACATCGAATGATGGTGAAGGTGAATACAATCACTTGACGGGGTCGAATTGCGATGGGATATAGCTGTTTAATAGGTGCGCTGGAATCATCTTCGCCTCCACGCGCCCCGAGGAAGTAGGCTCTGACTGCAAAGCATGTTGGAAGAGGATGGAACGAGTTCTGGGAACCACAATGCTAGGCCAAGAACGGCTGATGGAAAACTGCGACATTATTCGACGAAGAGTGATATGCTATGGGAGGGTATCGGGTGAAATATTCTTCATTTCTTTCGACAGTGACTTTTGGAGTTGAGCTCTTCTTGGCTTGAGTTTTGTCTCGTGAGCTGCGTCCTGGACCAACAGGTTGAGAGGCGCGGGTTGGTTGGTGATAAGAAGACGTGCAGTCGGCTCTTACTAGCTATAGCAAGACAGGCTTGTTGAATATGCGAATCTTAAAGCTGCCATGTTGTCTCTCCGTTGTGCGTCAAAGTGGCCATGCAGTTGGTATAAGCGCGAATCTCGACGCCCTGCGCTGGCGGATGAGGTTCTGGTCGCGGGCTGCTGCTCATATGCGGATGGTTAAAACTGAGGGGTGTCTTGCCTATTAGAAAACTCGATGGCTAGGTGGGTGACTTGACACTGGCTGACATGTCATCAACTTGGGTAATGATGTCTCTGCTGATAAAGTTCGTTGTGTGTTGAGCTTACCTACCTACCCGCTACAATCGGGGAGAACAGGCTTTGTTATTGGCCCAAGGTCTCACCAGCCTGGCTGGATGACTGGAGGAGAAACTACAACGTCACAAGTCAGGGTGTTTTCTCGGTCGCCTCGGGACGATTCGGGCGGTGCGCCCCGCGATTTGCCAACGGATGAAACGGGCGGAGCAAGATGACTTGTGGTAATATGATGCTTCTGGGAGGCCACCCGTTTGCTGTCCTGGGGCTGAGTGCGAATACACACATGCCTGTAGGCTACCTACAGTACCTGCCCATTACTACCACAGCCACAGAGGCTGGTTGGCAGGTGATTTCATCTGCGGTGGCAGGGATGGCGCCCCTCTTGCTTCCTTGATAGCCGTATTTACAACTTTGCAGAATGACGTGGAAAGGAAGGAAATAGCAGCGATTTTTTTCTTGAAACCTCAGAACAAAAAGGAGTCAAGATTTCAAAAGAGAAGGTCTCCCTCTGCACTTTTTACCACCTCGATGCACAGGTACGGATGCGCTAGCCGCCGTGAGCCAGCGAAAGGGCATAGGGCCCGCTATAAGACGCTGCGCGGCGGGCCTGTGCCTGGCCAAAATTCGCCAGCCAGGCACTCCCGTCCTGTTCCCTGTCATGCCCGGATAGTGTACATAGGCAGTTTAGTAGTATGTCGGGCCAGTGAATGCAGTTAACTATGTGGCGTCTCTCGACGTGCTTTGTAGACATAACTCTCGAGAAACTTTCCCTGCTTGGCCTGTCATTATACCTCTTCATTTCTTAATGGGAAAAAATGTGAACATTTTCTGCCAACAGCTTGGAGAATGGAACAGGCCACCCTGGGTACACCTTGTGGGCCTCTTGGTATTTAGAGCAAATCACCACACAACTGCCCATACTTTGCTGCTTGGAAATACCGGCAGGCGCTGTTCCCCAGCAAACCGCGCAAGCCCGTTAATGTCAAGGTCCCTCCCTTTCTCCCGGTAGCCCACTCTTAAAATGTACCTGCAAAACCGTTTACCTCTGCCAACAAACCCAAGTACCAGGATAGCGACGCAGTAAAAAGTCCACACCATCCCCAATTGGTCCTCCGAAATTTCAGAGCCGCCCGTCACTTTTCCTGCCTCGTAGCACTTCCTGTCTTGTCCCGCGTCGCTACCTACTAAGGCAACTGATAATAACGCCTCTCTTTCCAGAGCTTCTATTCCCTTTCACCCCATGAACGTTTCTCTGCAGTGTGAGATTGTTTGCATATTTTTTTCCCTCGCCGTGGCCTGCTCTCTTTCCACTGACTGACTGGCCTTTCATTCTGTGCTCACCTTTTTTTTTTCTGCCCATCTTGTCTACCTCCCCTGGTTATCCCCCCACTGCCCTGGCTTGCTTCGTTTGACGAAAGCTCTCTTCACGCTGGCTGGCTCCTCGAACCTGCATCCTTCAACCACGCCTCCTTTCCGACCCTCGGTTGCGACCTCAACCCGCCGCCTCGTCGCTTTCTTCGCCGTTGTCGTCGTTTTCCTCCAACCGGTCCCTTTGTCACCGTCTCGACTTTCAAATAGCGGATAGCGTTGAGCTTTTTTCCACCCCGGACTGCCTGCGCCTGATTCTCTTCGCCGCGACGGCCTCGCTTTCTTGCCTCGCCCAATCTCCACCTTTTGCTCACGCAGTCCTGACTCTCCACCAGAGATCAAGGAAAGATGTCCTCCCAGCAGAGCTCCCAGTTCAGCGTGGATCGCTACGTCGTCATTCACGTCGCTACCACCTGCGATGAACACGGTGTCTACGTTACGAAGGATTCTGCCGAGGTCATTGAGCTTGGCTGGATCCTGCTCGATGCTAACACTCTCGAGGAGGCATGTCTCAACCAACTCTTCCTCGCACTTGACAATACCCAATGTCGCCTCTAACCACCGTACTCTAGATTACACATGAAAGTGTCCTCGTCAAACCCGTCAACACTCCCATTACGCCCCTGTGCAGTACGTATCCATTCATCCCAAGCCCCTGTTCCATCTCCAACAACTTACCCCGTCCTCGACTCGGCCACGTCGGATCCTGCCCGCCTGAGACCCCTGCTAACATTTTTTTCCCTTGCCAGCGAGCCTGACTACCCTCACTTGGGAGCACGTCCGAAACGCGGGAACCTTTAGGGACGCCATCTCTCGATTCGACGCTTTTGCTACTGAGTACCTGACCTCCAAGAATGTCGATTTCGCGTTTGTCACTCTCGATGCATGGGACCTCCGAGTTCAGCTTCCCCGTGAAGCTCGCGACAAGGCTGTCGTCCTACCCCCATATCTCCAACACTCCCGAACCTTCGACCTCCGCACTGAATACCAGCGCTGGCAGCAGCACCACCCCGAATCTTTGCCGTTCGGTCCCTCCATGCTCTCCAACATATGTGCCGCGCTCGAGGTTGAGCCAGTTCAGTCCAGCGCACCGATTAAACATAACCTCCCCTTCCACCTCCAGGCATTGGCTCCCGCCTCGCCTCGCCGTGCCATGGAGGAGGCCATTACACTCGCCCGAGTCCTCCGCGGCCTGATTCGCAAGTCTCAACCCCCTCAGGAGCACCCTGATGTATTGACCCGGCCCATGGATGCCAGAGCCGACGTTCGTGCTTTCCTTTCTGAGAGAAGCAAAGTTCTTCACATGTCTGGCCTGCCCCACGATACCACCCAGTCCGAGCTCGAGAGTTGGTTCACCCAGTTTGGAGGCCGTCCTATTGCATTTTGGACCCTTCGGACTCCGGAGCAGCACAAGCCTACTGGCACTGGCTTTGCCGTCTTTTCCTCTCATGAGGAGGTATGTTTCTACCTTCTCACCGCCGCCTCGTTTTACTCTTTTGCGCTGCTAACACTCCTCAAGGCTGCTGAAAGTCTCTGTATGAACGGCAGAGCCCTCAACGAAAAGGCCATTGAAGTCTCCCCGTCTTCGAGCAGAGTTCTCGACCGTGCCCAGGACATTCTCACGCCTTTCCCCCCCAGCAAGAACCGTCCTCGCCCCGGTGACTGGACATGTCCCTCCTGCGGCTTTTCCAACTTCCAGCGCCGAACCGCCTGCTTCCGGTGCTCATTCCCTGCTGCCGGTTCCGGACCTGGTGGCGACAACTTTAGCTATAGCGGCGGTGGAAGCGGAAGCTATGGCCCTCCTCAGATGATGCCGCCCCCGCATCATGGTGGTCACGGCCACATGGGCCATGGTGGACGCATGGGTGGTGGCGGCGGAGGTGGCGGCGTTGTTCCTTTCCGTGCTGGTGATTGGAAGTGTGGCAACGAGGTCTGCGGCTACCACAACTTTGCTAAGAATGTATGCTGCCTTCGCTGCGGGGCTAGCCGCGCCAGCGCTGCTGTTGTGGCCGATTCGGGATACCCGTCTCCAATGGACAACTCGTCTCAGTACAGCATGGGCCAGGGCTCCATGGGAGGTACTCCCGGCCCCGGCCCTTTCAACTCGGGCAACACGTTCAATGCTGGAGCGGGCTACAACCAGCATTTTGGTGGCCCCCCAAGCCACTTCCTTCCCTCTGGCTTGGCGGGCGGCGCTGGCGGCTACCCCGGCTCCATGAACAACCAGGCCTTTGGCCCTGGCCCGGGCTCTCACGGAGCCGGCCCCTTTGATAGCCGTGCTGCCGAGGCTGCTTTCCAGTCTGCCACGAACGGTCCTGCTTCTGGAGCCGGTCCTGCACATGGCAACTATTACAACAGCGGTCCTGCCAACGAGAACGACCCATTCGCATTCCTCTCCACCGGCATGGGTGGCCTCGCGGTCGGTGGAAACGACGGTCGACAAAACGGGGGAGCGGCCCCTCCCAACAAGTCGCCTGCTTGAATCCATTGAGGCTGTGGTCCATGTTTGGACTGTGGAGCTATTGATGATGGTAACCTTCCAACTATCACCGCGGCCATGTTGAATTACAGAAAAACAGAGTGGCCCACACTTTTGTGCATTTTATTCGCATGTCATGCTGCTTTTGAAGTGATGGATGTTGCACAACCTTGGCCTCGGTCACGGAATTCACCTTGCGGACTTTACTTCCCCTGAGGAAAAGGGCTCAGTCAGGTGTGTATCGGATTTCCTGTTATTTATCTCTTTTTACCTTGGGAGGTTTCGGATGGAGTGTCGGACACTATTTCAGGCGGGTTGTGGTTTCAATGTTCTTTTTTTTTTCGAGCTTTTTTTTTTCTCTCATTTTTTTAATTTGCGAGAGGTTGGAAGACAAAAGTGACTATACCATGGCTATTCTGGGTTGAAGTCTGGAAAGGAAAATCTACGGACTTTTGTTTTGCTAGGGGAAGAAAAAAGGGAATCTACTTGGCCTCGATTTTGTTTTTGCACAAAGAGAAAGGATGAGGACGGATTCACGTCATTTCACAAACAACAACACATACATTGGACTTGGACTTTGGACCGGACTGGACAGGAACTTTCTTTTTTTCCTTTTTGTTGGGACGGAATTTGGCATTTTGCTTGAAAGGGAAAAGACACATGAGGTGTGTGCGTGCAAGCGTGCGTGTGCCGCAGTTGAAAAAGCACAACCACCACAATTACAGGGGATGGCAGAGATAAATTGTTCCTGGATGGATGCATAGCGAAAGGGTGCGTTAACGGTGTATCTTGGTCTTGCGTGAACTTGATTCATATTTTGATTCAGTTTCTTCTGCAAAGTGTCTTTTTATTAAACCCGGTCAAGGCAAGGATATTGTCAGATTACTATTCTTTTTTTCTTTCTTCTCAATTCACTCATCTGTCATCTACACTCTGGCCACTCACTGCTACCTTTTGAACCGTAGGCTGTCGACATAAAACTACTTGGGAACCAACGAGGGTCATACGCCGCCCAGACACTGGCACTTGAGCAACTCCTTACAATAGCAACAGCGGCATCGTGTCGAGGCTACCAGTGAACTGACATATTGACCTATGCGTTGCTGTCTTGTGACTCATAGCTCGTCCAGCTCCGTTTCATCTGACACGAGCGTCTCCGCCTCTGAATCCAAGTCCATATCCTCGGTCTCCTCCGCGGCTTCCCCATCTTCCCCATCTTCTCCGTGCTGCTGCTCCTGTTGCTCCTGCTGCCCCTGCTGCTGCTGCAGCCAGAGCCCCCAGTCCCAGTCTGCATCCATCTCCACATCCTGATACGACTGCCACGCCTGCGCCCGCAGCGCCTCCTCACCATTGATCTCCGGCGCCAGCCCGCCGCCCGCCAGCACGTCGTTGACGAAGTCGACCCATCCATCCGCGTCCCCCACCCCCGGCACGACCACCTCGTCGTCTCGCGGCGGCACAAGGTACCCCCTCGTCATCTCGTCCTCAATCGAGCACCCTGCGCTGCCGCCCTCGTCGTCATCGGAGGGAGCGGAGGAGTAGTCGTCGATCTCGCCACACCACGCCATGGCGCGCAGGCGCTCGTCCTCGTCCTCGTCGAGGATGCGCCGCTGCTCGGCGGGCGGGAGCGCGTCGAAGCGCTTCTTGCGCGCGTGCCGCGGGCGCCAGTGGTGCGTCGTGTCGCTGCGCTCCAGCGCCGCCGCCGTCTCCTCGCACACCACGCGCAGCTCCTCCTCCTCCGGCACCAGGTTCTCGCCCGACGCCCAGTCGACGTACCCCCACATCATCATGGCCACCAGGTGCCTATCGAGCTCGAGGCCGCGCGCCACCGCCTCGACCGGCACCAGCTCGTCCGGCCTCGGAAGGTGGCGGGGGAGTCCACGGGGGTCGCTCCTCTCCAGGTGCCCCCGGCCGATCTCCTCGTACGGCACCCCGTGGATCGCGGTGCCAAAGTACTCGGCACTCCAGTGGCCGGGGACGCCGCGCACGCGCGTGTCGGCGGGGGAGGCGGCGACGGGGAAGTCGTAGCGCACCTTGAGGGCGAGCACGTCGGCGAGGCGGGTGAAGCGCCAGCGGGCGAGCAGCTGCCAGAGCGGGTGCAGGCCGCCGCGCTGCTGGCCGAGGACGAGGTGCAGCAGCTCGTACGTGTTGGGCCCGTATACGGGGTCGTTGAAGTGCATGCCGAGCTTGACGAAGAGCAGCTGCGCGTTGTAAAGGTCGGCGTCGGCCCAGACGTCCCGGTTGCGCAGCAGCGCCGCCCGGTGCGCGCCGGTGGGGATGTCCAGGCACAGCCACAGCTTCAGCAGGGTGCCGTGCATCGAGGCGGGCGTGCGGTGCCCGTTGCGTGCGAGGAGCGCGCGGATGTCCCGGCAGTACCGGTCCCGCCCGACCACGAGCTGCAGGTACACGAGGCCCGGGATGGCGCGAACCTCGGCGGCCGTGGCGGCGTCGATGGTATGACTGGCCGCAGAACCATGCGCCGGCGCCGCCTCATCCCCTTGTTCGTTGTCGGCCGGCGCTGCCGTAGTATCGTACTGGTAGCTCCAGCTGCGACCGGCCGGGTCGGCCACGAGGTGCCGCTTGTAGAAGCGAGCGTCGAACACGCGGCCGGCCTCGGGCGCCATGTGCGCGATCCATGCGCTCACAGTTCCCTTCATGAACTGGTCGACGGCGTCGTGAAAGGCGCAGCTCGCGCTGTACAGCGCCACGATGTCGCGCGGGCTCAGGTGCTTGCCGATCTCGATGGCCAGCTCCGGGCAGTGCCGCAGCCGCGTGAGGACATCTCTCGGCCCGCTGCGGTCCTGCGTCCCGGCAGCAGGAGCAGCATCGGCCTGCTTTGTCGTCGTGGGGTATGGATCGCGGCCTTTAAAGTAGCGATGCAGGTCGGCGTCGGTGAATTGGAACCGCTGGGCGGGCGCGCCGTTGACGTCTTGCCTGGCGACGTGTCGGATGGGAGAGGTGCTCTCGGGCGGCTGGCCCATGGACTCGGGCGAGAAGGCTTCCAGCTCCCAAGCCTGGCTGATCGACTGTTGGGGGGTGGAAGGGCTCATGGCGACGATGGCGGGTAGAACGCTGAAACGTTTCGATAGTAACGTGTTGCGCTTGCGGCTGCTTAGAGATCAAATTGAAGTATGTTGAATTGTTTTGCGTCAACCATGGTGGCAGGGAAGAGCCCGTTTGCACGAACCACGTGAATGCTTCTGAGGACTATGTAAACAGACGGGACAAATCATTTCGGGATTTCGGGAATCAGGGGCGAAAGCTAGCGGAATACTTTTTATCATGATTTGCAATATAGGAATCGAGGAAAAACACGTGTGTGAAAAAAAAATAGTTGCCATGTACGCAGCGAAGTATCAGTCCCAATCACTGAAAGTCGAGATCCGTCGGCCTTCTCATCCAATAAACGCCGAGGCTCCCGTATATCTCCATCCTATCAAGGTCGATTATTCCTTACCAATCTCGACCGAGACTATCGGTCAACCTCGTCCACGGGCAGCTCGCCATCATCCTTGCCGACAATGGTGTCGGCAACTTTCCAGATTTGCAAAAGGTTATCTTCAGCGGCACTGGCGACCATCCACGGCTCGTTGGGGTTCCAACTAAAGTCAGCGAGATGATTTGTGTGGCCACCGTGCATAAACAGCCTGTGAGATTGAGTCAGCAAAAGGAGCCTCGAACGGGAACAAAATACGCACAGTTCTGGAGGGCCATCTTCTGTGTCATCAGGGAGCTGCTCCTCGCCAATTCGAGACAAGTCCCAGAAGATGATGCGTCTATCGTAGCTTCCACTGCCTAGGATACCAGCTTCGCTGGGGTGCCACGAGATTGACGTGACGGCATCGCTATGACCTTCTAGAGTATGCACCTTCTCTTTGAGATTGCGAAGATCCCAAATACCGATAGTCTTGTCAGCAGAGGCAGTGGCCACCAAAACCTCGGAGTTGGGGTTGAATGACAAGGCGTTGATGGCATCCATGTGGCCGCCGACAGCAGATACTGCAGCCTTGGTCAAGTCGCTATTGCGCGTGTCGACAATCTTTAGGGTAAGATCGTCGGAGACCGAACCAACAAAGTTCTTGGATATGGGATGGTATTGAACATCGTTGACGACCTGGGTGTGGTGAGTGTATCGGCGCCAAGGCTTGACGATCCGAGCGTCAGATGTAGCTTCCTTTATATTCCTGCGAGGCAATTAGTACTTAACTTGAACTAGATCTGAGCCAAACATACCAAAGACACATAGTTTTATCCTCGCTACCGGAGGCCAGGCAACCCTCCTCGTGGGGGTTCCAAGCAAGACCGAATCCCTCAGAGCTGTGTCCGATCAGCTCAAGTTGAGGGTCAATCTTGCCAGGGACTGTAGGCTGCAGCGGGTGCTTTGTGCGGTCAAAAATCAAGATTTTTCCATTGACACACAACGTAGCAATGATATCTGGGTTCTGCGGCTGGTAACGCGCCTTGTTCACCTCGCCAGGGTGCTCAATCTTCTGCACGATATCGCATTTGAGCGGCGCAATGTCTGCTGACTTGCCATAGCCTCCAATTTCGCCGCTCTCGTCATCGTAGTTGTCCGGATTCGGCACATGCGCTTTTGGGACTTGTACGTCGGCAATCTGCAAGTAATTTGTGCTTTCGTCGGAGGTGTGGGTGCCTAGCAAAAGGCGGTGCATGCGGAGGTTTTCCCCGGGGGGTTCTTTGACGTCGGGAAACCATTGGATAGTGAGAGTAGGCCACGTCAGTGCAGTGCTATTCAGCGTTAGGAGAAAATAGAGCCATGCCAGCGACAGTGAACGTACCCAAGAATCATGTCATACAAGAACGGGCTGTTCTTCTTCCACGCCTTGTATTCTGCATGGCAAGTCAGCTTAAATGGTTGCGCGTCATTTAAACGGTACAATTAGTCAAAAGCGAAATACCTTCATTGATGGCTCTTTCAACCTGGTCGTCTTCTTCTTCGTGAGTTGGCTCGACTACAAGCACCGTTAGCAGAAATCTGTTGAAGCGGGCAAACCAGCATACCGTCCATGTCGCGGTCCATACTCGAAGGAGGCGCCATGATTCGCGAGTAAGAAAAGTCAATGCTAGCAGAAGAGTAGAGATGATGCAAAGTCAAAGGTTAAAGTGCGGCCGCGGTAGATATACCTTGGAAGTGACTACGGCGCAGCTCTGGGTGCAAGCTCTAAACTCTGAAGGGTGTGAGGCACGCGTCGCGCGTAAAGGGCAGCCCAGCCGCGAGCTTAGCCAGCGGGGCTTTTACAACGAGAAAAAGCTTAGTCAGCCGGCTAGGTCCGCAAAATCCTCTGCAAACAGGCAAACAGGCGCTTTCAATTTGGAGTCGGGCATGTATGTACCTTTGTACCTCTCGCCTCCCAGCTACCTTGAATAGCAGCCTTGTCGCGCAACCAAGTGAGGTACTCGTGTACCTCGAGTGCCCACAGCGGTAGCTGCCCCTCTCAACCCCAAACAACCCATCGCATCTTTTAGCCGAGTGACTCTTCCACCATACAAAGCAAAACGAGTAGATTGCGTTACACGCTCGCCGATATTGGGTGTCACGAGCTCTGGAATTTTGTTGAGCTTCCCGTAGTTACACCCCTTCCTTGTGTCGTATATAGGAAATTGCAATCCGCTGCAATTCTCCGCTTTGCGACATCACTACCTTTCCTCGCCGTCAACCACCATCCTTTGAATCTTCTCTTCTTGCCATTTGACGTCGCGCGCATCTTCACCTAGACGAAGACAAAAGCCTACATCCTCGATTCTCCCCCTTTCTCCAAAACTGCTCATCAACACTGCCATCATGGGGTAAGTGGCTTGGCGCGTGGTCTCGTTGATGCGATGCAAAGCTAACCTCTCGACAGTGTCCCTAAATTCTTTCGATGGCTCTCCGAGCGATATCCTCCAATCTCTCAGCTCATTGCGGAAAACAGAATACCTGAATTTGACTGCCTTTATGTATGACATCTTGCGATACCCCAACAAGGCCAATGGCTAACTGGTTGGAAAGCTCGACATGAACGGCATCATCCACAACTGCACACACAAAGATGCTGGCGAAGATACAACGTTCCGTCTGAGCGAGGAAGAAATGTTTATCCGCATTTTCAACTACATTGAGCATCTTTTTGGCAAAATCAAGCCCAAGCAGCTCTTTTTCATGGCTATTGACGGCGTTGCGCCGCGCGCCAAAATGAACCAGCAGCGAGCTCGTCGATTCCGTACCGCACTCGAAGTAGAAAAGGCCCGTGAAAAGGCCATCAAGGAAGGAGTCGAGATGCCCAAGGAGGAACCGTTCGATAGCAACTGTATCACGCCAGGTATGCAATCTCCCACTTGCCTTCCCAACTTTACCCTGAGCCGCAATCTCATTCTTCTGCAGGAACTGAATTCATGGCGAAACTATCTCGACAACTACAATACTTTGTCAACAAGAAGGTCTCGGAGGATACCGACTGGCAAGGCTGCGAAATTGTCTTGTCTGGACACGAAGTACCTGGCGAGGGCGAGCATAAAATCATGGAGTACATCCGAAATGCGAAATCGCAACCCGGGTATAACCCCAACGTACGTCACTGCTTGTACGGCCTTGATGCCGATCTGATCATGCTGGGTCTTCTCAGCCACGACCCTCACTTTTCCCTCCTCCGTGAGGAAGTCACCTTTGGTAGAGCGTCCAAGAACAAGTCCAAGGAGCTGGAACATCAAAACTTTTTCTTGCTGCATCTATGCATGGTCAGAGAATATCTGGAAATGGAGTTCCAGGATCTAAAGCATAGCCAGGTGGAGGGCTTCGAATTTGACTTGGAACGTGTCATTGACGATTTTATCCTCATGGCGTTCTTTGTCGGAAACGATTTTTTGCCAAATCTTCCAGGCTTGCACATCAACGAAGGTGCACTGGCTGATATGTTTGAAATCTATAAGAGAGTTCTACCCGAGGAAGGAGGCTACCTACATGAAAATGGCGTCCTCAACATCAAACGCGCGCTCAGGATGGTTTCCGAGCTTGGCAACATCGAACTTAAGCAGTTCGAGCGCGACGTCGCTGATGAGAAATGGTTTGCCTCCAAGCAAATGGAGAAGAAGTTGCAAAACATGGCAACTGCTTCCGTCGCAAAGACGTCCAAAAGTGGACAGCGGATTATCACAGGCGCCCAGCGAGATCTCTGGAAACAAAAGATCCGCCCCTACATCTCCAAGCGCTCGGATGATGCACTGGACCTTGGCGTGGACTTGGCTGCGGCGGACAAGAAGTTTGCGCAAGAAGTTGCTGACGCTATGCACCTTGATTGGTCTACGAAAGAAGACGACAACGGATTCCGACACCTCATCATATCGTTTCCTCCAAAACCGGCGGGCGATGATGAGGATGAAGAGGATGAAGAGGAGGGCAACCTTGCAGCCTATCGCGTCATTAGAACATACGACAAGGCTGTCGTGGTTAATGATTCTGGCGAAGCCTCCCAAGAGGAATATGAGAAGCTATATCAGCAGAAGTATCAAGGTTGGAAGACCAAATACTACCTGCAAAAGTTTCCAGAGTGGGAAGCTACGGCCTATGCCGATGAGCAAACGAAGCTTTGCGAAAACTACGTCGAAGGTTTGCAATGGGTTCTTTTCTACTACTACCGCGGAATCGCGTCCTGGCCCTGGTTTTACAAGTACCATTACGCGCCCCTCATATCCGATGTGGCCAAAGGAGCGAGCGCAAAACTGCAATTCGAGAAAGGGCAGCCGTTCAAACCGTATGAGCAGCTTATGGGCGTCTTGCCAGATCGCAGCAAAAAGATCGTGCCTACGGCATATCATGACCTCATGACGAACCCTAGCTCTCCCATCATTGACTTTTACCCCCGAGACTTCGAATTGGACATGAATGGCAAAAAGATGGACTGGGAGGCTGTCATCAAGATTCCGTTCATCGATGAGAAACGTCTGTTGGCTGCTATGGAGACAAAGAATGCTCTTCTCAGCGACGATGAGAAGGCTCGCAATGGCTTTGGTGTTCCTTTGAAGTTCACATATTCGTCCGAAGTGAACTTTACCTACCCTTCTCCTCTCCCAGGCATCTTCCCTGACGTGCAGAACTGCCGTTGCATCGAGAACATTTTTGATCTGCCAAACATGGAGGGACTGGTCTACAAATCAGCTCTGACAGACGGCGCCAAGTTGAAGATGGACGCTTTGGCAGGCTTCCCCTCCCTACACACGATTGATCATACAGCGCAACTCATTGAGGGTTACGGCATCAACGTCTTTCAGGCTGATAGCCGCAACCCAAGTGTAGTGGTGACGCTGACTCAGCCTGAGGCTCGTAATAAGACGGAAACCTGGAAGGCCAGGTTGGGCAAAAAGTGTTTTGTGGGCTTCCCCTTTCTCCAAGAAGCCAAGGTCGTCAAGGTTCAGGATGAACTTTTCACATTTGAGCTTGGCCACGACGGTGTGGAGGTCATCATGAAGGACAACACAAACCGCGAAGCCGCAGACTTTGCCAAGGAGGCGGAGCACCTCGAGAACTGGCACGCGAAAAGACTTGGTATCACCATTAGGCAGGTTGAGTGTCTCGTTGGGGTGCATATGCTGAAGGGCCTCCTCAAGACAGAGGAAGGCGCTCTAGTCAAGGAATATGCTGAGAACCCAAGTGTCCGCAGCATATATGCGTCGCAGACCATTGTTGACGAAGTCACGAATGAGGATGAGCGATTCATCGAAAAGGCCGCGCTGCCTGTTGAAGAAGAATTCCCTCAGGGCACAAGGGCGTTCTTCCTTGGTGATTATGCTTATGGCCGACCTCTCGAGATTACTGGCCATATCAAAGGCAAAATCGAATTGGTAGTCTCAGTTCCAAAAACCAAGGAGCCCGCATTCTCGCGATCCATCATCCAGGGAGCTGAGAAGCTGAACCCATACACCCCATCCTTTGCTATTGCCAAACAACTTGGAGTTCATCCTTTGGTTCTTAGCAAAATCACGTCATCTTTTCAGGTGTTGACCTCGGCCGGGCTAAAGCTGAATTTGGGTCTCAACCTCAAGTTCGAGGGACGCAAGCTAAAGGTGCTTGGATATTCGCGCAAATCCAACACAGGCTGGGAGTTTAGCAATCTAGCTATTCAGCTCATTGCGAACTACATGATGACGTTCCCCGACTTTTTCGCCGCGGTGCAAAAGCATGCTCAAAAGAGTGACATTTATGACACCGATTTGTGGCCAGATCAGAGTGTTGCGTCTCAAAGGCTGAAAGATCTCTCTGCTTGGCTAAAGAAGCAAGAAACAAGCAAGTTTGAAAAGGTCACTTTGGATGCCGAGCAGCTCGATTCGGACATTGTCCTGGCGCTGGCTACCGCTGGTGAACAAGTGTTCCAAGCTTCGCAGGATTCGGAGATTCGCAAGCTGAAAGGTGTTCCGCGCACAGCTTTACTGAAGCCGTCAGATGCCGAAATGGTGCTTGGAAACCAAACTTTCAAGCTCGGTGATCGTGTGACATTTGTTGCCGCGGCTGGTAAAGTACCGATCGCTACAAAGGGGACAGTGGTTGGCATTAGCCGCACGCCGACGGCACTTTTGCTGGATGTAGTTTGGGATACCTCGTTCATGAGCGGAACGACACTGGGAGAACGTGCCCCCATGTTTCGCGGACAGACTGTACCAGCCTCGAGCGTTCTCAACACAACAAACCGCCAGGTACTCTCAGCGTCGAGCAAATCTCAGCAGCGACGTGCCGCGGCAGCACCCGGCAAGACGACCGGTGGCTATGGCTCTGTTGGTGTGACGCAGTACAAGGATGCTGCGGCGCCGCCACCTCTGCGCGGCGGCTGGAGCGGCGCTGTCAACGGAAAGCAATCGCCTGGACGCGGGCGTGGGCGCGGGCGCGGCGGTGCCAGCGGCGAGCCCAAACTTCTGCACAGCACCATGGTCTATCGTGATGGACCACCCAACGGCAGCTCGCAGAGCAACGGACAAGGCAGCCGGGGTCAGGCCGGTGCCCACCGTGGCGGGGCAGCCAACGTGCAGAACGGCGAGCAAAGGTACGGAAACGTACCGCCGCCCGCAAACCTGAACGCTTCACGAGGTGGGCGAGGCCGTGGCCGCGGTAACAGAGGGCGAGGCAACGGCAACCGTGGACGCGGAGGCGGTGCTTCTGGCAGCCAGGAAGCCAAGGCAGCGTAGCCGAGGAGCGTCGATGAAGTTGGGGGTTTGGGCGGTTGGCGTTATTGGTGAATTGGCTGGAATTTACAAGTGGGCTGCATCTCGTTGAATCAAAGGATGGAAAAGCTTCTGACGACTAGTTAATGCATAGATGACGGCACTGGAGCCTAGTGTATATGAAGGTTGATTCCAATGGATATACGACAACCCCGGGATAGATGTAACCATTGAAAATATATCAAGAACAGTACACACCCCATAAGTTGGCACTGCTGCAATTCTACGGTTGCAAGAGGCAATGTGAATATTTGTTAATAGTTGTATTGTCGAGAACTGCCCTCATCCGTAAACGCCAAACGTCTCTCTACAATGTAGCCAGGACAATGCCAGCGAAAGGGGAAGCCCCCCCCCCAAAAGGCCTACATTCACAACACACGACTCGGCTCATGCCTTGGCCTTGTTCGTCTTGGACTTGGACTTGGTTTTTGACTTTGTCTCCTTGGCATCCTTGACCTTGAGGGCCGGCAGAACCATCTTCTCGCTCTCGCCGCCCGCCAGTGTCTTCCAGAGGAAGAGGTCGCGGGGCATGTTCCAGGTAAGCAGGCCGACCCACGGCTGTACGTTGTAGTGCAGCTTCAGGGTGACGTCTTGCGTGTGGGCGATCTTGCCCGAGGGGTGTGTGATTTGGTACTTTGGCTTTTGGTTCTTGAGCTTGAGCTTGCCACTACGTTTGAGCCGAGTCAGCGAGACGAAGAGGGGAAGGGGGTAAGAGAGCAGGGGGGACATACCGGTTCGGGTCAATGGACTTTCCGGCGGAGCTCTTGCGCAGCTTCTTCAGCGTGGCGGGTCCAATGTTGAGGAGGTGGTCGGCGCTGGGGTTGGTGATGATGCTGTCCCAGATGACGGCCGAGTTGGTGGTGTTGGTGCCGTCGGCGGCGGGCCAGTCGGCGGTGACGTAGACGAAGAGGTTCTTGGTGTTCCAGGTGAAGAGGCTGGAGAGGTCGGCGTCGAGGGAGAAGCGGATGATGGCGTACTCTTCCTTCTTGGTGCTGTAGTAGTGCGGACGACCCTTGACGCTGTGCGCGCGCGTGTTGTGTCAGTGTTGGAGCGCAAAAGGGCCAGAGAGGTGGCGGCGGCGGCTTACACTTGGAGATTCTCTGGGCTGATGACGCCCGACGGCGCGCGCGGGGAAAAGAGGTCGGTGGCGGCGATGAAGGCGCCAAAGACGCAGGCTACTGTGGTGAAGAAGCCAAAGACATTCTGGATGCGGTTGAAGGAGTTGTACATGGCTGGGCGGGCGCCGCGACGGCCAGCGGATTTGGGGGGTTCCCGGGTTGACTTGTAATTGGGGTCGATCGGGCGCTCAGGCAGACACTCGCGTTATCGCTACTGTTGTTGTTGTCGTTGCCAACTCGGTGATGATGTGCAGGCGATGTGAGGCTTCGACGACGTAGCTTAGGACACGTTTTGTAGGTGCTATTTAGGTACCTCTCGGTACCAGCTACATACTACGCGCGTGTAAGTACCTACTTATGTACATAAGTACATACAGTAGGTGGGTAGGTGCCTTTTAGCCCCATGACTGATGCAGGGTCGATTCAGTGGCTGCATTGAAGGTCACTGTAGCTGTGTTTTTTCATGAGAGGTGAATTGCACAATTATTTGAAGCACAAGGCAGTATTTGTTAGAAGGCATCAAAATTAGATGTCACACGCCATGTTACCGGCACTTCGCATCACAGCACGCAGCTTTGAGACTCACTGCTGTCGAGCTGGCCAGCAAATTCGCCATTTAAAATGTGTACAACTTACATGAATATTGTGAAACTTGAGACAGAATTGAGCAGGAAATCACAAAGCTCAACTACTTCGTGATTCCTTGAAATATTTGTGCTGTTGGTTCCACGGGCCTTCGCTGTGCGACGCGCAAATGAGAAGGTTTTAATTAGAGTACAGTTCTTTTTCCGTTAAGAATCAGGTTCCATACTTGCAGTAGATATATCTAAGTTAACATTTGGCGGTTGCTTTATTACGTCCAACGAGACTGCGTATATGTGAGAAGTAGGTACCCAGGTACCTCGTTGCGGTTATCGATTTATCAACAACTTGTGATGCGACAAAGGCTTTCCCCACACTAAAACAATTCTACACCAGCATCTATCCATTCGGACGCGCCGTAGGCCTGGCCTGCTCCAAGAAAGAGACCAAATCAGCTGCTGCCTAGCACAGCTTCGACGCCTACCTCTTCGCGACACTGGAATCTCAACATAAGCTGTCGCGGCTGTCATCACAGGTGCCTGTCCATAGGCCCTGGGCGGTGACGCGCCATGTCTCGTCGCAACTCTGGCAAGTCCCAGAAGCTAGCGGCTAAGGCGGCCACGATTCCTTCAGTCACAACCAACAAGGTATGTTTGGCCTCTCTCTCTCTCTGTGTTTCTTTTTGGAATTTCCCCCTTGTCCCCTTCCTTTACCAAAGCCCATCCATGCATTACTAAATTCCCTACCTATGGCTGCCTAAATGCCTGCCTAAGAATGCCTTCTGCTTTTCTGCTTCAGTCATTGCATCGTCTGGCCCAAGACCCACCCCTCTCACAACGACGTCCACTACCACCACCCCGCTGACCAGGAGGCAACTGCCTTTTTTCGAAGAAGAAGAAGCTACGCAAGCATCGTCGCCGACCTTCAGCAGCCAGCAGCCCGAGCTCCCCTGCGCCGAAACCGTCTGTTGCTCAAACGCTCAAGGTGTACGTCTATAAATGCTACCGGGGAGCCCAGTCGCGAAATCCGCCCCTCAGCTAACCAAATCACATTTAGCACCCAGCAGGACGGTTTCGACGCCCAACCTTCGCCCGCCCCAGATGATCACGATTCACTATCGCCTCCCAAGATCCAAGCCACACCTTCCATACCAGATACCACAGCTACAAAAGCAAGGAGCCGAGCGTCGTCTTGGAAGTCAGTTCATACCTTCCCCCGGTACTCTGCCCACGAGACCGCCTTAACTGACAATTCGCAGTGCTGCTAGTCGATATTATTCCAAAACTGGCTCTCTCCCAGACTATAGGTATGCCAGTGTTCACGATCGTCCTCTGATCACCTACCTCTACGGACAAACACTTACTCACCAGGACAGGCCAACTCAACCTGCCATGGGTCTTGATAGACTGGTACGCTCCTGTTCCAGCACATTCTGGCTCTCGCCTATCCCAACTGACCTGGATTGTACAGAAACGCATGAATCAGTCATGGTCACCGGCCACTACCAACACATTGACCAAAGGTGGCAGCAAACGAGAGTTTCCCGAGTCCTCATCCGCCCCTCATCAGACATTGGCCAAACGGCAAAGGCGCGAAGTCTTCTCCTCGAACGATCGAGCCCCCGAATCATCGCTTGCACTACCACAAAGCCCAAGCTCAACATTCAACAACCGTCGCAGCCAAGCCGAAGCTCCTGCTAGCCCCATCCGGGTAAGGAAGAACGCGAAGTTTCTTGACCTTAGCAATCCTGAGCCCGCCCCATCCAATATTACATCCGATATAACACCCAAATCCCGCGGCCCGAAACGGCGGCCTGCGAATACCAACTTACAAACACCTCCCAATCACACAACCATACCTCACAAGGCCTCATTAGAGTTTGACGAGATCGACGACTCCGAGGACGAACTACAATCCAATCATTCAGTCTTTGCCCCAAATACTCGACGAACCAACTTCTCGCAAATAAAACCCTCGTCTCGGACACAGCTTCGTATGCGGGGTGATATAGCGCGCACGAGGTTCTCAGAAAAGACCCCGACACGGCTCAATAAGCCAGCCATATCAATATTGAGGGCTGTTTCAGGAAAGAAAACGTATTCTGCACTCGACAATTCTCAACCCCAGCTGTATCTGAAACCGTCCTCGGGCGGGGTCCTTGTACTAGAGGCCTGGTCCAACGGACAGCGCGATGAAGAGTATCAATGGATCTCATTCAACCCAACTGATGTCCGCAACATTCGCTACGGCGAATGCTACATGAGCTTTCGGCGATCTATGTTTCGCGACCGACCACCGATAATAGCGCTGCAGTTTGCGAGCCCTGAAGACGCCGCTCAAGTTGCCAAAATGATCAGTGAAGATACTAGTCAAAACCGTATGAGGTGGGTTGCCAAGTCTATTCTATTTCTGCATTCGTATTCGTTACTGACGAGAATAGAGAGGAAATGCAAAGGATCTTTGACAACTCTTGGGAAACTGCTGTGTCGAGCTCACGCAATGTCAGTCTTGGGGGTGGCCGCCGACAATCTGATGCAAGTGAGATGACGAAACGCAATGCGGACACCACCGAGGAACCCAAATCACCTCCAGTCGAAATGGCGACTCATCCGGAACACCTCAAGGAGCGAGAACACTCTGCATTTCAAGTGCCCACATCCCCAGTGCGCGCTGCATCTCCAGTCCGGCGACTTGGTATGGAAACCAGGCGATCTAAGAGATGGTCGCCACCTCCCGCGGAGGTTTCTCACGATTTGGAACGGTGGTCCGAGAAGAACACAGCTTGGGAGTCGGACTGGAAACAAACGCTCGTTTATCCCGCCACGGGGCGCAACCGAGCCTCTGTGGACAAGGAAGATGTCTCGCGGCTGGATGAGGGCAACTATCTCAACGACAACTTAATCAGCTTTTACTTGCGGTATCTCCAAATCTCTGTGGAGCGGGAAAGGCCAGATCTATTCAAAAGAGTTCACATTTTCAGCACCTTCTTCTTCGAGAAACTGATGTCGGGTAAAGGCGACATCAATTACGATGGTGTCAAGAACTGGACGTCCAAGCTTGACCTTTTCTCTTACGACTACATTGTGGTTCCGGTAAACCAGAACGCACATTGGTACATGGCTGTCATATGCAACACCCCAAAGCTGATAGAGCAGGCGGAGGGGAGCGCTTTACATATCCATGCTGTGACAGACGCCGCGGATTTACCAATGCCAAAATCCCAGATTATGGCGGCGGTGGAGCGGGATATCTCGGATATATCGCTAGAAGACGTCACTGCGCTGCGGCGTTCTTCAAGACAACTCTCCTCCACGCCCGCGTCGTCTCCAGCGAAGCCGCCGTCTGCAACAACTTCTTCTGCGGTGGTTGTGCGAAGCCCTCGTGCCTCATCTCGGCGTTTAGATATCTCAGAGCCACGCATTATTACTCTTGACTCATTGGGATCACCCCACCCTGCCACCTGCAAGGCACTTAAGAAGTATCTGGTTGAGGAAGCCAAAGACAAAAAGAACATAGACCTGGTGGCACCACCTGGCGGCATGACAGCCCGCCAGATCCCACAACAGACCAACTATTGCGATTGCGGAGTCTTTCTCCTGAGCTACATGGAGAAGTTTCTCAAAGACCCGGATGATTCGATACGCAAGATTTTGATGAAGGAGGATGTCGGCTGGTCCATCGACGCAGCGGGACTGCGGAACGAAATTCGCAATATTCTGTTCCAGTTACAGAAGGAACAGGTAGAGCGCCTTGCAGGGGAACGCAAGAATAAACGCAAACTAAGCCGGAAGAGTGACTCCTCTGTCAAAAACGCATCGGACGTCGTCAACGAGATCCCTCCTGAGGACCTCAAAGCCAGCAAGGCAGGCGAGCCTTCCACGCCATGCCAACCACAGACACTCCCTCTATCTGCTCCGTCATCAGCCACATACAGGAACAGCGCGACAATGCCTCCTGCAATGACTGATAGGCCTCCCAAGTTTACACTGGAAGCCATGCATGCCGACGACGACGGCGTCGTTGACATTGTCAGGATGCCGGTGCTGGATGCTCAATCTAGGGACTAGGCAAATACCCCGGAAGTGGTAATTACCACATTATGTCGGCGCTTTTCTGTTGCTTCTGCTTGTTTTGACTGGGCAATTCGCTCATGGCGCACATAGCTTTTTGTTTTATGATTACATGTAGTTACCATACCCGCATAGCGATACATCATGAAGGCATTTTTTTTAAACTCAACAGCACCGCATACAATACTTGCTACGCTGATTCACGAAAGAAGTGACAAACAGGGTGTGCGCGATGTTCAATGCTCGCTTCTGTGAGCGAATTCCTTTTAAATGTACACGTAATGATTCCCCTGTGATTCCAACTCTCCTACAATATGCTGCAGTTATGATTTTCTCCCTCGTCAACTCCGCTATGTACAAATTTTGTTTCTTCTCCTTCTGCGCCTTCCGTGGGACCCTCTTGTTCCGTCCTCACTCCTCCGAGCTCTCGCCTTCCGCCGACTGGTCATCCGCCTCCACCTCCGCCTCGCCGCCTGGCAGGCGAGGCACCTCGAAGACGACGCCGCCGTTGCGTGCCCCCTTGCGCACCTTCCACCGACCGAGGCGGTGCTCGTTGCTGACCGCCGCGACGACGCACAGCCCGTCCTGGCCGCGCTCGCCGCGCTCAAACACCGAGATGCCGTTGATGATGCCCTCGATCGGGCGCTGCGGCAGCTGCTTGAACGCGCCGTTGCGGTCGTCGTCACCGTCTTCTTCTTCCGCCGCTGCGCTTTCTGAGTCTTGCGCGCCGAGGCAGCCCACGAGTTCAATCTTGCGCTTGTCCTCGGAGAGGCGCCAGGCCTTGACGCGCCCGTCCCAGCTGCCGCTGAGGATGACGTCCGAGTAGGGTATCGTCTTGAGCGCGGTGATCCAGCGCGGCGTCGGCGCGGGGATCTCCTTGCCGCTCGGCTGCTTCTCGGCGGAGGCGGCGTGCGGGTCGAGCGGCGGGTCGACGCCGTGCGCGAGCGGCTCGATGTACACGGGCTTCTTCTTGGCGACGCTCCAGAGCGCTATGGAGCCGTTGTCGCTGCCGGTCACGAAGAGCTCGTCGTCGATCATGGCAACGCGGTCCATGGTGCCTTCGGCCAGCAGCGAGCGCTTGTCGACGCCCGGGTGTTTAGCCTTCTTGTCCACGGCGCCGCCGCGGAAGACGAGCTGCGTCTCCTCCATGACCTTCCACAGTCGCGCGGTGCGATCGCGCGCGCCGACGCTGACACAGCGCTCCTGCGCCAGCGCGTCAATGTCGATGACCTCGTCTTGGTGGCCGAACAGGGTCTCGACGTAGGCCATCTCGTCCAGGCTCCAGACCTTGACCGTTCTATCTTTGGAGCACGAGTAGAGCTGGTTCGTTCCTCTTCGGAATGCGAGGCCCGTGACGGCGTCGCGGTGGTGGGTGAGGACCTTGATCGGCTTGAGCGTCGCGGCCTCGTAGACAATCATCTTCTTGTCGTCGCCGCCGGTCACGACGTATTTGCCGTCTGGTGAGGCTGCGACGGCTAGGATGCGGCCGGTATGTCTCTTGTATTGCCTTTGCCCGGCTTTGCCAGTGTTTCCCCTGATCCAGGTCTCGAGCTCGGGTTTTCTTCGCGGCGGCGCGGCAGGTTTCTTTGATTTGCGCTTTGTAGTTTGTGGGTACTGGTCCTTGGGTAGGTCCTGTATTCTCCATCGGTGGAGGAACGTGTCTTTTGTTACGGTGTATACGTATGGGGCACAAGCAGCGACGGAAGTGACTGCGTGCGTATTTGTTCGGAACAGTGTTTGTGAGGACCGCTGAAGTGCCAGCCCTGAGGCTAATTGGCGGTATACCCTTCCCTTGGTCTCTGCAATGTCTTCTTGAAGTCGTTCGGCAATCATGTCGCGATCGATATCGGCAGCATCAAAGCCGGCCTCGTCCACGTGCTGCTTGACATTTTCCAGGTAGCGCTCGGCTAGACGAAGTCTTCGTTCGGCGGCGGTCTCCTCTTCACTCTCGTCGGATTCGTCCTCGCTAACGTCTTCTTGCATGTCGGAGGGAATGTCAGAGTCATCATCATCGTCGTCGTCCGAGTCGCTGCCAGAAATTGACTCTTCCCGCTCTGGTCGCTTCTTTTTTGGCGCGGCTGTCGTAGAGCGGCCGGGGCCGTTCTTTTTGGTTGCGGCGATTCTCTTTTTTGGCACCTCTGCTGATACATTCCTCTTGCGCTTCTTCTGGGCGCCAGGAGCCGTGAAAAACGACGACATTGTTGCTGGTGCTGCTGGAAGGAGGCGCAACTTTGTCTACGAATTTATTCTTCACCGGGCACGTTGGAGCAAGTTTTCTGCCGCCGTCTTCCAAAAAAAAAAAAGTTGAGCCAGGCATTGCATTTTCCCAAAATGGACAGACCCCACCCGCACCCGAGAGACTTGTTGGCGAAGAGCTTGGTCGGGTCGGGTTATAGTGGTTCCGGCCCTGTCACCAGAAGCTCGCAGCTGTGATTGATTGACGCGCATGGCGGCAGCAGCCTGGCTGGCTGGGCTGCACTACTAACCTACTGGAGCTTCAGGTTGACTGCAACACGCAAACCAAGCTGTCTATTCAACCACATCGCCTCAGCTCGATTCCACGCAACAATCAACATGTAATGATACATCTCTATTCCAACCTATCATGATTATTGCTGCTGACATTGCTTCGCCAGGGAGGTTCTATTGGGTATTACCGGCAAGGACTTTACCCTCATCGCCGCCTCCAAGGCCGCCATGAGGGGTGCGACGATTCTCAAAGCATCCGACGATAAAACAAGAGAGCTGAACAAGAGCACTTTGCTCGCATTCTCTGGGGAAGCTGGTGATACAGGTAGGCGATCTACCCGCCTCCCCTACGCTGGGCGCCAGCAGCGCTGACTTGCCATGCTCCCTCGCCAGTGCAATTTGCCGAATACATTCAGCGCAACGCGCAACTCTACTCGATGCGCAACGAGACAGATCTATCTCCCTCGGGCCTCGCGCATTTCGTGCGCGGCGAGCTAGCATCCAGCCTGCGATCGCGAAAGCCCTACAACGTCAACCTGCTAATGGGTGGTGTCGATCCCATCACGGGTAAGCCGTCCCTGTACTGGATGGACTACCTCGCATCGATGGCCGAAGTTCCCTATGCCGCACACGGCTACGCACAGTAAGTCATGCCCGACGGGCGGCAACACTAGGCACCGGGCAGAGCTCCGGCCTGCTATCTGCTTGGCGATGGCCTGCACCTCCCTGCAGATGGAAAGTCAACGGCTAACGATGGATACCCAACCAGGTACTACTGCCTCTCGATCCTCGATAAGCACCACCATCCCGATATCAATCTTGGACAGGGCATCAAGCTTCTGAACCTGTGCACGGACGAGCTGAAGCGACGATTACCGATTGACTTCAAGGGCATGGTCGTCAAGGCCATCAAGACTGATGGAATTATAGACATAGAGTTTGATGACGACAAGGTGGTGAAGAGCGCGTGAATGGTTAAGCAGCCCTTGGCCAGGGCCAATTCTGTGCAAATATGGCTAGGCAGAGCAAGGGAAACAAAGAGATATGAATTCCACCCGCCTTCCGACGTGATTTGCACCTCGCCGAGGCCGCATTCAGATTGGGCTACTGGAACGAGAATGTCTTTAACAAGAAACTTCCAAGGCCATCAAGACGGCATTGTCAGTTTCATCAAAGTGTTCTGCGCGGAGCAAGACAACAGGCGGCCAAGTAAGCGGACAGGAGGCGTAGACATGGGCCAGACTCTGCCACACGTGCTTATTCGGTGATGCCGATGTACCGCATAGTCTCCCCATTGCACAATGGTTAACCAGGATTCTATGGGTGTCTGTGGTGTTGAGAAACATTGGCTAAGCGCAGGTTGACTTTTGCGCATCTCTTCACGGCCCCTTCCAGCTTCTCTAGTCGAGAACCAGCGGCTGGGCACGCAACAGGTCACAATATTATCTTCCAGAAGCGTTTCAGGACCAACCTTCACATCTAGCTTTCATGGTGACTGCAAGGTTTCATAGAACGATGGTGGATGAGCAGTCTGGTATACGGTTTACGTGTTGCTGTTCATCTACCGGGTAGGGTCATTGCGGGGTTGAGATGACATGATGTGACAAGTTGAACGTGGGTTTGGCATCCGTTATCCTTGCTGCGATTTGGAATAGCGCTTTTGTGTAGGGCTGCCACGTAACGATATTTTGTCATAATCTGTTAAATGACGATTGCATGCATGCGATTGTTAGGTGATTTGCCATTGATGCATGGCTACGAAGCCTAAAGACGATTGGCATTTGCATTTGATCGAGTTGTGGGGAGACTCTTGACGACGCCGCTCGGGGAAGGCGACATGATGATGATGATGTAGTCTAAGTTAGGCGCGCAATTGTATAGTTCAGTAGCCTGTGAGTAGTGTGGAAGCGGTCAAGCCGTGGGTGATGACGATAGTTACCAGGGAGGATCTGGTGAATGGTTGGCGGTCGGATAGCCCAGGATTTAGTGCGGGCTAGGGCGCCACAGCGCTGCGTGATGATGTAGGCATACATGAGGTTCCCCATGACATGGCGCGGCGAGGAGAGATGTACGAGAAAAAAGACTTGGTTGTTTGGGTTGGCATGAGCCATATGCCAAGTCGGTGGCATCATGTCATCGGTGGTGGCTGCTGCGGCTGCGGCGGCGACACGAAGCCAAGGCGGCGCGGGGTTGGTCGAGCTGACCACGCGGAGCCTGGCCGGGGTCAGGGCAGCGTCAGAAGACTGACTGCAGCGCTGGCAGCAGGGCCGGTAGATGCGGGAAGGGGAGAGGGCGAGGCAGGGGTTGCTGGGGACGGTGTGCCTCGAGCCTGGTACTCGTGATGCGAGCGGATCGGCGCCTAGTGGAGGTAAGTCTAGTGGTAGGTGGGCGTCGTGTTTGAGGCTGGGCAGCGACGGGAGGGCGGGGAGGATTGATACAAGGGTCTAGGGAAGAATGAGACTTGCAGAGAGCGTGAGGAAAGAGGCTGATTTGATTGGTGCTGTAGAGATAGTCATAAACAAATGGATGACTCGGTATCCAAACAAAGGCGAATGGAAATCGTGCTGGGAGATCTTGCTTAGCTAATGTTTTGCTGGGAGTGCTTACCTAAGGATCACATAGTTCGAGGGTATGCAGATACCTAGAGCCGAGTACCTTACAGATAGATGCATGCGCCACCACCGACTTTCGACTCTTGCAGACGGCCATCAATCTTGCGAGTTTAAAAATGTGAATAAATGCAGCAATAATATAACAGATACAGCCATGGATGATTTCAAGAGATAAGGTACCGGTGACCCGCTCCCCGCTCCCTTCTCCCCCCTCCCATTGGCCGCGCCGCCACATCTACGCCTGGACGCCTCCTCCCTCCACACTTGACGACTCACTTGATGGCCTCCTCTTGCTCCTCTTCTCTCCCTCCACATACATACATACATCCATCTATCCCATGCCTCCCTCGTTCACGCTCCTTCTCGGTTCCATCCATGGCAACTCTACTCATTAAAAAAGTTCTACCCATCACATTCATCCGGCATCCCCCAGAGTCTCGCGCCCCTCCTTGACGTACGTTGAACTCTCAGCCTCAACCTCAACCTCCCCGGTTCTCTTCAGCCCTGTCGTATCTTCGCTCTGGACCCCTCTTCATATGCTCGGCCCATCCTCCTCTATTAATCTTGACCTCCTCCGCCTCACCCGCTTGTTCAACCGACTTTCTTTACCTTCCACATAACTCTCTTTGGCTCGCCCCAACTAACCTCTCCTCCTTCTTTCCTTCTTCGCAACTACAAACTTAACCGCCATTGACTTTCATCGTGCAGCATCTCGGCCACGCCTGCCGCTAGTCCCGGCCTCCATCTCGACTCTAAACCTTACTTCCTAGCCGGACGACCTACCTAAGTCTCCTACTCGTGTGTGTACTTTTCTTCTTCATCTCTTTCAACGTCTATCAGCCCATCTACCACCTCACCTCACCTCTCTCGGCGTCCTCCGCCCGTCTCCTGTCTTCTTCCTACGCCATATATCTCATACGCGTATCCTTGTTATTCACTTTAACTCCTCGCGCTCTACTTGTCCTAGTTGAAGCGAATCGTATTTATATCTCTCTACTCCCTCCAGCCTTCACGTCGCACCCTTTCAGAACAACAATCCCCAACTCTTCTCCTTTGATGCTATAGTGCCTCTTCAACCTACTTGATCGCCTATCCCTGTCTTTCTCCGCTCACCTACCTCTGACCGTCGCTCATGTCTTCATCAGACCTCTCCATGGATGACGCAAAGCCCCCCGTCCCCACGGGCGGCTGGGGCTTGGGTCGTCTCTTCGCCAGACACTCTGCCGCTCCCAATGATTCAGACCATGAGGGTGGCCGGTCGGCCCCTTCAAAATGGAGCATGGGTGTTCTCAATGACCCCGACACTGTCGAAGTTCCAGGTAAGAAAGATGTCGAATCCGTTCTCGAGAGTGGCCATCACCCGGTTGCCTTCGGTCTACTGACAAGACTACTGTCAGGCTCCGTTCTGCTGCTTGCCGCTCACCGCAATGAGCCTCTTGGATTACGCAACATCAATGCTCGCAGCTCGCACTCGTCGATTCCCACTGGTTTCCCGGTTGACATGCCTATGACACCCGGTGGCACTCGCTTTATGCCTGGCACTCCTGGCAAAAGCTCCGCTCCGGCCCCAACAGAGGAGAGGAAGAAGACTACCGAGGATGGCGTGATCATCTTGGATCCCCAGCCTGAGGATTCCGTAAATGACCCTCTCAACTGGCCCTCTTGGCGACGAGACACTGCGCTTCTATCTCTTGGTTTCTACTGTATGCTTGGCGGCGGTGTCACTCCCCTCATTGCTGCTGGTTTCACCGATGTCGCGCACGCGTACAACGTTGAAGTCGAAACCGTGGCTCTCACCACTGGCCTCTACATGATGGGTCTGGGTGTTGGCTCAGTTTTTGCATCCCCAACTGCCATCCTCTTCGGAAAACGTCCCGTATATCTCGCTAGTGCCGTTCTATTCATCGGGACTTCGCTATGGGCCGGGTGGTCTCCATCCTTTCCCTCCCTCATTGCGGCCCGAGTTTTCCAAGGTATCGCAGTCAGTCCCGTCGAGTGCTTGCCCTCCGCAACTATTGCCGAGATTTTCTTTCTCCACGAGCGCGCATTTCGTATCGGAATATACACACTGCTGCTTCTCGGTGGTAAAAACTTGGTACCGCTCGTCAGTGCTGCTATCATAGGTCGGTTTGGCTGGCGATGGGTGTTCTGGTACGTCTTTCTCCAATCTTAGCATGGCTCATAGCTCACCAATTCATAGGATCATGGCCATGATTGTTGGGATTGCTGGTGTTTTGCTCTTCCTCTTCGTTCCCGAGACCTTTTGGGATCGCACCCCGACGAGAAAACCGTCTAGTCGACCTAACATCTTTCGTCGTCTTTCTTCCCGATATGGCGCACACAAGACACCCATGCCCGCGCCTGCAGCATCATCTGAGCGGCCTCATTCCCCTGGGGCCGAAGACCGTCACCACAATCTCCATGTTGGATTTGCCCCTGAGGCGGAGCATCATGTCGAAAAATGTTCAATCGATGGTTCATCGCCCATTCATCACAAGGACCGTCATGTGGGCTTTTCTGAAGCGTCTAATCTGGAGAAGCAGATGGATGGCGACAACTCGGCGGAAGGACAGCAAGACCCACAGCCATCAATCACTGTGTCTAAGCCTCAGCAGGCAGCAACTACTTCGCAATCTGCTACTGACGGATCCATGGTTAGCTCGGCGGCCTTCCCTAGCATGGGCCATCAAAACTTGCAGGATTCGAGCCACTTGCAAACTCCGGATGTTCGAAGTAGTATTGGCACTTCGTCTGGCAATGACTACTTGTCTGGAAAAAATGCCGTCGACAGAGACGCCATCACGGCTGCAGACCTCTCCTCTCCTCCGAAGATCCGCCAATACACGCATAATCTGCGTCAACAGCCCGCTCAATCATTCACCCAGCAGCTCAAACCATACCACGGACGTCTGAACGGCGACAAGTGGCACAAAGTGCTTATCAGGCCCTTCGTACTTTTCGCTTACCCAGCTGTCCTATGGTCCTCTGTTGTTTACGCATGCTCCATCGGTTGGCTAATTGTCATATCGGAAACCATGGCCATCATCTATCGCAATCCGGAGACGTACAACTTTGATGCTCTGCAAACGGGTCTTGTTTATATCTCTCCGTTTGTGGGAGGTATTCTTGGAACAGGTGTGGCTGGCAAGATCAGTGATATCATTGTCAAGGCCATGGCACGCCGCAATGGCGGACTCTACGAGCCAGAATTCCGACTAGTCATGGCCATCCCCATCCTCATTACGACCTGTATAGGATTGATGGGCTTTGGGTGGTCGGCGCAACTCAACGACCACTGGATCGTTCCGACTCTGTTCTTTGGCATTGTGTCCTTTGGCTGCTCCCTCGGCTCGACAACATCGATTACATTTTGCGTTGACAGCTATCGCCAGTACGCCGGAGAGGCTCTTGTTACTCTCAACTTTTCCAAGAACGTTTTACATGGGTTGGTGTTCAGTCTCTTTGTTAGCCATTGGTTGGCCGACGACGGTCCGAAAATGGTGTATATCTGGATTGGTATCATTCAGTTGATACTCCTGCTTTTTACCATTCCCCTCTTCATTTACGGCAAGCGACTGCGTATGTGGACGGTTCGGAAGAACTTCATGGAGAAGCTTTGAATCTCCTTCTCGAATACATTGGGTTATGCATAGTCTTTGATAGCGAACTGCATTCTGGGATATGTTGTCTCTACAAGACGGTTGATTTTTGGCCTAGCATTGTTTTGCATTGGGTATTGTTGTTGGTTTACTCTGGCATAGTTCTACCTAGACTTGTGAATATCAAAGATTCTATAATGAGACGATTGACGCTTAGTGAGAATGTCGATGAAGGTTGGAAATTGGTAAAATTGAGAATATCACTTCAGCCAGTGCTGACAGTGTAGACAGTGCGAGTCGTACCGTCCCCACCACAGTCGGCCATTTTGCACGGCGGCAAACTCGACGACTTACTTGATATCTGGTTACCTTCTTTTCAACAGTTGCTTTCAAATTTCAATCAAAAGGAGGGCCGGGTATCGACAGTATAGTGTTCTACGAGAGCGTATCGCCACAAGAGCCACTCTTTTTCTCCCTGTATTCTATCATGCCTTCACCAACACAGCCATCACAGCTGCCACGGCGGCCAGCAGCATCAGAGATACCGTCGTCGTCGTCGTCGTCGTCCCGAATACCGGCGCTGCTGATGCCGTACGTAGCGTCCGGCCCGCTAACACACGACGAGGGCTCCCTCACCGTCATCACATGGGTGCAGGGCGCGAGCGCCAACTGGCTGGTGCTGCGGTATCTGTATGCCTTGCTAGGTGGAGGAGGAGGAGGGCGCAGCGTGAAGGAGGAAGACGAGGCGGCAGAGGAGGGACAGCAGCCGGGGGTGGTGCTCGTGAGCTTTCTGCGAGATCAGAGGTTCTGGGGGGATGGATGCGCCAAGTTGGTAGGTTTATCACCCCTCGCTTTACATGAGAGCTGTGAAATGAAATTGCAAGGATCTCGGGGTAGAGGGCTAACTCGAGTCATCTTTGCAGGGCATGGATCTGGAGGTCCTTGGTAGGAGCGGACGCTTCGGCTTTGTGGACGGGTTGACGGGGTCGCTTGGCGGCGAAGGTGGCCCGGCCACGACGACGGATGGCGTTAAGAAGAGGGTGGACGAGGCGGCAGCGCGTCTCTCCCCGCGGCGGAGGAGGGTGCTGGTCGTGGACGCGCTGGACGCGCTCGTCGCGACGACGGGCATCAGCGCCTCGGAGGCGGAGAGCCTCATGATGCGGTTACGTGAGGTGCGTTTTTTTTCTTCTTCTTCTTCTTCTTCTTCTTCTTCTTCTTCCTCCTACGCTCTTTCCTCGGGGCAACTACTCTTCCATCGCCAGCCTCAGCCTCGGCCTCTACTACTACAGGCTTTTGGTCCGAACCCCCCCTCCCGCTGACAACTGGTGTAGAATGCATACTCGACGCTCCTCACGTTGTCCGCCGATGAGCCCCTCATGCGGGCCGCCGTGCGACGACACCAACAGCACCAGCAGGAGCATGGTGCGGCGACGGGCTTGGAGAGGGAGCAGGCCGCGCTGGTGCTCGGGCAGGCGCACGCGGCGAACCAGGTGGTCTCCCTGCGGCGGCTGGACACGGGCGCGGCGGCGGACGTCAGCGGCGTGCTGCGCGTCGGGGCGGCGCAGGAGCTGCTGTACCACGTCTCGGGCGACGGCGGCGTGCGCGTCTTCGAGAGGGGTGCTTGAAGAAGGCACGGGGTAATGGTGGTGTCTAATGGGAAACACGAGCGAGTTTCTGTGGTTTTTAAAATGGAGAGTGATAGACGGGGCAGAGCGAGACAGCCTTGGGAAAGACCAGCAAGTACATGGGACCCCTTTTGGGGACGCAGATACATGCACAGGTTATCAATGCATATAGAAAGCGAATGAGAGAAAGTGTGTGTGAGCCAGGGGACGACGATGGCTTGTGTCAAGTAGCAAGCAACAACTTCGCTCATCTCTTCCCATGTCCAACCAACAATGAGAGACCCCTCTACCCTCCCCATGTGTCAAGGGCCCGGCGGTTGTATTTGATAAAACAGGCATGCATGCATCGAACACCGAGTCTAGGTGGGAACGCAGGTTTATAGTTTTGGTTTTTGTTGTTGGTTGTTTGGTCTTTTTTTTATACTCCGAGAAATCAACATACAGGAAAAAAAGGGAAAATAGAAAACCCCATAGGCCATTGATGAATCGAGAGTGCTCCTGTATAAAAACCTCCTCCCTCCCCCTCCCAAAGGTGTCGATGCCAACGCAATCCGTCTCAAAATAGCAAAAAAAGAAACACAAGGTCGTGAAAGAGTATCCTCTCGTTTTTTCCCCAATTTCGTCGAAGTTTCGTCGGCTTTCTTGTTATGCTTCTTATGCTGTCATGGTCCGCGACAAGTCAAAACAAGGAATGCTTTTTACTCCTTGGTGGTGGGACCGCGGGCGCCGCGGGGCTGGCCGGTCTGGAAGCCGTTCTTGAAGCGGCGGGAGACGTCCTTGAGGTAGCGCGTGCGGCCGGTTCCGACGGTCTTTCTGCGCTTGGCCTTCTCGCTCCAGTTGTCTGAGGAAAGCCAATGTTAGCGACATGTCTTGTGCGATCTCGCCATCTCCCATATTCAGCCCCATTGGGGGTTCGAGGTTGGGCAAGGAGAATTTGACGAAGACGTACACTTGCGGATCTTGGCGTTGGGGTAACCGCAGGCAGCGCACTCCTTCTTCTGGGCGGAAAGAGAGCGGCGACCTAAAGTAGAGCATGTCAGCGTATGGTTCCCAATACGGGCAAAGCGCGTGCTGGTCGGGTCGTTTCGAAATTCGGTTCCGCGGCGGTCGTAGGCGCGTTCGTTTCCCGCCAAGATGACTCTCTCGTATCCTTTCCAGTGGCCTTGCGTTCAAATACACCAGACAGCTCATATATACACTTGCTTGTCTTGCAAGTCAAGGGGGCAGGCAGGCGAGAGAGTCGGCTTCTTGAAAGCAGGAGCAGAGCCCAGGGTTGGTGCGCGCGTCCGCGATTGGTGCCGATTCCGTTCGTCTTGTCCGAGCCAGCGTAGCGGAAATGCAGAGGGGAAAACTAACCGCAGCGTCGGCACAGAACGTGCGACTTGTTGTGGCGTTTACCGAAACTGGAGGTACCCTTGGCTATGGAAAACGGTCAGTCTCTGCAGCAACATAATGCGCCCCGAAGCTTCCAAGTGCATGGTGACATTAAAGAGAAGGATCGACGAGAGCTGTTCCATCCAATATGCATGAAATCGAGGTGTCTGTCGTCGGCCTGTCGTCGGCCTGTCGTGTGTCGTCGTGCATCCATTGTCGGCCTTGCTTCCCTCTCCTTCTCCGTCGACCTCAAAACAGAGCGTTGTCAATCCTCATCGGCCTCCTCCAATCCTGGATGTTCCGTAATCGAGATGGTGATGGAGCAGTTATGCAGCATTGGGGGAACAAGCTTCTCTCGTCGATCCTTTCTCCGGGTCAAATGCATCAGGGAGCAGTCGCAGGCAAGTGACAGAAAACGTACTCATCTTGTCGGTGTTGCTGTGGTCGTTAGTGTGATGATGAAAACGAACTGCAAATTTGGGTCGAGCAGGCTGAGGGCGACTCTGGCAAGCGAGCAGGGCTTTTTTCGCTGGTGGACGGGCGGGTGGAAAAATAGTGGGGTTCCTTGCCCACAAGAGGCAGGGAAATTGTGTCTACGGGAGGGCCTTCGCGTGGGTGAGCCCTAACCTTGGCTGGCCTCAGTAGCGCACGTGACCGTACCCTTAGGATGAATGCTCAAGCTAGTCCAAATTGGGGGCATTGGGTGGCTTGGGAGTAAGTGAAGATGGTTCCTACAATTCAGCGAGCAAAAGCCGCGCTGGGCTTGATCTAACCTTACGGTATCTTGCTAGTAAGAACGATAACTTCAGGCTATGACAACGGTAGAACGGTTCTTCTTCATGTATTGAGATGATTGCAATCGTAAATTAGGTATCCCCAAGGCTATCCAGAAACAGACTGTACAAAAACAATACGCCTATACTCCATCCTAGCTATTCCAAAACAAATGCTCGCGCTCTTACAACTATTTGATATGGACATTTTTCTTCCATCATATCCAACATGCCATCATAGCTCTATATACTTCAAAAGAAGAGCCTGCTTCAGCGCCAGCTGCTGGGGCCAAAGGTTTCGCCAGGGGCCACATGCATGGCAATCGCTGTGCCAGAGTGATCAAGGTTGTTCAGCGCACCAACGTTGCCCCACCACTGCGGCGCGACCGCCTTGGTCAAATAGAGCGTGAAGAAGATGACGAGTGTGCAGACAATGAGACCACAGTCCAGCGCAGCCGAGGTGATGTAGTTGTACTGAAGCCACCAGCCAGTATAACGGCGTCTGATGAAGAAGTTGAAGACAGTACCAACAATGCCCCAGCAGAGGTAGATGTAGACAGTCGCGGGAGGAATCTGGCCGGCACCACCAAAGATGAGTGGGGTGCTGATGTATCGCAGGATGGACTTGGGCCAGCGGCGAGCAAACAGCCAGGTAATGATGGGCGCGACGGCGCCGACCAGCCAGAACCACTGCAGACCCGAGTAAATGGCGCCGCTGTTGAAGATACGGGCGGGACCAATGGCTCCCCAGACAACGGATGCGGTGTAGAAGACGCGGCCGCCAGGGCAAGTGAATCTGTCCTTCTGGTCACGAGTGCAGACATCCGGAATGTTGGTAAGTGCCCAGTTCAAGAGCAGAATCTGCATAACAGCAGACCAAATGGAGGCAATCAGTTGCGAGGCAAACATGACTCTGGGAGGAACCTTCATGTAATGGCCAAGTTTGAGGTCTTGGGCAAAGTAGAGGGCCTGAGACATGGAGATGTAGCCGTAGTTCTTGAACATCATCATGGCGAGGGGACGTCCGGGCACCATATAACCAATGATAAATTCGGTCAAGACGTTCAGGCCAAGTTGCATATTGGTGATGGCCTGGACGAGTCCAATAGGGATGAGCCAAACGATGGGGATAAGAATGCACACGACGTAGGCCCAGGCGGGGAAACCAGTGTCCCAACCAGCGACAACTCCAAAGGAGATGCCCATCATGACGACGAGAAGGAGAGCATACCACCAGTCTTCGGCATCGCGGTACTTTTTCATGAGACGCATGTGGACATCGTCTTCCTGGTGCCGCGCCATCTTGAACTGGTCCCAAATCTCCCTGCCGTGGTACAGGGCAACGTGAATCAGGACGGCAGAAACGGCAGCGAAGGAGGTACCGTATGCGAGCGCAAACTGAGTGGGGAGGAAGAGCGGGGAGTACTCGTGGTAGGCAGTCTCGTTGAACTTGAAGTTGGCGTCGAGGATTCGCGAGACATTGTAGACGTTGCCCATGTTATCGTAAGAGTCGCCGGACTGCACAGGAAGGTAGTTGGAGAACCAAGTTCCACCGAAATGGATACCGCAGGAGAGGAAGACAAAGATACCCAATACACCTAGAATGACGTTGACAATGGCATGGAAAGGCGGGATGAGGGGCGATCCAACGTAGCCACTGATGACGGTCCAGTCAAAGGTAATGGGCATGAGGCCATAACCGTGAGCAGCACCGAAAAGCTTGTTGACGACGACATTGTTGGGAGCAATCCAGCAGATCCATGTAAAGTAGGAGAGTCCCTGGAAGATCCAGCCGGGGAGCCAGTACCAGACAAAGGCAGCGGTGCCGACAATGAGGAACAGGCGGTAGCGGGCGATGGACCAGCCATTCGTTTTTGACGGGTCGGAAGAAGAGTGATCGTGAAGACTGTAGAACAGAGCACAGTTGACAAGATCTGCAGGCCAGACCATGGCTGCGGGCCAGACGAGGAATCGACGGGCGAGACCGGCCAGACCATAGCCGGTGCAGAGGGTGGTGATGCCGAAGAGCATCTGGAAGGCGTAGCTGAAAGTCTGGTTGTAGAAGATGCGTTGTGTTAGGATGACATCAGTGGCATACAAGACACCGCCAGCATATGAAGCCTGGGCGACAGTTAGTACTCGGCGCGTGTGGGAGCATGGAATGCAACAATGCAAGACAGTGCAGCTTGTTATCAAAATACGTACGTTGGACATGGCAACAATGACGACGTGTTCCTTGAAATTGAACTTGCCAGGACGTAGGTTAAACTTGAGGCCAAAGACATTCCAGACGCGATCAGGCATGATGAGATCCCAGCCGAGGCCGAGGGGGTAGGCGATGAGCTGGATGACATAGGTGTTGATGGTGATGGTGGGATCTCGGAGCGAAAAGATCAGGTTGATGCCGGAGCCGATTGTGCAGAGGAAGAGGCCAATAACCCAGGCGCGGATGGTGTTGGCGGGGACATCGACGTCGTAGTTGCGGACGACGGCGCGGACCTCGGGGTAGGGGCTGTTGTCCTCCATGAGGGCGTGCTCGATCTCGATGCCCTTTTCGGCGTTGCAGGTGGCGATGGCGGCGTCAAGCTCGTTGAGCTCGTCGATGGGGAAGTTGGGGTCAAACTTGTGCATCTTTTCGAACTCGTGGAGGTGCTTGAGCTGCTCCATGCCGGCGACGTCGAGGTCAGCGGCGTAGGCCGGGATGGGCGTGATGTCCTCGGCCTCGTGCCGGTTGCGAAAGAGTTTGGGCACCATGGCGACGGCGCGGCGGCAGGAACCGCGCAAGGCTGTGATGTGTCTGAAGGGGGCTTGCTGCGAGTATGTCGTCGCGCAAACCCTGACAACAGCTGCGCGTATTTCTGCGCTGGTTAGGTCAGTCTGCGATCCAAAGGTTGAAAGGATGGATGGCGGTTTAGCAGTATATACCTACTGGAAGCCCGAAAACTTAGTGAACTGGGTAGTTACCTCCTACCTGTGGGCTAGTGTACTGGTAGTGTTGGCGGGGAACGAGGACAGGTGTGGGCCAACGGCTGCAAGAACCAAGAGAGTCGCCGTTTGAAACGTGAGATGGGAAACCCGACCCTCAAGAGTAGAAGAAAAATTCACATCCAGGCGTTGCTCGCGAGGATCAAGATTGACAGCGACGGGATTGAAGAGGATTCCGTCGTCGCGCTGTCGCCGTGGCAAGATGGGAGAGAAAAGTCTTGTGAGGGAAGGAGAAGGGCTGAAGAAAGAGGGGGGCCTCTGGGGATGGATTATCTGGGGGAAACAGAGAGACCAGGTAGCCCAGCACACCAAGCACTGTACCATAGCCAGCCCGCTAATAATACCGCTGATAGCCCACCCAACTCGTCGTGACTCGTTGGAAAGCGCCACCCATTGGCTTTTAGGTATGGTGCAAGCCACGGGATGGCCACTGATAACCAGGGGACGCCAGAGGATTCGCTGCTTCGCACTTGGCCCGCCAGCCAGCGGGCCAGCCCCAGACCCAGACCCTGACGCCCCGACCTGCCTAACCAGGTGTAGCTCCAACACGGTTGAGTCCTTCCTCTACCAGAGAGTAGGGAGTAGCAGCACACCTTTTCCATACGCCACACCATCCAACCATCACTATCAACCAAATTAACTAACACCCATCGCCGCAACCACTACAATAGTGTTTCATCTCCCGCACATAACCCGTCTTTGATTCTCCGTCGTTCCTTTCGCCGCGATACACAGTACATTATCCAACAAGTCTGTCCCATGCATCTTTGCCTACTATTGCTCAGCAAGACCTCAACTACAAGCAGTCCAGTCTCTCAATGTATTCCGTTTGAACGCGGTCGAACTTGAGCATCTCAATGATCCATCATGGTTACATAAGTTTCCCATTACTACTCTATCTATCAGGCCTTCATTCAATCGCCACAATACTCACCCAATATGCGATCCATCGGCCGGCCTTTCCCCATCTCAACTTACCCTATACTCTCCGCCTCTCACTTGGGATCTAGATCAGCCACGGCGCCCATCGATGCTTGGTACACCGTCGGTCGACCGTGCGTTACTTGACGCCACTCTTCCGATGCCTGTACCGCCTTTGCGTACGCCTGAACTGTAGGCGGTAGAAGCTCCAATCGCTCGTTGTCCAGCAGCCGGATCATGAGCGCCGACGCATACGCATCAAGGATCGTCGGCTGCTGCCCGAAGATCCACCGTGAGCCATCAGCTCCATGCTCCTCGATGATACCAGCCAGTTCCGCCATGAGTTCAGACACGTGCCTCTCGACTTGTGCAATGTGCTCCAGCTCTATCGTCCTGCTATGCAGCGTGTCGTGGCTGTCGCGACGTCAGCTGGCTGTTGCGTTTACAAGCTCTGATGGAGGCCAGAGTCACTTACAAGATAGACTTAATCTCCAGCGCCCGCCGGTGCTTCTCTGAAATGCTAGAACTCTCCAGCATGGCAGCCGCAACGTTGGGTATACCATTCGCCGCCGCTTCCGGTGGTATGTTGAGCGCCTTGAAATGAAAGCTATACAGCTTGTCCATCAACTCGTCAATGGCTTCCTTGTGGGCTGCAGGAACCAGCTCGGGCTGCTTCTCGCATAGCCACTTTGCGATATCCCGACTGTCACTCAATCCCGAAGGAAGCAAGGCCGAGGTCAGACACGGCACCTGTTTTGGGCAGTTGAGGGTCAATAATGTTTCTACATGCTCTCCTCGTCTCATGCCGCCTCGCTCAACACACTTGTCCACTACAACATCGACGTACCTGTCCTTTTGAGTTGACCGTGGTCAAATATTCCTCGCCAAGGTTCTCCTGTGCCTGGAGGTTGACGAATTCCAGCCGCACGTGCGGTGCAGTCTCAGTGTTCAGCTTTCTCCCTAATTGGAGCGCGAACCGCACCATAAGTGAATACAGCGAAAAGGTAAAGTAGTGAAGCGTGTAGCCGGCGCCGGCCTCCGACGCCTTGGTTTCACTCGCCATTGTATCGACAAACCCTATTCAAGCTGGAGCAAAAGTCGGCGCAAGAATGCCGTGTCGGATACGGACCAACCTAGGCAGTTGCTAGGAGCGCCGGTCGCAATTGTCGTTCACCACAATGCTTCGGACGAATTGAGAGCTCGTATTGTGAATAGCTGTCTTTGCGTGGCTTCCAATGCTGCAGCGCTGACTCTTTTGTATTGGTCTAGCTCGAGACCTGCCTTTCAAGATGTGCAGAAGCGAAAATCGAGAGACAAACTCTACTATGTGGGTGTTGTCTGATAGTGTGCGGCCAGCTTGGCTCTGCCTGCGCCTTGGACGGACAGCCGACGGCACAGGCTCGCCGCAGGAAACTAGCCCAAACTCGGGGAGGCCGGCATGTGGCGACGCCCTAGTCGATCGAGTTTCCTTGATTTCCTGGCCCTCCTTCCTTTCGCATTTTCAGATCTTCAGGCACTCGGTAAGGAACGCCTTAATGATAGAGGGAGACACAGCCGCAGCCAAAATTTAGGCTTCCGGGACGGCATCCCCGATCCAGGTGTCGCGTTGATGCTCTGCCCAGACTGTTCTCGATGCTAATAACAACATCAACCCCCTTAATCAAGGGATTGCCCGAGACACAGGTTATTTTTGGAACCATGCGATGGCCCTAGTAAGAGACTTGCCGCTTCACCGGAATGACAAGCCTGTTGCCAATTCACAGAGCAAGGCAAACCAGATCCTCGGGCGCAAAGAAAGATATAGCTGTATATGTAGCAGGTATTGTGAAAGCCTCAACGTAAAATGTTTTTTCAAGATGAAAGAACGTGGTAATTGATGCACCGCTCTTCACTGCACATGTAATGCAGTGCGAGAGCCAAGCCTGTCAATCAATGCTCACTTGTCTGGCTTTGCACCTCTGATCCGGCCGCAGCTGATCGCCTTCTTTCGTCTCCCTTCCAAATTTTTACTCTTGTTGATTCAGATAACATCGAAGTTCGCTTTCTCCGAAACCCTACCCTCAGTCTCAGCCCAAGCTAGGTATCCCGGGCCGGGGCGCGGACGCGAATTGAGGTCTTCACGATGAGTCTACATGTAGGCCAGCAGCTCAGACTCTGTTCAAAGTTTTGGCAAGTAGATGGCTGGCAGCTTCCCGGTTGTTGAATATCTCAAGAAGTTCCGGGACTTCCTGAACGGCCAGACCTCGGTTGTTGCGTCCGGTCAGAGCATACCAAAGTACTCAGCATCATACGAGTCCCTGGACCTCCTCCTCGGTCAATCACATGCAGAGCGCTTCTGAGCGATGAAAATATGATATTGTAGAAAAATGACAAACAAGGACGAGTGGAACGTAGCCCTACTCTTTTCTATTACAATTCTAAGCTCTGTTTACTAGCCCAATTTCTCCTCAAAAAGAAATAATCGTCAATATAACCAGTACGCCAAAAAATTGTGCCCATGTGCTGCTGCCATATCCTTTTACTTCATTCCTTCAATAAATCAGCGCTGCGTCTCGTCCTCCGACACCATCAACTTCGTCAGCAGAAGGGCCGTGGTTAGCACGCAGCCAAGCGTAATACCACCTGCCAGGTACAGCACCGCATTGACGTCACCGCTGCCGCCGCCATCCTTCGCCCGGCCGTACAGGCTCTGCGCGATCAGCGGGCTGATGATGCCGAACAGGCGGCCCCAGAACCCCGCGACGCCGCACGCCGCGCCGCGCACCGGCGCGGGGAACGCCCCGGGCGTCCAGCCGTACAGCACGGCATTGAACATGGACTGGAAGAAGTACTCGAGCGCGAACAGGCCCTCGCGCTTGGCGACGGAGTCGACCGTCGCGAGGAGGAAGATGGACGCGCCCATGAGGGCCGAGGAGAGCACCATGGTCCACCGGCGGCCGAGCAGCGGCACGCGGTACATGAGCGCGCCAGCGAGCACGCCGATGATGCCGGGCGCGTAGGTGTAGATGTAAGCGGCGTAGGTGGCGCGCAGGCTCACGTGGGCGGCGCCGTTCTTGAGGGCCAGGATCCGCGGCAGGTAGAAGCCCGCGACGGTGAAGCCGGAAAAGTCCATGGCATGCATGAGCCAGACGAGGATGGTCAGCCGGGCCATGCCCCAGCTGCCGAAGAAGACCTTGTAAGGAGCCAGTGTCCTGGCCAGCTGGGCAACGGCGCCGCCGCCCATGCTCAGCCCCTGCGACGAGGCGCTAGAGTGTGAGCTCCGCCGGCTGTTGCTGCTGACTTCCACCTCGTACTCGCGCTCGACGGCCTCAAATGCCTCGGCCGTGATGTCGCACTTGCTGTCCTTGCTGCCTGTGATGTGCCGCATCGTGGCGATGGCCTCGTCGTCGCGGCCCGCGTACACCAAAAACTTGGGCGTCTCCTTGAACGAGAAGACGAAGAAGCGAAGCACAAAAACCGTCAGCGACAGCGCACCAGTGGTGAACAGCACATAGCGCCAGCCCCTGTTGCTGTCCCTCGCGCAGCAGCGGGTGCCCTCGGCGACGTTGCTGCATGAGGGAAGGGGGTTCGGCTCGGAAAAGTTGGGCGTGCACGAGTAGTTTGGGATGAAGCCGAAGGCGATGGCGCTGGACGCGATGACTCCGAGAGGCTGGAAGACGGACAGGCACGCGAGCAGGAAGCGGCGGTCGCGCGGGACGAACTCGAGGAAGATGGCCGAGTCGACGGGGATGTTGCCGCCGACGCCGAAGCCGACAAAGGCCGTGAGGACGAGGAACGTGGTGTAGCTATTTGAGGCGCCGAGGCAGAGGCCAAAGATGGAGGAGACGAGACAGGTGAGGTTGAAAGCCCAGCGGCGGCTTGTTTCACTTCATTGATTAGATGCAAACGCGCGGAGCTTGGGGAGAGAAGGGGCAAACGCACCGACAATGTCTGCCATGAAGCCCCAGAAAAATGCACCGGCCGTCAGCCCGGCATTGAAGCTCGTGGCGATGCGGCCTGACTGGCCGTTGCTGAAGCCCAGCTCCTGCTGCCGCGAGCTCAGCACGAGGCCGAACGCCTGCGCCCAGAGCAGGTCGATGAAGTAGCCGCAGCCGCAGAGAGCCCAAACGCACCACTGGTACCGTCCCATGCCGTACGCATCGATGACGCGGTTGAGGAGCGTGCATTATCGTTGGTAAAGCGATTGGCCGCGGAGGTTGGGAGGTCCATGATGGCCGTCGAGGTTGCTGCTGCTCGACGTGGCCGACCGAGCCCGCCGAGCCCGTCGACACGAGTGTTTTTGTCTTGTACATCGCTTCTACTTCTTCTCCTTTTCTTCGTCCTTGATCGTGGAGAAAGAGTCCTTCGAGAAAATTACCGATACAAACTTCATGATCGCGGCGCCTTTATGTATGACGTGGGCGGCGTTTGCAGCAGAGTTGGGCCCAGATGGCGGGCGTCATGCGTGTGCCATGCTGATGAGACGGCTCGAGATCGAGAAATAAGGCCGGGTATGGGGCGTGCATGCGATCTTCGACCTTTTCGACCGATAAAAAAAGCATCCGGCGATGGGCAACTCGTCGGTCTCGAGGGATGGGGGGTCGTTAGCTTCAAACTTGGCATGGCGGCGCAATCGAAACGAGAGGAATAAATAGTAAGCGTCACTGGAGCAATTGTTCCGGACGACTAGTTGACGAGCTTGATTATTCGCTTCCGGTCCTGCAGCGAAATAAATGATTAATGAGTACAATTTACATAATAATTGGATATTACCCAATAAATTTATTATGATGAACGTGCCTGCTAGTTGTCTAGAAGTTGTCAGGCAACACTGTGCCGTCTCCACCCCTCCTCTCCTTTTTCAAACGATCACAAACAGCTTGAACCCTACTTTCATCGTACGCAGAATCGTAAGAATACCCGCTGAAGTAAAAAACATGACTCCGCACCAGACAATCAGCCCCGTCCAGTTCCTGTCCTCCCCATCCCCGAGAATCGCCCCCGCCACGGGACTGCCGATCAGCGCCCCGAGGCCGATGATCGCGAAGCTCATGCCCAGCCTCGTCGCCCACACGCCCTTGTCCGGCGACAGGCTCGTCACGATCGGGATCGGCAGCGCGACGTACGGCGCCGACACGAACCCGTAGACGGCCGTGAACGCGACCACGCCACCCGTCGTCCGTATGCCCAGGAGCGCCAGTGCCAGCGCCCCGGAGATGAGGCCGAAGACGATCTGCACATTCATAAGCCCCCAGCGCCCGGCCAGCCAGCTAGGGAGGAGCCGGCCGAAAAAGGACCCCGCGTTGAGGATGGCCAGCAGGTAGCCGGCGAGATGTGGGTCGGTGCCGGCGACCTCGGTTGCATACAGGGAGATGTAGTAGTAGAAGACGTACAGGCCCAGGAAGTTGACGAAGAAGCTGAGGCAGGCGACGAGGTAGAACTTGTCCCTGACGTGGCCGAAGTCTATCTCCTTGCGCCGCTGTTGGCTCTTGCCGACTCGGAGCCGCATCACGGCCGCGGCGAAGAGCATGGTGGCGAGGACCATGAAGCCGATGATCCGCACCGTCCACGGGAAGCCGACCTTTCCTACAAGCCGCTGCAGCATGATGGGATACACGACAGCGCCTGATCAACATCACGTTAGCCGCGCCGTCACCCTCCCCAAACGCGCCATCAACCAACTAACTTACCGACGCTGGACCCGCTCACCGCGATACCGATCGCGAGGGGCGCGCGGCTCGAGAACCACTGCGACACAACCGACGACGCCGGCAGGAAGACGAGGCCGAATCCCACACCCGTCACGACCGTCTGGGCCAGGAAGAACTGGTAGTACGCGTGGCACAGGCTGGTCATCATCAGGCCGAAGACGGTGACCGCGGTGCCCACGCCGAGCAGGAGGTGCAGGTGGCCGCCGTCTAGCACCGGCCCGGTCGCGACACACACGAGGTAGCACACGAGGAACTGCGCCGAGCCGATCCACGCGATCGCGGACGCGGAGGAGCCCCGCAGGAGGTCCGTCTCGTAGATGCCCTGGAATTGCCCGTACGCGTTGAGCAGGCCGAGCACGTTGAAGGTGATGACCCACGCGCCGGCGACCTGCACCCACGCTATGAACCCGCCGTTGGGCGGCGCGGAGATGTCGTCATCTTGCTGCTGCTGCTTTTCCGGGGAGTGCGCTGGCGAACCGTCGTCGCTTCCCGGCAGCAGCGTCGAAGCTTGTTTTCTCTCACTGGAATTCATGGTACAGAAATAACGATCATCTGTTGCTCATGAGAACAGAGAACGGCGTGTGACCGTTGAGCACAAGTGACGGCAGAGGCGGAATATTTAAAAATGAAACATATCGATTCCTGTTACCGTTTTATGTTAAATCAAGCGCTGAGCTGAGCTCGACCGTGTTCGGCGAAAACAGCTTCTCAGATCCGTAAATGATTCCAAAGCATCTTGTCGCATTACGGATTGCCGCATACGTGATTCCCGCTAACTTGAGGGAAGACATAATTATTCAGCCCGTCAGTTGGCGTATTATTCAGCTCACCTCTCGGCTTGTTGCCTTGAAACATTCAGGCTCGTGGTTGCCGTGGGGTTTGCCGATCAGTGGCAAGGCTCTGAACCATGCCAAATCTGGGACGGGAGATCCATCGAGATTCGTGGCGATTCGTCAGTGGCTTATTATGGTACGTTGTAGCCTCAGCTATGATACTGCGTCCCAAGACTGCCACCCTATCTGAACACAGTCTGAGAGCTATGCTGCCACGGGTAATAGACTGCCGAATGCTGCATCTTTACCAGCCATGTGACGAGTCGCTTCGATGTCTTGCCGCTCCTGCAATGTAACTAGTATCCCGCGCACACTTTAAGACAGAAAACAAGTTCACGTCTCATTCGCCAGCGGACTCTTCTCCTCGATCAACTGCATCTGCGCTGGCCGCTGGCGCTCCCCGCAGCTCCAGACTAAGATCCATGAATGTCTCACAGTCAGCGGTGCGGATTCAAACTGGTTGGTATACGGACAATTAGTTGAGACATAGTTCTGACAAAAAAAAACGTTCTTCTATCTAGTACGAATACATGTTACAAAGAAATGAGGAGTTTGACGTAAACACCAAGACGTAAACGGCGCGAAATAATAAAAAAAATACAAGACATGAGGACGTTTGTCTGTTTTTGCTGTAGAGAAGTTCATTTTCCTTTCCCTTCCTTTTTCGTAGAGTTGAGAAGAACGGTAGATGGGCATAAACCCCCTGGGGGTTTCCCCAAACCCGGCCTGATTCGGAGCCCCTCCATGCAGATGCAGAAAGGACAGGGCAGCTTCATCATAGTCTGCTCTGCTCCGATCCCGACAGCTCGCGGAAAGCCGGCGACGGTTGCGGTGCGTCAGCGCCAGGCGCGGCCACCTCGCCGTCACCCGGGAACGGTGGCGGCGCGCTCTGCTCCTTGCTGCCGCCAAAGTACTTCTCAAAGTCCTCGTTGTCCTCGAACGGCCGCTTGCCCAGGATGCGTACCATGTCGTCACGCACGAGCACCTCCTTCTTGAGCAGCTCCTCCGCGATGAGGCCGACCTCTCGCTTCTTCTCCACCAAGAGATCCTTGCAGCGCTTGTAGGCCTCGCCGACTATCCGGTGCACCTCTTGGTCAATCTGCTGCGCCGTAGACTCGGCAAAGGGCTTGGAAATGCGGTTCGGGTCGTTGTCAAAATGGACGGGGCCGACGAGGTCGGACATGCCCCATTGCGTGACCATGCTGCGTGCCAATTGGCTGACCTTCTTGAAGTCGTCGCTGGCTCCGGTTGTGACCGTGGGGAAGTGCAGCTCCTCAGAGACGCGTCCGCCCATGGTCATGGCCATGCGGTCCATGAGCTGGCTCGTGCTCATCAGGTAGGCATCTTGCGGCAGGTACTGAGCATAACCCAAAGCGCCCTGGCCGCGAGGAATGATTGAAACCTTGAGCAGGGGGTCGGCATGTTGCAGGAACCAGCCGCAGATGGCATGGCCGGCCTCGTGATAGGCAACAGTCTTCTTCTCCTCGGGCTTGAGCACCAAAGACTTGCGCTCAAGACCACCAATGACACGTTCAATGGCGCGCTCAAAATGCTCCATCTTGACTTCGTCGGCGTTAGCACGGGCGGCAATCAGGGCAGCTTCGTTGACAACGTTGGAGATGTCAGCGCCAGAGAAACCAGGAGTGAGGGTCGACAGGCGTCCAACAAGGTGGTCAATGTCCTCGCTCGTCACAATCTTCTTCAGGTAGACTCTGAAAATTTCCTGACGTCCGCTCATCGTGGGCCGGTCGACGTAGATATGTCTGTCAAATCGACCAGGACGCATCAGCGCCTTGTCCAGCACATCAGCACGGTTGGTACCCGCAAGCACAACGACTTGCTCTCTTGTGTTGAAACCGTCCATTTCTGTCAGAATCTGGTTAAGAGTGGCCTCGCGTTCGTCGTTGCCCCCGAACCCCTTGCCGCTGTCCTGTCGCGCCCGACCGATGGCGTCGATTTCATCAATGAAGATGATGCAGGGTGCGTTCTTGCGACCTTCGGCGAACAGGTCACGGACACGCGAAGGCCCGACACCGACAAACATTTCGACGAATTCGGAACCGCTGACGCTGAAGAACGGCACACCAGACTCGCCAGCGGTGGCCTTGGCAAGTAGAGTCTTACCAGTACCGGGAGGGCCGGCCAGAATGGCACCACGGGGAATCTTTGCACCAAGCTTCTCAAACTTCTCGGGTTGTTTCAAGAAGCTGACAAACTCCATGATCTCCGTCTTGGCCTCCTCGAGACCAGCGACATCAGCAAACTTGACCTTGACGGCGCTCTCGGCATTGAACTTCTTCGCCTTGCTCTTGCCAAAGTTGAACATGCCGCCAGCACCACCTCGGCCACCCATGGAACGTTGCGTGTACAGAATCAGGCCGATGAATAGTAGCGTCGGGCCAAATGCCAGGAGAACGTTGCCTATTGTGCTGCCACCGGCCTCGTAGCTGACGGGAATGCGCTCGCTTTGTGGGATGCCGAGCTGATCTTGAGCCTCTTCCAGCTTCTTCTCAAAGGACTCTACTGACCCAATTGAGAAGACATACTGTCTCCTGTCGTCGCCTTGATCAGCTGTGGGGTGAAGTTCGACGCGGACCTGAGAACCGTTGACGACAATCAACTTCTGCACGAGACCCTTGTCGAGGAATGCTTTGCGCATCTCTTGCCAGGTGATTTGCTTCTGGGACATGGAGCCACCAAACGAGTCTAGTGAGTACATGATGATACCGAGGAGAAGAACCGTCTGCATGAGGCTGATTCGGACGTTGATCGTCTTGGTATTTTCATCGTTCGGTCGTCCTTGATTCTGATGCTGGCTCTGGTTGCCAGGTTGTGGCCCGGACTCGCCAACCTTGTTTTGCGTAAAAGTGCCATTCTGTTTCTTCTCCTGCTCCACCTCCCAGGCGGCCAGTCGCTCGGCCATGGCAAAGACAGAGCGCATGAGGCGGCCCTTGTCCATGATGGACAGGTTGCCAGGACCCATCCTCATCTTGGCGAGAATATCTCTTATTTCAGCGGGCGCACCGGTTTCTTGGATGCCCTTGAGGATCTCGTCTAGCTGTGCTCTTTGTGCTTCAGGAATGACCTGATAAAACACTTGCATTTGCTTGATCTCGTCCTTGGTCAAGTAAATCCAGCCCGGGGGCAGGGGAAACGACTTGGACCCCTCTGGCTTGACCCCATCTTCATGAACGTCTGGCCTGTTCTCCTTGTTTGAATTTTCGTTGGTAGATTTTTCGGCGTCCCTGTTCGGCTTTTGATCGTTTTCGTGCTGTGGAGGCTGCGAGGAGTAGCATCGCAACTGGTTGGAGTAACTAGTTCGCAGGATCGGGGTGGCGGCTACTCGAGAAAGCGCGGATAGGCGCACACCTCGCTGCAGGCTGACGCTATGTGATGTCCTCAAGAGCCGCGTCAGCTGGCCTGATTGCCTTAGAAGGCGTGACATTTTTGTGGTGAATGTTGCGCAGTTTGCGGAACCACCGGCGGCCAGGCGACGGGTGAACTTGTTGCGCGATTGAAACTATCTCATGAGCTGCGCAAATGAATTCTCTGGCGGCTTAGGGAAGACCTGCATGGATGAGAAGCATCCAGGTGCTGCAAAGCCGTGCGATTAGAAGGTGAGTGGGATTGGCGACGGAAGTTGCTCTCTGCAACAGGATGGAAGCTTCACGGTGATGTCTGTATGGGGCGGCGAATGGGCAAAATTACATGTTGTTCACGTGACCCATCAGCGGGCGGACTTTGGCCGGCGCCGGAGTTGACACCGGCACACGGCAAGAAAATGAACGCTTGAAGTCATCAAACATACGATACGGTTGGAATTCAAATTTATTATCAAGCGCGCGGCATTTGGTGGGCTGTTGATTGTGGTGCAGCTCTGTGCCTTCCATTATTTATACATGCTGCCTGCAGGGCGTACTAGATAGAGGCTGAGACGTCAACGCTCCGAACTAATATCGCGCGAACATTTCCACTTCCTTTTATCGGGATCGAATGTCTTATTCCTTCTTCAGAAATAATCTCAGCTTGGTGTTCATAGTCTCCTTGCACATCTGGCGTGTCGCGCCACATCTCGATAGTAGTACCGAGGCTGGCGAGTTGATGAGACAGATAATTCCTCACCACCCGCAGGGCCTGAGGTTCGTCACCGATTTCAAGGAGGAGCAGCTTCGGTTTGACCTGGTACGCAATGTCAAGTAGCCTAGCGTAAAAGACGTCCGAAGTTTGCCACCCCGGTGGCGGCTCGAGATGGGCGCCAGGCACCAGGGCTAACGCAGGCTCGAACTTGCGAACGGAATGTCCCATCTGGCCGCGGCCGCTGTTCCAGACGTCTAGGGAGATGTATGGCGGATTCGACGTCAAGACGTCCCAGCTCGTCGAGATCGTATCCTTCATCTGCAAGTCGTCGAAGATGTCGCCTTTGGTGATTTCCACTTGCTTTTGGCCCGGGACCATGTTTAGGTGACCCGTACTCGTATTCACAGCCAGATTCTGCTGCGCCAGCTCGACTGCTTGTGTTGAGACGTCAACACCGCGTACCTGCAAGGACTTGGTTGAATTTTGAAGCAGCGAAAACAAGAGCAAAGGTATGCAGCCTGTCCCGGTGCAAAGGTCAAGCACCTTGAGCTCCTGCAGACCATACCGACGCCTAAGCCGCTTAACCTCGTTGGCGAGATGATACGTATAAGCTTCTGTGTCTGGCCGAGGAATGAGCACGCCGGGTTTGCACTGTATATCCAGAGGCCCAAATGGTTGGGACTTCAAGACATATTGAAGAGGTATTCCTTGGCCCCTTTGGCGGCAGAGCGCATGTAATCGCTGCTCTCGGTGGGCGGGCTTGGTGGCTAGGTCGACATGCTCGCGGATCCAGCGCAACTCGTTGAGCGCAAGAGGTAGGCTCTTGCAAGCGAGAAGTAAAGTTGCGGCATGAGGCGAGTGTTTTCCAGCCCGTCGAAAAAGCCAGGGCGGAGTTCGCGGCATCACCTGTTATGATTGATAAGATGAGTCCATTGGCAAGGCGTTGTTTGATGCAAGATGGCCGAGACCCCTGGAAGATTTGGAGATTTGAATCCAACCGCTTGCCCCACGGGGCCGTTTCAATACCTATGTCGATACATCCTGAAATAGCACAGCAACAATATAAGTTAAAATGAGGGTGTTTCTATTTTTTTTTTTTTTGCTATTTTTTTTTTCTACTTTTTGAGCTTAAAATGCGAACCACGCGTTAAGACTATGCCGTCTCTAATTGCCAATCACTCATAAAACACAATCAAGCCTATCAGCCCCAGTCTGTCTATTTTCTCATCATGTTCAGACCAGCCTTGATCCAGAGCGCAGACGAAAAGCAGAAGGCTGCCTCCCAAAAGACACTACGTAGTACGTGATACATGCGGTTATCCTGCAGCTTGATGTACGTCACCACGTAAGCGAGGCGCGTAACTAGATAGCCAATGCTGAGAAAGTTCAAGGAAGAGCTCTCCAAACCCGCATAATTTCCGGCCACGACTGCGGCGGCAAAGTAGCCGAGCGTCTCGAAGCTATTGTCGGATGCTGCTTGGGCGCGAAGGATGCGAGCTTTGGCCTGCGGTGCGTGAGATTAGCATACATGGAAGCATACCCAACTGTACAGCGCTAACCTCTTTGTCGAGAGTCTCAGACTCGGCTATGGCATCGTTGAATTTGCGAGGATAGGCATTGTCGTAGTGATTCCGAGCGTGAAGGATGGCATAGCCATGCGGACCAATACAGGTTCCGAGCACCACGGCGGGAAGCTACCTTGGTTAGCATTCTGCTGTATTTTACGCAAGATACAGACGCACCGTGAAGAATGAAAGATTAGCAGTCGCCATTGCGGTCTTTACTCTCGAATCCGTTAGAAAGGGGGGAGGTTGCATCAATGCGTGGGGAGCCAATACGCTTTATAATATTGGTAGTTGAGCAATACCCGAAGGGCCTACGATATAAAGCCGATCGGCGACCGTACCAAGTAAACATGCGACGAGGGCCAAGCAACGTTATGGGGTCTTATTTCGGATGACCATTGACTTAATCTCACTGGTCCGACCTGAATTGCTCTACCGAGGTGCTACAGCATAAAGCTATATGTCGTGAAGCATAAGACAGGTGCTTCTGCTAATTACAGCCTTTGGCTGAGGGACTATATAGTTCGATCGCCGAATGGTTACCAGTACTAAAAGGCTACAGTGGGGGTAGTGGTGCTTTATCCACCATAACTCGTGAATTACAGAGAGCTACAGGCCGCCACGGGGCCAACTGGTGGCTGGCCTTAGCCGATGATTATCCAGCCTTTCACAAAGCCTACGACGGACTCATTAGTAGTGGCCGTGCACAGCATCTCAAAAATACATCAACATCTAACGCCAACATCGCCAACACCCGCCAACCCACGAAATCCCGTCATTTTCGAACATAGTCGCCCTCCGTCCCTGTTGATTGACGAGTCTTGGAACTTCTAGGCCCTGCTATCCACCACCGGCCGCCCAACGCTTACCCATCTCCTCCAACTCACCTCACACGACACACCCGTCTCACTCATCAACTGACCGCCACCATGAACGCGCCTGATCGGTACGTCGTGACGTCCACACAGGATGGTCTCATAAACCCCACGTCTACTCGAAATGCAACTCCCGAGGAACCAGCCCCAGACAGTCGATGCTAACCAGCGCTTAGTTTCGAGCTCTTCTTGCTCGCCGAGGGCGAGAGGAAGATTGAGGAGAAGGTCTACTCTGGTGCGTACCGGCGTGCAAGTCCCCTAGCAGCCAGTCAGTACCGAAATGACTAACCCATATTTAGGAATGTCCAACACGTCAGACTTCCTACTCAAGAAGGAAGATCACACCCTCGGCCACCTGCTCTCCGAGCACCTCAAGTTCCCCCCCCCCGCCTTTTTCGTCTTTCACCGCTCCTCTTACTATAAAGTTGCGCGACATGCATCGCTAACATGGTCCGCAGTCGGCCACCCCAACGTCCCCGAGCTCTTCATCCGCGTGCAGACGGACGGCACCGTGTCGTCGCGGGACGTCTTCACATCGGTGTGCGAGAAGCTCATCAACCAGCTCGAGATGCTGCACCAAAAGTTCACGCGAGAATGGGAGCTGCGGCGCATTGCCAACACGGGGAACCAGGCCGGCATGCAATCCAACGGCCTGTGAGGAAGATATTGTGCTGGGGATGCATATGGATCATTTATGGCGTTGGGGCGTCCTCTTTCTTTTTCACTACAATGTAATCATATTCATCACAAAAAGCAGTCGTCTTGCCCCTGGGTTCATGTACTTCAATTTGAACTCAAAAATGCATTCCTTGTTTCGGGTATGCTCTCTGTCTACCGAATAACCTCGCCGGGTGTGCTGGTCATTGCCCACGGGTGCGACTGCGGCGCTTCGTGACGTGCATCATGCGTTATACCTAGCAGCAATAGCTAGATAACCGGGCCTTCCAATTCATCCGCAGGTCGTTAGCATTGTGGCCGCTTCACGCTGAGCCACGCATTTTCGTCGTCCATTCGTACCATCCATCATGCTTCAGGCCTCAACAGGGCCCTCGCCACCGGGGATCAACTAGATGTGCGATTAGCAATTTTTTGTCTGCATCCGAGTGCCGCATATCGCCTACCATGCATATATTGTTGCCGTTCAACAGAATCTTGGGCAGCTTTGTGTGGTTGCCAGTGTAGTCGCTACTTTGGTCAGCAAAACGGCATTTGGTTGGCGCGAGCAAGTTTCCCTCACAATTCTGTGACGTCCTCCAAAACCATGTCTACGCTTGTTAGCATTACTCCGCCATACATACAGGGCCGCGAGAGAGCCGACTTACTGACATAGTCGTCGAAACCAACAAGAGTGCCGCTAAATTCTGCATCGCGGGTCAGTACGCCCCGAAAAGCTCACCGACCGAACCCCGAGACCGAGATCTTACCCTTTTCACCCTTCATGATGACCCAAATCCTCGATCCGACACACTTGTCGATGAGTTCTACTCGATTAGCTCCCGTTTTCTAAGATGTGTGAGATGCTTCTTCACTCACCGAGGGGTAGTAATTGAGAGGCCATTTTGAGTGATGTGAGTGTGAGGGGTCCGCTTGCTTTATTCAAGAAGAGTCGGATAGGTTGATAAATCACGTCTCAAGTGAAATTCGCCTCTTGATCAGTCCAGAGCTCAGTTCGATGGATTGTGCTGTGCCTCATCAAACCCACACTACAAGGCCAAGACTGACTTCCTGGCTGCTGTTGCACGTGCTCACGCGGTGCTGACTAAGGAAATATTCCGCCACAAAGCCGCTGTAGCGACGCGCCACGCGCCCCGTCCAGCCACTGTGAATGCGAATTAACAACTCGTAACTGGTCGCTGTGGTTCGTTTGTACATACATACATCAGACATGCAATTGCTACCTGAAAGACTTGGTGACCAGCCACCATATCGGATGATGGATGGGCTAGGACCGCCTCTCGATAGTGCATAATAATAAGGGGCGTGCCGCCGCGCAGATGCCGTCGATGACCAGCCAGCGCCCCATGGTAAGAAGTCTTAACGATGAGTCCGATCTGAGGCACCAAACTCGGCATACACTGAAGCACCGAGACCAAAGCCTTCTTTGTCTTTGACAACTCGACTAAAGAGCAATTATGGAATCCAGCCACTCGCGCTAGAAACCGAGGCTTTACCTTTATCTTCAGCGCTGGACTTTGTAAGAAGGCCTCCGTCCCTGGAAGCTACCGGGTCTTATGAACGGCGATGACACGCCCGACGTCGCGTTCCCCCGATTCAACCCCAGTAGGTTGTTGCCATGGCACCCGGCGAAGTAGAAATGCCTAGGACGTCGACCAATACCACCCGCCCGGCTGCAGTGGTTGCTGGTCCTCTCGGGAGGGAGGCTGAGGATATCCACAGAACCCTCCCTCCCACAATCCCGGACGCAGCAACGCGGCATGTCGAGCAACGAGCCCCCGGCCAAGCCTCAATCGAACTACCGCTTGAATTCCTTGACTTACACCGTGTCCCGGAGTCCCGGGAACTCTCCCAAGCCAGTCCTCTACCAGCCCAAGGACAACCCCGACTCCTTCTGGACCCACACCATTGTATCGGCTCGCACCGCCGCCGACAGCACTACCCAGGTCGTTACTGGTACTTGTCTCGAACACACAGCTTCACACAAAATGCAACTCTAGACCTTTCATACTCTCTTCCCATTTCTGCGTCCATCATTTCGTTTACTCCCCTCCCCCCGCCTCTTGATAGACTTGAAAAATGTCATGTAAGAGCCCCCCCCCCTTCTCTTCTGACAACCATCGTTTCACACCCACTGACCTCCGCGCAGCTTGGTTCAACACCACCACCACCTTGCTGCACGTCTCCGCCGTCCCCGCGGGTGTCCCCGCTGCCAAGCTGGTGCAAGGGCTACAGGACCACGAAAACTACATCAAGCACAACCCACACATGGCCCGGTACGAGCCCATCCCTCCGGGGGGAAACCACCCCACCATCCCCGCCGCGCGCGGGGTCGCGGCCACCGGCGCCCCGGACTGCTACCGCGTCACCGACAAGGTGCACACGCTGCCCGCCGGCCTCTGGGACTCGGACGTCGTCAGCACCTACGAGTTCATTGACGTCGAGGGGGGCGTCTTCGTGCGCATCCGCAGCCCCATGGGCGTGGTGATGGAGTCGCTCTGGCTGGCCAGGGAGACGGCGGACGGCGCGGTGGAGCTGGTCGAGGAGCAGGTGATTTCGGCGTCGCGGCTGCTCATGGGCACGGTCAAGTCCATGTCGGAGGCTGGTTGGAAGGACATTCACTCCTCCATGATCAAAAAGGCACAGGAATAGAACCAGGCATTCTCTCTTCACTCTATAGACCCAACTCCCCCCATTGCACCTCTCTCATCTATACATAATATCTATCACACCTCCTCTATTTATGCCATGTTTTCGCCAAAAGAAAACGCCATCATATAGAATACAACGCACTTTTATATTTTAGAATCCGGCTGTGCCTCGGCCGGATACTTGAGATACTTGTCAAACCAGGCCAGCATCTCGTGAATCACATGTTCGTGGGACTCTTTGGCCTCGTAGTGGTGCGGCTCGTGCGGCAGCATGACCAACTTGGCCGTGCCGCCGTTCCCGCGCACCGCCGAGTAAAAGTTGGACGACTGCATCGGCGTCGTGCCCGGGTTCGCGTCGTCCGCCCCGTGCACGATGAGGATCGGGTGCTTCAGCTTGTCGGCGAAGAAGAACGTCGACGCCTTGCGGTACGGCTCCGGCGCCTCCCACACGCTGCGGCGCTCGTTCTGGAAGCCGAACGGCGTCAAGGTCTTGTTGTACGCGCCGCTCGTCGCGACGCCCGCCTTGAAGATGTCCGAGTGCGCCAGCAGGTTCGCCGTCATGAGCGCGCCGTGGCTGTGGCCCGTGACGCCGACGCGCTCCGGGTCCGCCACGCCAATCTCGACGGCCTTGTCGACGGCGGCCTTGGCATTGGCCACGAGCTGCTCCAGGTACGTGTCGTAGGCCTTCTTGGGGTCGCCGACGATGGGGAACGCCGCGTTCTCGAGGATGGCGTAGCCGGCGAGCAGGAGGAATTGGTGCTTTCGAAGGCGCGTGAACCGGGCTTGCGAGCCGGTGACCTGGCCGGCCTCTGAGCCGCTGGCAAAGTCGCGGGGGTACGCGTAGAGAATGGTCGGGACACGGGTACCCTCCTGGTATCCTGGCGGTGTGTGGAGGTTGAACGAGAGCTGCACTCCGTCCTCACGCTGATATGTCACAACACGCTTCTTAATCTGCGAGAGAAGAGGGGTTGGGTTAGGAATGTTGGTGACTGCCCGAGATTCGGTGCTGTACACGGCCTCGCCCTCCGGAGCGTCAATCTCGGCTCGTAGGATATGCTGGAAGACGTTGGGGGAATCAGTGGGCGACTCGTGCAATGTGAGGAATGTCGACCCCGTAGTATCTGTAAAGCCGATGAAAGATTCATAGGCCGAGCTGCTACTGCGGAACAAGCGGCGAGTGTTCCTGGTATCGGTATTGAATTGGTCTAGGAAAGGTCGATCTCCATCCTTTGATGAGCCAGCGCCACTGAGGAAGATGGATTCGCCGACTTTACGGACAACGTGAAAGCCATTCGGCAGCTTGCGAAGTATGGTAGAGCCAGGATACTTGTACCTCTCGTTGTACGACATGTCCAGGATGAGCTTGCGCTCTTGTTGGGGATCGCCGACATTGACAATGTAGCGACGCTCCCACTGAGTGTTGATATCCAGCTCTCTAAGAATGGCAAATGATGGATCTTCTCCCCAGGCGAGGCCACCGAAGCGGTATTCCGTGCGCAGAAGCTCACGCGACGCGTTGATATCGAATGGCGCTTCCAAGAGCATGACCTTGTCACGGTGCTCGACCTTCTTTTCCCAGTTGCCGTCATCGAGAGCTTCCACCCAAAGTAGAGATGCAGGAGCATTGGAGCGCCATGAGAAATCGCGCGGGCCGCAAGGAACGCCGCGAATGGGGACACGGTCTGCTAGAGGCAGCTCAAAGAGGTTTAGAGGCTTGGTGCTCGTAAGGTCTGAGAGATTCCAAACCTTGACGGTGTAGGGAAACCTCAAATACCCAGTGTTGTATGAATAATCCTTGCGAAGCGCAAGAGTAAACATGTAGTTTCCGTCGGGTGAGGCGCTTGCCTTGAGGTAAAGATCGACCTCACCGATGGGTTGAGTCGTGAGTGACTCAACATCAACCAAAGCCAGTTGAGAAGCCGCGTAATAATCAAACAGGGCCTCATCATACTCGTTCTTGAGCGTGTCGCGAGCTTCATAGGTGCTACTCTGACCCTTTTTGCCGTCAGTCTCCTGAATGATGGGGCCTAATGGAACCGTTGGCTTTGCCGGCTGTGGCTGTTGGCCTTTAGGAACAAGCTTGACAAGAAGTTGTTTCTGACTCGGCATCCAGATGAGCTCGTGTTCGAGCAAAGGGTTCAACCCCACATCTTGGACCTGCCGGGCGACACCAGTTTCACCGCTGCCGATCCAAAGATCCACGGAATTGGGGGTTATGTTCTCAAAGGCGAAGTAGCGACCATCGGCGCTCCAAATGGGGCTGGTGGTGCGCGCGTCTGGGGGCAGCGAGACAGTGACGGTCTTGCCATCCTTGGCTTGGACGAGCTCCAATTTGTAGGCAAAGGTGCGGATGCCATGACCGGCGGCCGTGTTGCGGCGATTGCGATTGGCGATTTCGACGCGGACGCCAGCGAGGGCCAAGTAGGCGGTGGCGATGTGAGAGATGGACGGATACTTGGCATACGAGACGAGGATGATCCTGTCGCCCGCGGGACTGGGAACGGGGACGGGCAGCGCAGGGGCACGCATGACATCGAGAATATTGCTCGGTGGCTGTTTGTAGCCTGAAGCTGCCGCCGCCACCGACAGTGCGGTGTCGGCAGAGGTAGACATGGTGTAAGCGGTGAGGTGAGGTCTGAGGCGTATGGCACTGCGAAGGGAGACGTGTAAAGGAGACGTGTTTGGATGGATGTTGAGATTTCTCGGGACACGTCGATGGGATTCCTGGGGTATTTATAGGCTCGGGGAATGTATTGAGCGTGTCGGACAAGCAAATTGGTCGAGGACACAATGGTCCTTTTTATCAAGGGCGAATGGCAAGCTCCTGAGCGGTACAGGGAATGCCAGGCACTGCCAGGCACTAGCGTAAGTACTATGTACCTAGTACTTAAGGTAGCACCGGGACACTGTCCCGCGCAGCATTAGGTACCCACTGTTTTTTTGTCTGAGCAAACAGCAGCCAATTCAGGTTGTGTTGTGTACTCCGTACATAGGCATGTTGGAGCAGCCAATTGCACTTGCCGCCCGACCCTGATGACTCCTCGTACAACTTGTTGCACATTGATCCTTCGTTTTCATATTTTTCAAAATCATGGAAATTCTTTGTCCCCGAAATGTGTAGAGCGGCTGCCGCTGCAGTGACATGTCAAACGAAACAGCCAGTGCACTAGCAGCTTCCGTTCTCGGAATGGTGCCATGGAATCCTTGTATGGCAGCGTGTATAGGCTAGGGGGTTCATAGCTAGTTAACTACCCGGCACCCGGCACTGGGTACAGTCCACGCGACAGGCGCTATCTACAAGTAGCGGCCAATTGATTACTGAAAATTTCCTGGAAAAGCTCATGTACTTGAAGCATACTGAACGGTCTACATTTCACCATATTTCACGTTGTTCAGTTTCTTTTTATTTCTCGGTTGCGTCAAAGACACTGAGACATCTCCTGTATCGCCTTCAGCCGATGCCGTCATACGGAGACCACTCTAAAAATATCCAATACTGGCGTCTGGCAACTTGCGGCATAGTTAGGAATCATCCGCGATTTTCATAAAATGCAGGGTAATTTCTATGCCAATTTCTAAATTCATGCGCGGGAATCCTTAGATTATTAGTGCCAGGTCTGTCGTTTACCACGTTTTGGTCAATTCACATGCATTTATCCAACAGTGTCTATGAGCTTGTGCGTGGAAATATCCAAAGCCAAGTTTTATCCGTACATGAAAGCCCAATCATCTCTTGAATAAGAACTTGAAAATCTTGCGCATCTCATAGGGAGCCATCGGTCAGTTGTTCTCCTACAAACGCTGTGATTCACAGCTCACACATCAAGTGAGTGCACACCGCCGAAGCCACACCACTGCGCGTCCGCATCATGCCTGCTCCCATTATCACAAGCTGCACTTTGCCAAACCTCGCAGCCCAGCCATTAAACCCACACAAACAAAAAAAAAAAACAAAAACGCAAAACCACCCAGAGAAGCAACACCAAATAATGTGCATCGTCACCTACTTCAAGCATCTCCCGTGCAGCCACATTTGGGCCGTCGTCACCGAGCCCTGCCTGCCCTACATGGGTTTCACCAACTGCCCCAGCTTCGTCGGCGCCAGCGTCGTCGTGAACCCCGTCACGGGCAGGCACGTCGGAAACATTCGCGGCGGCCGACTCAAGGCCAAGCCCAAGTTCTACAAGACCAAGACGAGGCCCTGCCCCCAGTGCGACTTGCACGGCGCCTACAACCCCAACGTCGCACATCTCGTGCATGACATGGGATGGGGCCTCACCTGGGGCAAGGACGCGGCGGATCCTGAGGGATACTGGGGTGTTGATTTCAGACTGGGAAGCGCAAAGAAGAGTTGTTGTGTCATTCTATAACACGTACGGCTGTATTGCATGCAATCTTTATGCGACAAGGAAACGAGGCGTGGTTACATCTTCATTGGCTTGGCTGGCAGAGGGAAAGAGGGCGTTATGGTAATCCGACATGGTGACTATCAAAAATAATCTGATACCAGGGAAGCAACGTGAATTCAAATTAATATCGCTTTTCAGCTACTATTTTATATTCATGACACCGTCACCTCGAGCATCGTGTAAGTCGTCGTCCAACAGACGCCCCACTTATGTATACAACTCTTCATCAGTAATATTTTCAGCATCAACCTGCTACAAACTCTCACCTTAGTATACCACCACAAAAAGCAACAATGTTGCCCACGCCAGATACCTCACACGTCCCATACGAGCGTGTCTACGAGCCCGCCGAAGACTCCTTCCTGCTCCTCGACACGCTCTCCTCCCCCAGCGAGTGCTCCTTCCTCACCACCCGCTTCGCCCACGCCGCGCCGCTCGTCGTCGAGGTCGGCACCGGCTCCGGCGTCGTCCTCGGCTTTGTCAACGCCCAGTGCGGCGCCATATTCGGCACCCCCGAGATCCTCACCGCCGGCGTCGACCTGAACGCCTACGCCTGCCGCGCCACCGTCGCCACCGTGCGCAAGGCCGCCGCCGACGAGCACGCCCGCGGCGGGACCTATCTCGGCTCCAACATGGCCGACCTGGCCTCGTGCTTCCGCCCGGGCGCCGTCGACGTGCTCATCTTCAACCCGCCGTACGTGCCCACGTCCGAGATGCCCTCGCGGCCGGGGACGTTTGCGCAGGAGGTGCCGGCGGCGGCGGCGGCGGACCCGTCGTTTGACGACGACTCGTACCTGCTGGCGCTGTCGTACGCGGGCGGCGCGGACGGCATGGAGACGACGGACAGGCTGCTGGAGGAGCTGGGGAGCGTGCTGTCGGCGCGCGGGTGCGCGTATGTGCTGCTGTGCGCGCAGAACAAGCCGGACCTGGTCAAGGGTAGGGTGCCGGCGCTGCTCGGCGACGGGTGGAGGGCCGAGACGGTAGGGTCGAGCGGCAAAACGGCCGGTTGGGAGAAGCTTCAGGTCGTGCGGATATGGAATGACGCAGCTTAGTGAACGATTAGACTTGGTCCTGCAACATGCGCTGTATATACATAAGTTGGCCTAGATATTACGAATTGATGACTCAACAGTTCTGCATTCACCATTCTGATTCCAGGCAGCTGGCATGACTTTGGCATATTGTTTCTGCCTAAAACAAGTGTAAAAGCAACAGGTTCCATTCATGAGCCGCAGTAAATGACTACACTGTATTTGTTTTTCCGCGTCTTTTGATATGGCCAAACATCCCGAACGCCTGATCCATCGAAGCCCGTAGAGTTTTTTTGGTCGTGATTGCTCAAGATAAACAAATGAAAAGTGGCACTGCCTTTTTCTGCCCTTTTCTGCCCTTTTCTGCCCAACTGTATGCCCGCCTTGATAAATTTCTTGATCGACTGGCGTAAGCATCAACCCTCGCTGGGCCGTGGCGATGACCGTCTTCATTATGTTCCATCGGACTCTTCTCAGTCCCTGCTACTCTCGTCGTGATAGTCCCCCATCCAAAACTCTCCGAGAGTAATCAGCCCTCCTTCTAATTGCCTGCTCAGGGACGACCACGGCCACGACCGCGACCACGACCGCGTCCTCTGCCACCGCCGCGTCCCCGGCTGGCGCGCTCAGCCTCCTTGCGGGCCTTGTTCTTGGGCTTGGGTGCGTCGTCGACTAATAGCGTATCCAGAGGGAGCGAGTCGGGGAGGATAAAGTAGCGAATCGTCGAGCCACGAATGTTCATAGTATCGAGGGAGATGGGTTCCTGGCCTCTGGGCGTCATCTTGACGGTGCGCAGGGCGGTGTTCATCTGGGGTGTCACCGATGAGATGGTGCCGTTGACGATGGTGCCTAATTGTGGACTGTTAGTCGCCGTCGTTTGCGATACGATGCGCCGGCTGCGGATCGCTGGTTATGAGCCATGTTGAAACGTACCATTCTTGAGCTCAATGGTCACCGGCTCGTTGACGCACTTCATCAAAAACCTATTCACCGCGAGTTAGCTATCGTCTTGAGAGGCTACGGTGGCGCCTGCTTCAGATTGTCGCGTGACGCTGCCGGCAGCTTGGAGGCGCTAAGCAAGCACATTACTTACCTCACGAGCTTCATATTGAAAGATTTCAACCAAGATTTAGTTGAGTATTTGAGCTCACCGCACAAGTCCCGCGCAATCCCTTGTCGCCTGTCTTGAATCGGTGGAGCTGCACGCCGACTGGCGTCGAAAGCAGCGCCGAAAAAACCACCCAACGATGCTCAGAGTTCAGTGCACGTGACTAGATTCTCTTCCGCCCCACGTGATTTGGCGACAAAGGGAAAGCTCCTCGACGTAGCTATCTTATCGATATCATGCGGATTACTGACAAGTGCCCCACACATTGCGAGAGAGTGTTAAATGCCAACCTTATAAAGTGTTGTTAACCGTTCAAGCACCAAAGGGTAGCTGCGGAGCTCCGTTTGCCGTGATAGATCACTTTTCTCGTCTGCGGCCGAAGACTTTTCTGGGCGAAAAGGGACGGGGCGCTGTTGGATCTGCAAAAATCTCACTTAAATATCGACACCCTTTCCGTCTGTCTCGCCATACCTACCCCTGCGAAAGCTCACCATTCTCGCTGCAGCCTACCTTTGTAGGTAACACCTATTCCGCCCTACGCAAAATCTCGACACGACGCAGCTCCAGCAATTGCGAAAGCTGTCATTATGATATCTGGGCGAGGCGGCGCTGGCGCGAGAGGCCGCATACGTCCGCCTCGTCGAATTGTCCGAGTATGTGCTCTGTCACCAGCTGCTCCCCTGTGGAGTGCTGAATTGCCAGCATCGAGTACTAACGACATCGCGACTTAGCCTAACGGTTCCGGGGAAGGAGCCGACTTTGAATCATGCTGGAATATGCTCAAAGAAGCTCTACGCGACATACACAACAAAAGCTGCGGAAGGCTGTCGTTCGAAGAGCTCTATAGAGCCGCCTACAAGATTGTTCTCAAGAAGAAAGGTGACGTCCTCTACGACCGCGTCAAAGAATTCGAGGAGCAATGGTTCAACGATAATGTTATCCCGAAGATCAGGGCACTCTTCACCAGCGGCCTTGTGAATATCGGCAAAGGTAGCTCAACATCTGCCAACGAACGACGACAAACTGGCGAAAGGTTCCTTAAAGGACTGCGAGATACTTGGGAAGATCACAACGTTTCGATGAACATGACGGCCGATATCCTCATGTATCTAGACCGCGGCTACATCCAACAGGAGCTTCACAGAGTTCCTATCTTCTCGACGACGATTGCACTCTTCCGAGATCATATCCTACGCTCTTGCCTGAGTAAGGACTCACAAAACTTAGTTGTTGATATTGTTATCGCAGTCATGCTCGATCAAATCGACATGGAGCGTGAAGGCGACATAATCGATCGTGCCCTTATTCGCAGCTGCAGCCGCATGCTTAGTAGCCTTTACGAAGCCGAAGACGAGAACGAATTTACGAAACTGTATTTGACATTATTCGAACCTCGATTTCTCGAAAATAGCCAAGAGTTCTACCGCCGCGAATGCCAAGAGCTACTGGTGGCGGCGGATGCCTGTCGATGGCTAAGGCATACGAAGAAACGACTAGAGGAAGAAAAAGACCGATGCGGGACGACGATTGAGCCTGAAACAGAAACGAAAATAGCATCCATCGTTGACCAGCAACTGATTGTGAAGAATCTCGACGAGTTTCTGAATATGGAAGGCAGTGGTTTACGATGGCTGATCGACAATGAAAAGTCCGAGGAACTGTCGATTTTGTACAAACTGGTTGGAAGAGTTGATGATCGCAAGACGTCTTTGCAGACAATTTTGCAAAAACGCGTTGTTGAGATGGGCATCGAGATTGAGGATACCCTTCAAAACACGGACTTTTCTGTGCCACCCGAAGGTGAGGAGGGCATTGGTGAGAAGGGCATTGGTGAGAAGGGCGAGAAGCCGAAGGCCCTTCCAGCGTCTTCCCAACAAACTGCAGCTGCGATCAAGTGGGTTGACGATGTTTTGGCTCTCCGAGATAAATTCGACACGATGTGCACAAACTGTTTTCAGTCCGATCTGATCATCCAAACAGCTCTCGCAAAGAGTTTTGCTGAATTCATCAACTTGTTCCGCAGAAGCTCCGAATACGTCTCCCTGTTCATCGACGAGAGTATGAAGAAGGGAATCCGCGGTAAATCGGAAAGGGAAATCGACATCATCCTGGACAAGGCGATTGTTCTCATCCGATATCTTCAGGATAAAGATTTGTTCCAGACTTACTATCAGCGCCACCTTGCTCGTCGACTACTACACGCAAAATCAGAGAGTCACGATGTTGAGAATCAGCTTATCCTGAAAATGAGACAGGAATTCGGCCAGCAATTCACCTCGAAGCTGGAGGGCATGTTCCGAGACCTGGTTACTTCGAAAGACCTCACGGCATCATATCGCGACCACATCCGGACGTCGGGAGATGGAACTAAGAAAACCGAGCTCGGCATTAATGTTTTGACAATGAACTACTGGCCACAGGAGGTGATGGGTCGCACAGCACAGATTGGGGAAGGCTCTCGTATCACTTGCAACTATCCACCGCAAATTGAAAGATTGCAAGCGAGCTTCGAGCAATTCTACCTGGCATCCAGAAACGGGCGAAAGCTGACATGGATTGGGACCACGGGCAGTGCGGATGTGCGGTGCACATTCCCAGCCATCCCAGGAAAGTCCGGCGGCCTGGCAAAAGAAAGACGCTACGAGATCAATGTGCCAACATACGCCATGGTTGTCCTGATGCTTTTCAATGACTTGCGTGAGGATGAGCAACTTTCATTCGAGGAGATCCAAGCAAAAACTGCGATAGCGACAAGCGATTTGATGCGAACCCTGACTGCGATCGCCGTGGCACCGAAGTCGCGCGTTCTCCTAAAGGATCCGCCTACAAAATCGATCAAGTCATCGGACAAGTTTACATTCAATGCGGCGTTCCAGAGCAAGACCCTGAGGATCAAAGCTCCGGTCATCAATGCCGTTTCTAAGGTTGAAGATGCGACTGAAAGAACAACCACCGAAGAAAAGAATAACGAAACACGAGCGCACATCATTGATGCTGCGATTGTGCGAATCATGAAGTATGTTGGACCTCGTTTTCGAAGCCTGGATTTTGTTCGCTAATTACCACACTGCAGGTCGCGAAAGCTTTTAACGCACACGCAACTTGTGAACGAAGTCCTGTCTCAACTGGCAGCTCGGTTCAAACCTGAAGTGCCATTCATCAAGCGCCGCATCGAAGATTTGATCAGTCGTGAATACCTCGAGCGGCCGGATGAAGACCAAGCACTTGGCGTGTACCGCTACGTGGCGTAAACTGCGTCGATCAAGTGGGAAGGATGGGATTGGTAGAAAAGAACATATTCATGTATGGAGTTGGAACTTTACACATGGAGCATAGAAAGGTTGATCGTTTAGCGTGGCATGAAGAAGATGGCGTTTGCTGAATACACGAATACACACAACGGATCATATGTCCCTTTTTAAAATGATGATTGGAAGTAGTCTACTCCCCACGATAAACTATTATCAATAATTTGGTAACGAGGTTCATTGTTGCTGACCATTACGAGCCCAATGTGCGGCTCGGCCTCGGATCGTGGGGGTCCCCACCGAGGCTGCTCCGACGCATGTCCGACCAGCCTCGTCCTGTTGGCATCAACCACAGCCGCGTCGCGAATCCGAAATCGGCATATATAACCAGCACAGCTGCTTCCGTATCAATTGAGGCTATCTCTGTTTCTCTCATCCTCATCATGTTTGCGCTACGAAGGACATTGGCTACCATGAGCCCCCAGGCCTCGATCCTGAAGCAGGCTGGCAAGGTGGTCTGCATTGGTCGCAACTACGCGTGAGCTCTCATGACCACCCGCACCGGAAGGGAGCATGAACTGACGATTCTTTTGCTCAAAAAATAGTGATCACATTGCGGAGCTGTCCAATGCCAAGCCCAAGCAGCCCTTCTTCTTCCTCAAGCCGACGTCGTCGATGCTGCTCCCCGGCGAGGGCCCCTGCGTGCGTCCCAAGGGCGTGGACATGCACTTTGAGGTTGAGCTCGCGCTGGTCATGGGCAAGACGGTGCGCGACCTGAAACCCGACGACATGAAGGGTGCCCTAGAGGCCATCAAGGGTATTCCCCCCCCCATCGCTTCTCTTGAATCGTCAAACCGCCACTGACTCCCTCCAAACAGCCTACGCCGTGGCCATCGACATGACGGCACGCAACACGCAAAACGAGGCCAAGCGCAAGGGCCTGCCGTGGGACATTGCCAAGGGCTTCGACACGTTCCTACCGATGAGTGGGGTGATCCCCAAGGCGGCCATCGCGGACCCGCACGACGTCGAGCTCTTCCTCGAGGTCAACGGCCGCGAGAAGCAGCGCGGCTCCACCAACCTCATGATCTTCCGCATCCCCCGCATCCTCAGCGACATCTCGCGCGTCATGACGCTGCAGCCGGGTGACGTCGTGCTGACGGGCACGCCGGCCGGTGTCGGCCCGGCGGTCCCCGGTGATAGGGTCAGGGCGGGCGTGCGCATCGCGGGCGAAGAGCTGCCCGAGGGCGCGATCGACCTGGCGGTGGAGGATTCCACCAGAGACTACGAGTTTGCCGAGACGTAAGAGTTTAGGGTCATCTTTTTCGCAAGGAGGTATTGTCCATTTTGCATTTTTGTAATATAAGAAGATGGGGGAGAGGAATAAATTACTAGCCACGGCTCCCTGTCCTGGGCGTTGTTTGACTTTTACAAATTGACCCCCCCCCCCCCCCCTATCTGCTGCGCCTCCTTCACCATCATCAATCATCATCAACAAAGAGGAAAATTTCACAAATCATCAACCATCTCATCATCACAGATCACTGACAGCCAAGGTTTTACGCCAGGTTCGGATCGGGGATGGAGCCCGGGGCGGGCGCCCAGTCGGCCAGCTCGCCGCAGCCGCCGCAGCGCCTCTTGTTCTCGTCGGCGCGGAACGCCTCGACGGCCGCCTTGATCTGGGTTCCCAGGTCTGTGACGTGGAAGGCAGCTTCATGCACGACGACGGCGCCGGGGCAGCGCGCGCAGTACCAGCGCATGCGGTCGAGCGCGTCCTCGGGCCGGCGCTGCTCGACGACCATGCCGACCGTGTCGGCGAAGCGGACCGGGTTGTGCGGGGTGTTGGGCGGCAGCAGGAACATGTCGCCCTCGCGGATGAAGATGTCGCGGAAGGCGCCGCCCTCGTCGACGACCTTGAGTAGCATAGTGCCCTTGTGCTGGTAAAAGTACTCGGGCGTGGTGTTGATGTGGTAGTCGGTGCGGGCGTTGGGGCCGCCGACAATCTAGGGGGCGGTTAGAAGTCTACGGATGTCTGGACGGCGGGATGTTTACCATGATTGTGAAGCCCTCATTGTAGACGCAGTAGTTGTTGATTGGAGGCTGCAGCAGGTGGCTGTTCTCCTCCAGCCTATACTCGTGGTAAGCCGGGAAGATTCAAGTGTGAAATTTTTCGAATATTGAGTCTTGAGACATGAGCTTAATGGCTTACCATTTGGGCAGATTTACTGGCGGACCTAGCATCATGTAATGGAGACCGAGTACGGCCGAGGGCTCTGCGTGAAAATCAGAGGGTGGGTGAGAGAGTATGAGTACTATTGGGGGAGGAGGGGCAAGGCGCCGATAGCCGATGGCGGATAGATCGATAGGTTAAATCGCAAACTCTCGGTACGATTTGAGATGACGACCGGGGGAATGACTTCAGGTGCCAACCCGTGCCTAAATATGAAGAACAGATGGGTTCGCGGGACGGCCTGGTGATGACGCGAAGGCCGACTTTCTGCAACCACTTGCTCAAACCGGCAGCGGTTTTAAGTGGCCCCTCCCTCCACCTCCGAGCCTACCGCCTGCGCAGATCGGCGTGATGTCGGGGGCGATGCCTGCAGGTTGCAGCTTATATTGAAGTCGCTTGACTGGTCCTGCATGTGCGTCACTCCGGCCTGGTACTGGATTAGTCATTCTGAGTTCTCACATCGGTCAACTTGCAGCGTCGATTGCTGCTCGTTTTGGGCAGCTTTGTGGCGGGCACAACATGCAAGCCCGCTGCCGAGCACCGTTTCTTTTGCCGGATACGATGAGTTGGGGAAAAGCCCCTGCAACCTCTTTTGGACCTTTGAGGCTTACCTTGTATTTTTACCAGATTTCTCATGGAAATTTACAGCGTCTGGTCGAGATGTCATCTTGATATCATCTTTACCGGATGGACGATATACCTGATTAACAACTGCCACGCTGCACGCCACAAAAGAGCGCCACAGCACAAAGCCCGCAGGGGCGCCCACGTACCCGTGTCTCAGTTCCCGCTGGATTTGAGCGTGTTGGGGACAAGATGAAATCCCGCCTTTACCGCAAAACAAAAGAAGATATGATACAAACTATAAATATGTGGAAGACAGGCAACCTGCCATTCTTAGGCGTCTTTATTAAATTATTTTCCCGTATTTCTGTTAATTTCTGATATTGATTCACCTGGTCAGGTGCCAGCTTGAGCAAGTTTCCAACCAGTCACAGCGCTCCACCAGCCACACTTTCCTCACACGAGCGGTTGAGCACGTTTCCCAAGGCCTCCTCGCCTTCTCCCTCCTCTTTTACCCATCACCATATCTTGCCTTCCTCTCATCTCCGTTTCTCTAGTTAACGTCTTAAACTACGGAACCCCCGCAATCCGAATTCCCACTTCTTACTGATGCCAGTCATGGACCACTCGCAGATGGACCACTCCGGCCACATGGGCCACGGCGGCGATGGGATGGATGACATGTGCAGTATGAGCGTGCGTACATACCTCTTGCCCACTTCTGCCCCGGGCACGCCTCATCTCTAGTACCTTACCCCGGACCCGATCGCTAACGGAAGCGTGTAGATGCTCTTCACCTGGGACACCACGAACCTCTGCATCGTCTTCAAGCAGTGGCACATTCGCTCCACCCCGGGGCTCATCGCCTCCCTCATCGCTGTCGTGCTCATCGCCATGGGCTACGAAGGCCTGCGCGCTACCTGTCGCGTCTATGAAAGGTCAATGGAGGCTAGAGTCGAATCCGCACCCAGTGAGTCTAGTTCTCCTCCTCAATGCCGTTTGCTCTCCTGCTCGCCCACCTCTTCATGCCCTTCATCACTCGTTCCACATCAATCTTGTTCTTGTTGCTTGCATGTTTATGTACCGAATCATTGTCGAGACTCAAGATTGCGTGCGTGCTTGGATGCCGAGGAATATGTGCTGTGTCAAACTCTGTATTGTTGAGAAAGCACGCGTTTCCATGTATCTCCTTGTCTTGTTGCCCGACCAGCTCTATGACTGCACACGATAGACGCTGGTGTGACTTTGACCACACACACGCTCTCCTTGATACCGCAATATCCGTATACATTTACTGAAGCAGAAAACCATCTCTGCCTCCGCGAAAAGACGCACATGAAGAAACCGTTACTGAGACCACACCGTTTCTCCGACCAGGACAAAACCGCGACCACCTCACCCGCCACAGCCATCTCATCAAGTCTCTCCTCTACGGCTTTCAAAACTTTTACGCCTTTATGCTCATGTAAGTCAGTCCCCAGCCGAGACTGTAGAAGCTTCGTCACTGATGTGTGCTAGGCTCGTTTTCATGACTTACAACGGCTGGGTCATGGTGGCCGTTTCTCTCGGCGCCTTTCTCGGCTATTATGTGTTCGGAAACCATACTTCGGCCACCAAAGAAACTGCTTGTCATTAATTGAATGCTTCAAAGAGATGGCTTTCTCTTCGCATCATGGCTTCATCGTTTTCTTCTACGGTTTATTTGCAGCATTGTCTCGAGTTAGCACCACGATTAATGTCAGAACCCCGTACATGGTTCTATATTTCATCTCATTGCGCGTTGCAAACATTCAAATATACACTTGCCCATGCCACCCCAAACTTTATACGAAAGCATGCTTTAATCGCGTTTACATCCTCGACGGCCCCTTGCTCGCCGCTTCTTTAAAGGCGCCATCCTGTTCCGCAATCATGATGATGTCCGCGTCACCCAGTCCCGGGTTATGCTCTACCTCAGGCGGCTCGCCATAGGCGATGCGTGCCGCATCGACCATGACGCGGCCCGTCATGCCCCAGACCCTGAAGCGGCCCTCGAAGTCAATATCTTGCTTGGTCTCCTCCACCGCCTCGCTGCCCTGCACAGGCCGCGACACCTGCTGGTTGTTCACCGGCACGTAAAAGTTGTGCACGCGCCACGCCACGTCCTTCCAGTTGATCCAGGCGCCGTCGTACCAGTGGCCGGGCGGCAAGACGTGGCCGGGCTGGGGTGGCAGGTCCTGCGACTTGAGAAAGTTGTAGAACGGCGCCGTGAAGACGGCCGCCACCTCGCTCGCGTCGAGCTTCGGCACCAGTGTATGCTCCACGACCGGGGGCGACTCGCCCGGCGTGAGTGCGTCGGCGTGCAGGTACGCCACGCACGGGGTGACGACGATGTGGGTGCGGGCCAAGAACGGGGGAAGATAGCATAGCTTCTCTACGCGGAACGGCTTTGGAATCTTCCGATCTTCCATAGGCAGGCCGATTTCCTCCCAAGCTTCTCGCCTCGCTATTTGGTCTGCGAGTGCGGGTGTGTCAGTGAGGGTTGCAGTAGGTTCATGTGCCGTTCGAGACTTACAAGGCGATTCACTCGTGGTATCGGCCTTGCCACCAGGAAGAGCAGCATGGCCAGAAAAGTTGCGGAGGCTGGCGGCCCGCATGGTGATGACAACGCGTAGGTCTCCGAAACGATCAGCGTAGAGCAGGACCAAGACAGCAGCGCGCATTCGGATAGGGAGACGATCCCATAGCGGGAAGGGTGGCGGCTTATATGCTCGCAGACGATTAATGGCAGCCTGCCGCAGACAGAGATTGCTTAGTACCGGGTTGAACATGACAATAGGGAAGTAGAGCTTTTAGAGACGTCTCAATGAAGGATAAAGGGCATGGGGGCATGTATGTAAATGAGAATGAGGCGCCTAAAGTAAGCAAAAAGACCCCCCGGAATCCGGGGAAAGGTTGTTGGGGGATGGGGTAGGACATGTGCTGAGAGATAAGGACGACGATGAAAGGCAGAGGCACATGTAAACAGAACCATCTTGACCATCGTTCGCCAGACTAATAAAGAAGCGCTGAAATTGGAGACTGGCTAGCTCCGAAGGATGCAGGTGGAGTTTGGTAGACGCCATCAGAAGTTGGAGATGCCACTCCGCAGGGCGTCCATGCAATGCAATGCACTCGTCTTGGAGACTGTAGTGGAGGGAGGGGAGAGGGGGGGGAGCGCAAACATGCCGTGCAATGAGGCGCAACTGGCGAAGGATCGCACAATATATAAGGTAAAGGCAAGAAGGGGAGGGGGGGGGGGTTCATGCTTGAACGTACCTTGGAAAATGGGTTTAACGGTGCCATGGCGGCAGCATCGTAATACGCCGAGGCGAGTTCAGAGGCGCAGTCAGAGTCAAGAAATGGTGAGTGATTGTGCTTGCCGTTCGTGTCCGGCGCGGGAGTTGGCGCTATATCTGATATCTGGCCGGGTATATGAGTGATTCTGAAGGTATGAGCCACAGCCGAGGCAGCCGTCAGCCAGCTTGGTACCTGCGTGGGGGATGGTTGCACGGTCGATTCTTTCAAAGGTGGAACAGCGATATGGTCTCCGTTCTGGGTAGCCTCTAGCATAACTTTCCTCTCGCGGATTGCGACAGTCTTTGTGTCTGTTCGTCTAGGAAGAGGCTGTGTTGTGGGGGAGACAACAAAGCTGGGACGATCCTTTGATGTGTAATTCCGTTTGGCGGGGAAGCTTGTAGATACCCGAGCTTACGGTGTTGTGGGTAAGGTAGTGACGGCTATCTTTTTTTCTTTGGGATGGATGCGGGGAAAAGTCCAAAAGAACGCTTCTAATTCAAAGAAAGGCAGAATACGATGATAATCGGGAAACTGGGCCGAGATGAAGCTGGCGATGGGCTGCGCATTGGGCCTTGGTCTGGTTGGCTTGTGATGATGTAAAAGGGAGGCCAAAAGGTAGCGAGCTCCGAATACGGACGGGCCCGACAAAGTGGTGAGGCGTAGCGAGTACCTGGTGATGTCGGTGTATGTAATGCACCAGAAGCAGGTACCTCCAGCCACTGTGGCGCGGGCAAGCTGGGCCGCTGCTTCCTGCATGCTTTGCAAGTTACACGAACAAACGCGCCGCCATCTAGTCCAGCAGCTTCAACAACGGCTCTTTTGCTTGCAATTCATTGCTACAGTTCTCCTCATGCAATGAATTTCCCTTCATGAGCGGTTGGAGATTTCTCCAACTCGTTCAGCATCGTGGGGGTTTCATCCGTCTCCAAATCAACCTGCTTCAGCCTCTGCGCCCTCCGGCGGTGGCCGCTACCTCACGCCGTTCGGACATGGCCGCCTGCCTATCGCTCCATCACCATTCCTGTACTCGATTCTTTTACATTTCTGTTACCTCACTGATATTTACGCAACCATGTGAAAAAGGATTGACTTAGAACTCCCAAACCTTGCTAACGTCCAGTGGTAAGCCTATCCTCCCCTGCCCTCCCCGAAGTTCATGGTATCATACTATGCTATGCCATCATTTCCAAATGCAAAAGAAAAAGACCAAAAAAAACCGAGCCTCACAGAAACACCCCAGGTCCATCAAAGTATGACTCGAGGTTGCGCACCTGACGCAAATTCAGTCTCTTTGACTTATTAGTAGATTTGGGTGCCTCCGTTTGCGCACCCCCCTCCTCCGTGGCCCCCTCCTTTGTACTCCCCTCGTCCAGCTCTGATGCATTCAGCACCTTGATCGACTTACGCAGGTTCACTCTGCGACGATCCGGGTGCGATCGCCATGATCGATCACGGGCGTTAGCAAACAAGCCCTTGACGCCCCCGCCCGACGAGGAGGACGATCCGGGCGGTCGTTCCTTTTCCTCCTCCTGCCGCCGTCGGTATACGGATGGCACCTCCGAGGAAACGGAGCCGCGGCCCTCCTCGTCGCTACGACTCCACCACCGCCGCCCCCCATCCCGGCCCAAATCGTCTTGGCAGTCGTCGCTGTCGCACTCAAAAGCACTGATGGAATGAGGCGACCGAGGCGGCCGCCGAAGCGGCAACTGCATCTGCGGTGCCGGTGTGGTGTTCTGCCGCGGGAAGAGACGGTACTGGTGCGGCGACGACGGCGGTTCAACACCGACAGCCGAAAGCCGCGGCAGGCAGATCATCCTGACAGTCTCCTCCTCGAAAGAGGCAGTGGGAGACGTTGATCGTGCTGGCTCGATCAGGGAGAAAGAGGAAGAAGGAGATGGGAGTGGAGGCAGCATTGGTGGCGGCGTCGGGGGCCTGGCTTCTTTTGGCCGGGGATTGTCCCATAGGCGGATAAAGGCCGCCGTGCCACGAAACTTCCCTCCAACCTTGGCCTTCTTGCTGCGTGGTCCCGGAGATTGCTGCCGAGCGGAGGGAACGGCCGCCGGATGGGACGCCCTCTCTATCTGACACGGAGCCGCGAGCTCTGCCGCGAAACGATGGTAGTCGTTGGCAGCACGTTTATCGGTAAACTGCCCGTGGCCCGGCGTCAGTCGCACAGGCAACTCGGTCAAGTCAAAGCCGCCACTCAGTCCAAGGGTCGGGCTGTGACCATCGTTGGAGAGGGACACAGAGCCGTTATTGTCCGACTTTCCGTGCTTTGGAATCCTGAGCGGGGGCGGCGACCTCATGGCACACGGCGTTCGAGGCACCCACAAGATCGATCGTCTACATAAACCGTCCTCGTCCATCTCTAGAAGCAGCGGCAGCAAGCCCCCTTCTGCATCCGAGGTGCTCTGCCCGTCTTGGTAGTCGTCAGAGTCGGACACCGAGCTTGACGCACCTTCGGAGTAACCCGCGGCCGAGCTGAAGCTGGTTCTGTCGTGAGGATTAGATGGATCGACTGAGGGAAGATCGAGGTCATGTCCAATCAAGCTGTTGATCTTTCTGGATGACCTTGGCCCTGATGCACCGCGGGAGAAACTCGATTTTCTGTTGGCTGCTGCCATCGACTGAGATGAGGCCACTTCAGAGATGTGCAAGCTTCTGGAGGTTTTTAGGTGGCCGGGCACTGCCCACTGGTCCTGCAACGGCAATGTGACGAGCGAAGCTGCTGAGGCTTGTGGCAGCGTTTGGGGTTGGGAGTACTGCTGGAGGTTGGTCTGATATGAAAGCGGCAAGGATCCTTTACGGCCTGCCGTGGGTGTTGACGGCCTCCTGAAGGTCTCTGGTACCTTGGGCAATGGTTTTTCCCGGTACAGCGCCTCGTACTTGCTGAGTCGGCGGCCAGGGTGAGGATAAGCGTCGCGCTCCTCTGCCTCTGATAGGGCGATGGCGGGTTTTATGATGCGCGGGGTGGCCATGCTGGTCGGTCCAGTGTATGATGGCTGACGGTGTTTTCCTTATAGGATGAGTCAAAGCAGGGTCAGGGTCGACAGCCTGTTGGGAAGAAGCAGGTGTTGGATGGGATCAAAGCAGGGACGGTATATATAGACAGAGGGGAAAGGAAGGGGAAGGGTCGACAGACGAGCCAAGGCTCGGTGGGTGTTGTGTTGCAGAGCGACTGTGAAGAGGCGAGAATGTGTGAGACGTGGGCGTACAGCGCTCACACAGACGGGATGACAACAAGAGGCAGGCAACCGTTCATCACAGCGAATCAAGAGTCGAAGAGTACAGTGAGTCTGATACCTCTGGATACACTTGTGAACCCTATCGTCACGGAAGAGTCAAAAAAGAAAAGAAATAGGTACGAGACAAGGTAAACAAGGTTGCCGTTGTCGACGACGGCAAAGTTGACAGACAGGTCAGACAGCAGAACGGATCATACAGGTTTGTTGACAACGTGACTGGCTGCTGGAGTTCTTTGTTCCTGTCTTCCTTAGTCTGGAGTCGATGCACTTGAGAAGAGCAACACACAAAAGTACCTCGATAAGGTGGGCGGACCAGACAGAATTTAAGGTGGCGGGGCGAGGAGAGGCTTTGCGAGCGAGCGAGAGCTGCGTGTCTTGGAGTGAGGGAGATGTGTGTGTGTGTGTGTGTGTGTGTGTGTGTGTGACTGACTGACCCCCCTCCCCTTCTCCAACGAGGCCACACAGCATTGTCAATAACTAACTAGACGCCTCCTTCCCTAAGCGGGCTTGTGGGAGCGGCGGGCGTGCTGAAACCTCCGAGGCGCTGGAGGCGATGTGTTGTTTGCGCCATGTCGATAATAATAGCAGAGCCTTGTTCGCCAAGGCTCTGGCCATCTCTTGGTTCTGCGATGGATCTGGATGTTCCTGGTGACCCTCGCGACCATCTCATCTTTTTTTGACAGGGCTCTGCTGGCACATTGGTTTTTATGGTTATCAGGCCAGGCACAGATTACTCGGCGGAAAGCTTATTACCGGGCGCAACGCAATCGACATTGATTCATCGGAACTAATGTTTTAGTCTGGAGGAGCAGTTCAACAGCTCTCCAGCTAGCTTGGCCAGTGCAGGGGGGGTGCGGAAGTAAGAGGTGAGAGAGGTTTCTCTCCATCTTCACCTTGATGTTGTTTGGGGCGAGCGATTTTGCTGGCCAGCGCAGGTCATTGCCCTTTTCCATCCCCAACGACACACATGTGCGACAATGTTTTATCCTGGCGCCCGCAGCGGCGGGAGTTCGGGAGCAGGATCGCACCGCCGTGGGGCATGGGCTTTGCGTTTCTGGTGCTTGCATTGGTTGGGCGGCAAGTTGTTGCCAATGTGGCGAGGCAAAAGACAAAAAAAGGAAAGAAAAAAAAAAGAGGGCTCGAGGCGCCCTGAGGTGCGACAAGGTGTGGGTGGATTGATGGGTGCATGCATTGCATTGCATTGCATTGCATTCAACTTGAACATGATGGTCCTGCGAAATGAGAAACCCGGCTGTGATTGTGTTCGGGTAGGGACGTCCGGTTGGGTGGCACAAGATGCCTTGAAGCCGACGGATGGAGACGAGGAGGAAGAGGGGGAGGGGGAAGAAAGAGGATGAATGAATGAATGAATGAATGAATGAAGATTTCCGTCACATACTCCCCTCGTCTGCTACCTGTCTGCTTTCGGCTGTCGTCAACAAAGAAAAGAGAACGACTCCGTAGTTTGGCGCCACGGCCAACGCCTCAGCTCGACTCGGTCGGGGACAAAAACGTCCCAACAGGGGACACGGCACGCATATCATGAACGCATGACCCAGGTAGCGGCGGAGTCGATCGCAAAGCTCGACGTCAATCATTGCATAATAGGTGCGTCTTGTTGCATGGGGCTTCGATATAATTAGTATATTATTGATGGATGAGTGCGGGATATAGACGCAAACAATCCAAGTTGTTGAATGTGTACAGAGCAGTAGAGACCCGGAGCAATCTTCAGGTCCCCCACCAGCCCGTCTGTCCATCCGTTCTTTTAAGTTGGGTTCGTCAACCGTTCAACGCCATTTTCTCCCCTCTTTCCCATGTCCAGCCAAGTTTAGAAGGGGGGTTTTTTTTTTCTTCACCCAACGAGTAATCCGTATGGATGGACAAATGTGCGCAAACCACCCTATTTTTAAAGCCTCACCGCCCCCCGGCCCCCGCCCCCTTCCCTCTCGTAACGTGGCGCCGGATCAAAAGTCCTCACCATCCTCCTCGTCACCGTCTGCCTCCCGGTAGTCGCCCAGGAGCACGTCGTCCAGCCCCAGGACCGGCGAGCTCGTCGTGCGAATCCACTCCGTCTCCGCGCGGAAGAAGATCCACACCCAGCGGCGGAAGACCTCGAGCAGCTCGACCACGAAGATGCCAACCTCCCAGCCGCTGAAGCGGTCCAGGTGCGGGCTGAGCTTCATCGACCACGTGAAGCGCAGCAGCAGGTCCAGCAGGACGACCCCGTAGTACAGGCTGGGCAGGCGGAACGCGAGCCTCGGGCGCAGGCCCCACGGCTGGTGGTGGGACGACGCGGGCGCCCGCAGCATCTTGGCCGTCGACGAGGGCGCAAACAGCGTGAGGTCCCAGTCCTTGGTGACGTCCCAGTAGAACGAGTAGAGCGAGTTGACGGTGACGGCTAGGAGCCACGCGCGGTAGAGGCCCGGCCCGGCGGACGCGTCGCCAGCCGCCTCGGCGCTGCGCTGCATCGAGCTGGTGACGATGACGGGCAAGGCCGTCGCGTACTTGAGCGCGTTGGCGAGGTGCTGGCCGCCCCAGCCGTTGGTCGACTCCTCGTGGTGGCGGCTGCTGTTGGCGTCGCGCACCCGCAGGTACTCGATCACGCACTGCCGGAGGCGGATCAGGCTCGGCACCGCCATCAGCAGCGGCACCACCACCACGCCGCCGCAGTCCCGGTTCGGCCTATCCGTCGCGGACCCCCCCGGCGACGCGAACATGCACGCCGTCACGAACACGTCCCCCAGCACCTTGGCGTACGACGTCAGCACGTCCGCCAGCAGTATGTCCCCAAACTTGCCGTCCCTCGCCCCCGCCAAACCCCCCACGCTGACCCTCCGCAGCGTGACGAGGAAGCGCCGCCGGCCCTGCCCGGGAAGGTTGCGCAGGGGGACGGCGAAGAGCGCGGCGAGGGCGAGGAGGTAGGCGAGGGGCAGCCAGCCGTGGTCGACGACGCGCCGGGGGTCGCGGAGGGTGAGCAGCCAGAAGAGCGCGAGGCAGAGGCCGAGCAGCGCGGAGAGCACGGTGGCGAAGCGGTAGGTGGAGAGGTGGTGCGAGAGCGCGGCCGGCGAGGTGCGCCCGGGGTAGCGGATGAGCGCGGGGAGGTCGATGCGCGCGAGCTGCAGGCCGTGCAGGTTGAGGCCCCAACCCCAGACGGCTGAAGGGGGAGTTAGTACGGAGGGGGGTGCGGTGGGAGGAGGAGAAG